CAATATCGTAATGATAATCTATCATTTTGTAACGTATTTGGTCTTTGGGGGGAATCCATGCATCATTAAATAACATGAACTTTAAGCCTCAGTAATATATTGTTTATGTAGACTTTACCTGATGCGTGTTTTCCCCGAAAATGGATAGTATTAAACACCGTCTGAAAGGACCATCCTTAGAGTGTTCCAAACATTGGCGGGGTGATGTTGTGTCTGTAATCCTTTTTGACCAACTTGAGCCGTCGAATCCACGCTTTCTTTTGTCATTCATTCGCTGGAAACCTATGCAATGTCACCACCCGTCCATGTACCCCCTTCCGCTGTTTCTTTCTCGTTTCGTTCATTTTCCAAAACCTCTCCGGAAGTGAACGTCAAGCGCGTGATTGGTCCGTTCTATCTCTGATTTCGAAAGAGTTCGCAAGGGGTAATAATAAAGTAGGGAGAGATAAGAACTTATTGGAAAGGACTATATATGTAGAGGTCAAGGTCAGTAAGGTAATTATGCATGTCATTGATCCCAATTGCTTGGATTGTCTGGTCCAGACTCGATTATTCACAGACCGCCGTCGTATAGGTGGAATATTGCTGAGTGCGGTGATAAACAACAAACAAAACAATAAGGTAATTAATTGTTAAATATAATAAAATGAATAATTTAGTTACATGCATTAAAGACGAAACGAATAGTCAGTGACATAAAGACGCAGTCAAGATAATTTCGGTCTCCCGAATTTGCAATGAAGTGAATATTCTGTTGATGTTAGTCAACACATGAATAAATATTTATATTGATAATTGTTTCTTCCTCCAGATTGTCCTGAACTTTCATCAGTGGCTGATCCTGGGCTGCCAACTGGTGCCACAGATCCTACTTCAGCAGCTACTACCTCAACCCAAACATCACAGAATCCTGAAGACAGAGACTCTCAAGTAACAGAGCACAGTGAAGCAGCACCAAGACTTGATGACGGACGTCTAGCCAGGCAACTCAAGTACAGAAAAGAAAGTACAAAACTCAGTTCTTCAGAAAGAGTCTATCAATTATAGGAAAAAGTTCTATCAGGAGAGCTTGAAAAAAAGAAAATGGAAAAAAGAAGAAGCTTAAGCTACAAATTCAAATCCTTGAGCAAATACTGGAACGTGATGGTATTGACAATTTCAGTCCATCTCAACTGTTACTCTCTGTGATGTAATAAACCTGCAGTTTCATTATCACTATCTTCAATTCGTGTGTCCTCTGTTTGTAGTTTATTAGCTGGAGAAGAAGGTATTGGCAATATGATCTCTAATGCCTCGTCCATCATGCCTTCCTCCATGTGTCCACTGTTGGCTGTTCATCTGGGTTGTCGTTGTCATCTTGTAATGGCTCATTCAGTAATATGGATATATTGTGGAGGACAGCACAGGCAAGGACAATCTGACACCCACGGTGTGGACTCATCCTTATCTGTTGAATAAACAAGAATTATGCAAAAATACATAAATACAGAATGTCACATTCAAATTTACATTTTAGAAGCAATTTGTTTGCTACTTTGAATTGTAATATTACTAGTAATTGGATACGGTAGTTAGGATTCTATTAATATTATTTGTTTCTGCAATGTGATCGATGTAAAACGTTAAGCATTTGAACACACAACACTATGGGTCCCCAACCTTAAAGTGATGAAAAAAAATCAAGATTAGATGTAGAAAAGTAAAACATTGGTCAAATTAAGTACACAAATATACTATGCATATTTACCTCCGAATGAAGTACATGAAACCGTCTTTTCCGTCGACCAAATGCTCTTTCTGCACACGCTGTCATTGTATCTCTGCTGAGCATTGCCTTGTGGAGTCATGTATGGGGTTTGGAGAAAGGGTCTGCAGGGATATCCACTGTCTCCCAATAGAAAGCTATCTAATACTGAAGTGTGTGATCACTCTAAGTATTCACACAAAGTGGGGGTTTGCAAGCAAATATGTGGCTATCATGAGTCGATCCTGGCCATTTAGCACACACTTTCGTAAATTTATCTACAAATTAGGCAAATCATTTAGAAAATAAAGCAATGTTCGTAATGGATTAATTGTATTTCTATTTGCATATATAGTATATATTAGAAACTTATTTCTGCTATATTTACTTGAAATTAATTACAGTCTCTTTACACAGTTTAGAGCTGAAAAGAACACTAAAAACATTAATACGATCCGTTGATAGCTGTCTAGAATATCCAATTTGTATTTATTAAGATTATTGAGAGCATTTAAGCAAACCTTCCTTTTTATTAATCTAATTCCGAATCTTTTTAATGCGGAATTTCATAGACCATGGAAGGGAAGCTACTCTAATTGCTAAAAGGGACAGTACTCGAATCTCACAAGAGGTACCTTCGTGGTCACACACTGCCTGTGCGTTAATACTGTGGGATCCTTTCCGATTGACGTAAGCTGGTTCGTCTGTGGTCGGTGCCTGAATACGTCTGTGCGTACCATCAATGCAATCTGGGACACTCGGAAAACCACCAAGGGAGAAAAATCCATCTTGAACCTGATTTATGTAGCATTTTTGTGTTGGCCATTTTATGAATTCGTTCTTTTTTTTTACCAAAGCATCAGTCACATCTACATCTTTTGACCACATCCATCGTATCACCAATCACTTGTAGAAAACTACCACTTGCGTAAAAACGGAAAGCTATCATCAGTTGTTGATCGACGTTTAGATCATGGTTACGTTGTGTAGGGCGCTCCAAATCTTCCCTTAGTATAATGGCGATGTAGTTGAAGTCCAAATCTGTACCTATCACGAAGTTCACTGTCTGTGTAGTTCATTAATGCAAAATTAACAGCTCGGAATCGCTTCTGTTGCCTCGCATTAGCCTCTGGAACCATGAAAGCGGCGCTAGGCCTAACCATGAACGCCATTTTGTTTCAAAGATAACCAAGGTGTTAAGTATGGGCCGTACAGTTAAATCAGCCACCCTACAGTCCAGCCCCCAGTGACTATTTCCTCTTCCGGCAAATGAAATCTGCCCTACGGGGAAGACGCTTCCAGGATGACGAGGACATAAAGGCTGCCACAGTGGCGTGGTTAGAGGGCCAATCTGCGGATTTCTATAAAAGTGGAATTAAAAGCTTGAAGGACAAATGGAATAAGTGTATTGAGGTGAATGGAGATTATATTGAAAAATAAAAGTGCAAAAGATATTCTGCGACTTGGTCTTATATTGAAGTCGCAAAACTTATTGTATTGAACGCCCCTCGTATGCTTAAAGTGATATTAAACAATATAAAAATAGCAACAAAGGTTCAAATCCTTGGTGGTATCTAGCGAAAATTTGCACAACTAGACTGTTATTTCTCACTGAACATCTCTAAATATCATAATTATCAATATGACGGAAATTGTTCTGGGGGTGATATAAGAGCTGTATATGAGATTGCTTCCAGTCTTATTTACGTTGTAACGTTTACATAACAGGCAAAATTCTAACAAGACCCGTGAAGATCCGGATTAGATTAGGTCTTGAGTCACATCCTTGCCCTAAAAGAAAATTTGTCGTAAGAGGCAACAAAAAGGATCGGGTCAGGCTCGCTGACTTAATTGTTTCACGTCATCGTATCCCAATTGCGTATCCCAAACGTTTTTCCACTTTTATCAACGAGTGTTGATATATTTAATATCAAAAGACACCAGGGTGAGATTTTATTTATCATCCAACATCATTCTTCCAACTTGTTTTCAGTTTGTAGACAGTAATAAACAGTGTCTTTAGTGTAAAAAGTACCGCTGACAGCTTGCAGTTGCAGAGCCATTAGTGAAGTCATTTGATTGTGACGACAAGGTAACAATAGTATAAGAGTTAGCAATTGTTCTCGAAAACTGAAAAAGACTTGGTAATAATTTATTTAATAGAGTGATATATGGATTAAAACTATAGTTACATCCGACCCTAAATACTAGTACATACCTTTGTAGCTCACCATTTGTTAATATCGAATTCGTCCTGAAGTGCTGCCTTTAATGTGCTATTTGGGGATTTTTAGAGGTTTTATTTTGTTCCTTTTAATCTTAACAAGTTTGCCTTAGATTCTGTTCATAGTGGTGTGTTTGTCCCGACTCTATCTCTAAAACTAATAGGTATTCTTTCATGAAACTTTGCACACACAAAGACTAGGTTGTCAACTGGCGCCTTTTGTCATTTAGGATTTCTTTAATTTAATTCTTTTACATTTCCATGGCAACAATTTTGACTTTGACTCTGTTCATAGTGGTGTGTTTGTCTGGACCATATCTCTTAAACTAATAGGTATTTTGTTCATGAAACTTTGCACACACAAAGACTAGGTTGTCAAATGGTGCCTTTTGTCATTTAGGATTTTTAGAATTTAAATATTTCCGTTTCCATAGCAGCAAGTATGACTTTGACTGTTCATCGTGGCGTGTACCTGACATAGAAATACAAAGTTCGGAATACTATTTCCATGGTATTGTTTTGATAGCTGAATAACTACTCATGTATACGGACAGACAGATAAGATGGAAATTCTCTCATCACGTGGGACTTGACTGTAACAGTCAGATGATATCTTTCGAATTTGTGGTAGCCGGGGGATTTGTCATCTTCTGATACCTCCTGTTTTATAAAACAATTTACGGAGCCGTTTTCTCCAATGAAGAATGTGACTATTTTTGCCAACACCCCTTTATATAGAGAATCTCACCCGAGTGTCGTTTGATATCAAATATATCAACACGAGTTGATAAAAGTGGAAAAATTCCGAGGCTTGCCGAGGATTTTTGCCACTTTTATCAACGAGTGTCAAATGTCATTTGATTGTGACGTCATGGTAACCAGTGATGTCACAATGATCTGCAAAGCATTGGGATATAATTTCATTGCAGCGATATCTACAGTGTAGATATCGCTTGATCTCATCCAAGCGATATCTCCTGTGGGAGCCAGTTTTGGATGATAAAACTATTTATACATATCTCTACTTTGAAGCTGGGAAGTATCGGGCCGCTATGAAGAAAGGCATCCTTACTGGCTTCCATAGACAACTGGATGGGTGGCTGGTTGAAAACGGCAAAACAGTCAAGTAAGTACGATGCTTATTATAATAAAATTCACGAATACATAATTAGATATTAAATTATTAACCCGAAATCGACTGAATGAGCGAGATTGGTTTGACACCACCTTGAACTGACTATCTTGTATACCCAAGTGGGAATCAAGATTTTCTTAAAAGTAATTTTAAAAAAGAAAGAATTATTTTCTTAAATTCAGCAGTATTTTAACATGACATTCAAATTAATAATGTAACCCTAATTATTAAAGTCTCTTCTGTTTTGGTCCTGTTATCAGTGAAACAATAGTCACCTCTGAAAAGCTCTTACATTAATTATCACGTTATAACATGAATGAGGAAACTTTATATTTCAGTTTGGAAATCTAACTCATAATGCTGCAGTGTTTGGACCGAACAGCGGCCACTGAACAGGTTTTGATAAATTCCCGAGACTGTATTTTCAGTTATATCACTGCTTGTTGATGTTTTGGAAGGAAAGTGCAAAGTGGGCAGGTTCAATAATATGTGTTTCTCATTGTTTCCCCTAATTATTTTTCAAGCAATAAACAGAAGAAGATTCTACGCTTTGTAAATATACGGTACATGCAGACACACTGGCCAAGCTTTTTCAAATTTGCTCTCGACAGGTTGAAGAAATTGGTACGTTATTTTCTTTATAAAGGTGTAAATAGTGCACTTTACAGTTACATATTCCGAATGTCAGAAAGCCTTTTGAGCCCAAATGTATATTATTTCGTTTCGTTGTTTAATTCCACTTTTGTTATATTTGACTTCGTTTCCTTTACCATTTTCCAATTTGCATATGTACGGAAATGGCAGCCTCCAGCCAGGAGTGTTGACCATGTGCTTGACCAACAGAAATAGTCTTTTGTGTCTAAAACAGCCTTGGCGTCCTATGTCCATCACGAACCGCCCAGCCCTCGCCCGTGCATCCAAGCACCGTGTTTTCACCGAACAAAACAAAAGCTAGGGATCTTGAATATGTAAGGATATTTTTTGTAATGAAGACTGAACCCACTATTTCATATAAATATCCTTGATCCCTAACTTTTTTTGTTCAGTACATGTGGAACCGGAATTCTTTTCTTCTAAAAAAGTTTAGAAGCCCAAATACGTTAGGAATCCAGCGCAGAACATGTTCTCGACAGCACTTCGCTGATCGAAACCCGACGGTGTTGGACGTTGATTCTATACGGGAAAGGTTAATTTTATAGCATGTATGTCGACATGTTGGTTTCTTTGAAATTTCAAGCCACACAGCTACCGAAACGAAACATACAAATCATGTGCATGAAATGTTGATGCTAATCTTTTCCGGCAATAAGAGATTCTTCAAAATCGTCTTGCTATTCTGAGACTTAGTTACTTTTCGTAATGCAGACAAACCATGCAATTTGTTCATTTTTTTTTTAAGAGAGCTAAAAATATTTTTGGGGAAATATATATCGCATTTGGCTAAATATAACCGGTCTATATTTTGTAAGAATAAACTACTGCGCATTGAGCGATTATCTCCTTTAGCTATAGGCGTAGTATAGAGCTATATCACGCACTGACCTTGCAATTCTGTACATCGTATCTTATTCAAACTGTATCACTGAGAGTGAGTGAATATCTCCCTTGCCCGAACAGTTCTATTGCAATGTATCGTATGTTATTCAGGCAGACACCGAGAAAGGTTCCAGGGAGGAATTTAGGTGAAGCCTGTAACGCGCACTCAATCGTTCAACTTCACATTGCTATTGCAACATTGTTCAACACGATAAAATACCAGGCTTCTATAAAGTATGACTTTGTTCAATAAACAACACATGTAAAACAACGGGTTTGATATGAGAAATTTGTAATTAGTTGTCTTCATTGCTGGGCATTGTTGAGCACAGTATTGTTTCAAATAGTTCACTGTATGTAATATATACTGAGTCAAATTAAAAACTTCACATTTTTAAAAGAAATCCCATATATGATATACAACGGACAAATGTATCAGAGAAGGTAATTTTTAATCATTAATGTCCAAAGGATTTTAATTAACGGTGGTAGCCATAATTTGTTCCAAGCACCTACGGTATTCGGTAATAACATCAACAGTTTAAATCATAAGTCCTAAGCACGAGAATCTGATGGCACCCAAGTTCAGTAGCGTGTATGGCCACCATGTGCGTTGACAACTGCCACACAACGCCTCCGCATGGACCTTGTGATGCTTGTGAACAAATGATTGGGAAGACGACGCCATTGTTGCTGCAAAATGGTGCCAAGATCTTGGAAATTCTGTGCTTGGTTCTGGAGAGTGCGCAGACTTCTGCCAAGAGCATTCCAGACGTGTTCGATGGGATTGAGGTCGGGAGACCTTGACGGCCAGTCCATGACCTTGTCAAAATTGCTGTGTGGGCACTGGCATTGTCGTGATTGAAGATCAAACCGGGTCCATGTGCTGCCATAAAAGGCAGAAGTTCTGGTGCCAGTACCTGGTCGCGGTAAGCAGCAGCGTTGAGGTTGGGACGGATGACAAGAAGCCTGGAACGTGCATTGCCACAGAAAGCACCCCACACCGTGACACTTCCGCCTCGAAATATGTCAACTTCCTGTACACAACACTGGGCGTAACGTTCATGACGGCGCCTCCATACCCTCGCCCTACCATCAGCAAATCGAAGATTAAATCGGGATTCATCACTGAAGACGACTTGATTCCAATCGTAAGTGTCACTGTGCCCACAATTGACGTTGACGTCTGTGTACATGTAATTGAGTCAGAATCGGCCCGCAGTATGGCCGTTGTGCTTGAAGGTGAGCAGTTCTCAGACGGTTTCGAACAGTTTGCGCACTCAGTCTACCCCTAAACAGTTCATTTCTGGTTGATGTAGCCGTCAAAAATCGGTTACGGAGGTGACGTAAGACAATCTGACGATCCTCTGCATGTGACGTCACACGTGGTCGACCTGGCCGAGGGCGATCAGCGGTGGTACCCGTTTGCTGTAGACGCGTCTGTAAATCATAAACAGTCCGTCGACTACAACCCATCGTCCTTGCGACTTCAGCTACAGACGTTCCCGTCTGCAACATGCCAATAGCACGTTCACGTTGTACATTTGAAAGGCGTGGCATGACAAATGGCCGTGAAGACTTTTGTTTTCTTGAGTTTTTCTTTTTTTGTTAATGACTGCTAACAAGTATGGCTGAAAACACGTGCGGTATTATGGCCACGTGACCAGTTGCGCGTGAAAAAACACTTTTGCCACTATAGTGCTGTGCACATGATTTTGATCGATTTACCTGCACAAAAACGGGTTTTATCTGAAGACAATACGTGGCCATTACTTTTTAAATACACAATAAGGCCCCACAATGATAACTGGTCAAAATGTTAAAATTTTAGGATTGTGAAGTTTTTAATTTGGTTCAGTATATGATTCATACCGTTTCATGCGGCGGTTTACGGTTCTGCATGGTTTATTGCTTTGATACTTACGGCAGAGATTATACACCCGTATATGTTCTTTGCTTCTGGATACATCGGAAATCAACAGGCTGGTCTGTAGTTGGCAATTATTTTCCTAAAAGATAATACGGTTGCATGATATCTTCAGGATGTTTGGGTTGAACATGGTAACATTCTTCTAAACAAACTTTTGAATAGTATTCCGTGTCAGCTTGATGTGGGAGCAAAGTCCGAAGTGATGCAGGCCTTAGACGTTTACAACTTTGGTGAAACCAACGAGCACGGGTTTTGTGCTGACAACAAAAGTAGGGCGAACCAAGATTCAAACACACTGTCTTAGGTTTCTGGCGTGCCCAAAGTACAACTCTGCATGGCGAATTGCAGCGCCTTCGGCGACTGGGCCAACCGTGCCTCCGTACACAACTGTAAGAAACTATCATACAACAAAGATGTTTTAGATATGTATTGCGGAACATTCCATGAAGAAGCAGTGGCAATATTACACTATCACAAACTACAAAATACTTGCACAATAATTAAAAACAATTAAAAACATATGAACATTCAACATACAAAGGAGGTACATTCGAACAATTTTATTTCAAAACAAGTGTATTATAATAATATGGAAACAATACGAGAATTGAGCAAAACTATGGTAATGTTGTACATACAAGGAATTTGTTTGTAATTGTTAATATGATAACAGATCTTGGAAGTTGTTTCTGGATAACTTGGTAAAATTATTAAGAACTGTTCCTTTTAACAGAGTGTACCAAATTCTTTATCATGATTGAGGATTATTTGTGATTCTCTTTTTTGGATGTATCATGTAAGACAGTGCGTAATGTTCATCTTCTGAGACATCACATGTTTCACAGAGACGTTGTTCCAGTAGTGTTGGTGTTTTTGTATATCTACCAATTTTTCAATTTTTAGTTTGTGATTACGGTATTTAAACGAAGTTTTGAGAAAAGTGACCTATGACCTTTGTTTTTACAATATGTAAGATAATTCTCAACATTTATAGATGACTTGACCAAACTGTATGTTCTTAACTTCCTGCTAGATAAATGGGAACCCATTAATGAATGCGTGAATTTTTACATTTGAACTGAAGTTTATTTACAGTGGATTCATTACATTTTTTTGTGTTTACTATTTAAAAAGTTTGTTTTATTTAACCCAACCAACATTTTGACCAGAAATATTGATATTTGCTGCAAACGCATGTTTTAGAATGACCTTTGTTTTTACAATATGTAAGATAATTCTCAATATTTATAGATGACTTGACCAAACTGTATGTTCTTAACTTGCTGCTAGATAAATGGGAACCCATTAATGATTGCGTGAATTTTTACATTTGAACTGAAGTTTATTTACAGTGGATTCATTACATTTTTTGTGTTTACTATTTAAAAAGTTTGTTTTATTTAACCCAACCAACATTTTGACCAGAAATATTGATATTTGCTGCAAACGCATGTTTTAGAATGACATTTGTTGTGTTATCTGTATAGGACTTGAAATCAATTTTCTTTATTGGTACTTATAGTGGGTATATATCAAGTTCTGCCTGACAGGCCCAGTTTTCTTGCCTGGGTTTTCTTTGTGCTGACCATTTAAAGACACTGTTTCTTTTATTGTGCTTTCCAAAGATAACTACATTGATAACAACCAATTTATACTTAATACCAATTCTCTCCTCCCATAGCTTACACTTCCTTCCTCTGCACATAGCATTATATTGCGAGGAACAATTGATGCTCTGCAGCAATCTCGAATTGTCATACCGTATGATTGTTGACCTTTTCAAACTCTATCAGTAGTGGACGTAACGTGTACGCGAGTATACACGGAATATGCCAGAAATAACATGAAAAAATGGCGATAACTGGTCACTAGCTTCGACGTGTACACTTTCAAGTGTATCCAGTCCAGAATGACATGTTGACATGTTTTAACTGTTCGAAAATCGCGGCGCCTTAGACGACTGGGCCACCTGTGCCCCCGATGTAAAAAGTGAAAGCTTCAGGAACATGATCGCTTGCAATATATTTCTACTTTTTTGAAATTTGTAGCGTAAAGCGTGTTCATTATTTTGTACACTGAATAAAAAAGCAAGGGACCATGAACAGTGTTTGGGATATATGTATGAAATTTTGTACTCAGTCTCTACTACAAACAATATCCCAAAATATTCATGGTCCCATACCTATTTTGTCCTGTTTATTATCAATCAATTTCAAGGATTTTGTGACGTGGCTGACTGCATGACACTGTCTTTCTGTCACCGGGGGGCACGAGTGGCCCAGTCGTCTAAGGCGCCGCGATTCCCTGTGCAGAGTTGCGTCCCTTGGGTACGCCAGAAACCTATGATTGTGGGTTCGAATCCCGGTTCGACCTGATTATGTTTCTAGGTTTGTCAGCACCATACCCGTGCTCGTGGGTTTCACCGAAGTGGTAAACGTCTGAGACCTGCATCACTTCGGGCTTTCCTCCCACATCAAGCTGACACGCCGTGATATAACTGGAATACTGTTAAAAGCAGCGTTAAACACAACTCACTCACTCACTCACTCTTTCTGTCACCCTTAGCGCTGGCGTAGATCGTTGTTCGTGCTTTCAGTCACTCGTTTTCCCAGACAAGGCTATTATTAATGATATATATGAACTAGAGTATAAGTACTTATCTTCATTGTTAATAATGATCATCATGCAGCGTGTTTATTATAATGTATAAATTCAACTGCTTCCTGAGCATTGACAGCGGACCTCTCCATTAACAGGGAAGAAAACCAACAGTACATGACTTCTTCTCCATTGGGGCTGAGATTGGCAGGCGGGTGCCGATTCGATTTTCATATAGCGTTTTGATAAGCAAAGGCCTTCTACCCGGGTGGGCTGACTATATGCAAGATCTTCTGGACAGTGAGTATCGTACCATTTCTTAATAACTGCGGATATCGGATTTCCTCTGAAATACACACCCTCACACCCTTCCGTACCAAACATCATTATGAAACCAAACTGGCTTCCAAAGGAGATATCACTTGGGTTAGATCAAAGGAAACTTTTCGGCGCAGTGATCAGGCTAATTTGCATATCACGTGACATACGCGCTTTTTCTCAAATCAGAGCATATTGGCCTCATGCAAGCCTTTCACTGCTCTTCACATAGGCTTTGCATAATCAAACAGACATGCTACTACAACAGCAACTGTGAGAAGCATGACAATATATCTTTATACATCCAAGTGGCCCTATCGCTAGCTCTCCGTTGGGCTTTAATGACCGCACGTGGAGCCCTACAACCGATGTATAAAAAGAATAACTACGCAAATGGATATAGTTTTTCCCGTTTTAGATATTTTATCAGTGAAAGTTAACCATTCTATGAAACAGATTTATCTAAATGTGTAGACTCGTCAGTACAGAAACAGATGAAAAACAAATGCAATATTTTGAATGGATAAAAGTAAAATATGACAAATCGTCACATGTCGCTGGCCTGCATCCTCTATAACTCAAGGGCCTGTATTTCGGCCGAAATGCAAGATATAGAGGAATGATCCGAATCCGGCCGCATGGAACTCTGGGTAGGAGAGAGGTGTTAATGTGAAGTTACCATTGTTGACGTGTTTATTTATAAGAAGTCAATATGTTGAAGTCAATGCTTAATTGTTTCTGTCCAGCGCCGCCTGGTAAGGTCAAATGTAGGACATAGCTGACAGTCCACTGGAGTCGGTTTGTGTTGAACAGTGCAAGGGACTAAGAAGAAACATCACTGAAGTATCCACGGGAGCCTAGAATAATCTACACATATCATACCCCGGCGTGGGGCGCCTGCTCATTGTACAACGTGTTGATTTACATTGAAGACACCGTAAGCCACTGTAACGTGAAATAAATACGTCTGCAAAGTAGTTGTTATTTTTCCGTTTGTGTGTGAGTATGGTTTAGCACTATTTCAACAATATCACGGCCGGGGACACCACAAATGAGCTCCACGCATTGCACCCATGCATGTGGGGAATCGAACCCGGAGTGACTAGGCTACCCCTCCGCCCCTTTTCGGCTGTGACTTGGTTGTTACTCTATCTCTGGATATCACAAGGTTGGTTGGTTTGTTGTTTTACGCCGCACTCAGCAATATTCCAGCTATATGTCTGTAAATAATCGAGTCTGGACCAGACAATCCAGTGATTAATATCATGAGCACCGATCCACGCAATTGGGATCGTTGACATGCATCAACCAAGTCAGCGAGCCTGACCATCCGATCCCGTTAGTCGCCTTTTACGACAAGCAGAGTCACCTTTTACGGCAAGCATGGGTTGCTGGAGACCAATTCTAGCCCGGAATCTTCACGGGTCGATATCACAAGGATTCTGTTGGAGGATGTTGGATTACACAGTATACTGTATTTATGAAAAGGCCCTTAGCGGTGACAAAGCTTAACGCAACATGTTTATACACAATGTGTACATTATACATTATCAATACATGTATATATATATGTGTGACGTCAGACTGTGAGTGCACGAGGAATGATACATTGTGCACCACGGCATCATATACTATACACGGCGGAACAAGCCGATTAAACTCGGAATGTTTTACAAATTACAGCGCCATCTGGCGTTCTTTATTGAAAACGTCCTTTCGTGCTCACTGACGTTCTTTCGTACACATTGTTCTTTCTTTTCTTATGACGTCTTTTGGTAACATTTGACTATTAATATTGTATTTTGACCTTTAGTAGTAACATTTAGTTCTTTATTCGTAATATTTGGCCTCAATTGCGTACTTTTGTCCTTTTTTCAACATTGTATTTTTTGACCGAATGGCCCGCCCATACGAAAGGACGTCACTGAGCACGAAAGGACGTTGACAATAAAGAACGCCAGATTGCGCTGCAATTTGTAAAACATTCCGAGTTTAATCGGCTTGTTCCGCCGTGTATATGATAACCGTGTATATGATATGCATGCCGAGGTGCATAATGTATTACGTCATTCCTCGTGCACTCACTCACGCATTACTAAAGAAAACAAAGCAAGCTTTGCAAGACTTTCGCTCTTCATCGCGCGGCACCATTATGACGTCATATCGCTCATTGTGACGCAAAATATATGACGTCACAGTCGTATATAGAAAAGCGCCAAAATTCCATGCTCTCTGTTGTCTCTAAAACGTTGATTTCTGTCGTGTTTTTCTGCACGAAATGTATTGCCACACATCCTTTGAATATTGTAGTAACCGCATCTGTGCATTTTGTAACCTGTAATTGTAGATATAATTATTTAAATATATGCCTACCGACAATGACTGAAAATAGTACCATTCTATGAATATTAGCTTCCGCGGTGATGCGGCCGTCAAACCAGCTGTTTCAATCAAAGGGGGTTTATTGTGATTTAATAGCCTCTGATTGATCAATCAGAATCGATATTCCAAATTCCAGGTAGAATTATCAACAGGAGAGGTGCAGTGCTAAGTTTGATTTCAATATTTGGATTTTCAGAAAAAAAATACAGATTTATTTTACATACCGTATTCGACGTAATAAGCGCACAGGGCGCTCTCAAAATTAGAAATAGGGGGCTCTTATTAGAATATTATTTTGGTGAAAACGACAGAGTTGAAAGATAAATTTCGTGGTTTATGCTGACAGCCTGAAATGTTTATATACGTGAGATACATTTTCCAGAATTTAAATGCCCATAATTAAGTGTGCATATAGCACACGAGTACGTATTATACGCGAATAAATACGTGTTGTTTACATTGAACAATCGAAAGGCGTGCTAATTAGTATTGTTCACTAGCCAATATATTGGCAAATATCGCCGTGGGCGCTTATTAGAGCGGGGCGCTTATTACGTCGAATACGGTATCTTTTTTTCTTAAACATGTGTGTGACCTATAACTTGAAATCTACTGCATGGATTCTTTTCAAATTTAGGTAACAATTTCCATACTAATAGAAGAGGTGCAGTGCATAGTTTGATTTTGATATGTCTATTTTCTGATTTTGAAATGTATGAGGAATTCAAGGATGTGTGTATCGCAGCTAAGTTTGAAATATACGTTATGTTACAGGCGTCTCATAACCGGTGTACCTGAAACGTGATTTTGTAAACACTATCCAATATGGCGGAAAGTTCACTTCGGCGTTCGTGTTTGGGTATTTTCCAAAACATTTTAAACGATTTTAGGGTTATCGGAGACGTTTTGGAATGATCATTGGTGATTTCATAAAGGACAGATACCCGTGATTACTAATATGCTATTTTTGAAATTCATTTCACGGAGTAAATATCCGAAATTTAGATTTCAAAACATGCTGTAAATAACGCGGTGAGTGGTGACATTTACGAAGTACCTTATTTCAGTACTTTTGCTTGGCCTAAAATGCAAGTGGATGATATCACAGAACAGTAAATTTCCCATCTTATTCAAAACTGTGAAGTGTATCTGTGTGGGTGATGTATTTTGAATTTTATTCGACTTCAAAGTCAGGGTTGTAGAGGAGGGACATATATGTCCCTGTGGCATCCAGGGGGGTTAACTTGAAAACTACTTCATGGATTCCTTTCCAGTTGTGTGTACAGTTTCTATACCAATAGGAGAGGGGCAGTGTGAAGTTGGGAAAAAAAAGCCTCTTTTTCAATTTTTTACTTAGAATATTTTTACTGAAACATTTGTGCGACCTCTAACTACAGAACTACTTCATTCTTTTTCAAATATAGGGAACATTTTCCTTCCCAATAGAAAAGGTACAGTGCAAACTTTAATTTTGATATGTATATTTTCAGATTTTTTTTCATGTTTGGACTTAAAATATGTTTTTATTTGAACATTTGTGCGACCTATGATTTAAAAACTACTTTATTGGTTCTTTTCCAATTGGGTGTACAGTTTCTATACTAATAGGAGAGATTCCGTGCAAAGTTTGATTTCGACAAGTGGAGTCGAAGTGGTTTTGCCAGTAGGCTTTGAAGACTTTCGTCAAATGTAGCAAGACATCTCTAACATGTGCAACATTGCAAGAAATGTTCCCGCACACGACTGGCGAAGATTGAACTGCACTGCATGCAACCATTATTTCATATTTATTTTTCGGATATGATATACTTTAAAAACATAGGACTCGTGTGATTCATTGTTGGAAACACGACAAAGATTAATTTTCAACTGGGATCCTCTGCCATTCCTGGTGCAGTGCCTGGGTCAGTTCTTTCAGACTTAAAACTGGGGGGTATCTAGCTCTCAACTTGGCAACAAGGTTATCCCAAAGGTGTTAAACTGGGTCCAAATCAGGGTTTATCATTAGTTTTGGGAATTGGGCTTTTAACATTATTCCAGTTATATCACGGCGTGTCAGCTTAATGTGGGAGGAAAGCCCGAAGTAATGCAGGTCTCAGACGTTTACCACTTCGGTGAAGCCCACGAGCACGAGTATGGTGCTGACAAACCTAGAAACATAATCGGGGTCTCAGGAAAGACCAAAGACAAGTGACACAGATGAAGACATTTTTATACTCACAATTCATAATTGCTAGCCACAATCACGAGTCTGTTGATCATGTCAGGAAGCACCTTTTGAGTTGGAACCATAATTTGTGAGCGCTTAATGACAAACATGGGCACAGTTGCTCCAGTGGTCTAAGGTGCTGTAATTTACTGTGCATCCCTTAGCTGTCCCAGGATCACCTGATTGTGGGTTGAAACCCAGATTTGTCGTTATGATCCTGGGTTTGTCAGTTCAAAATTGTTGCTCTAGATTCCACCAAGGTGATAAATCTGTCAGAGTAAATTCAGGGGTTTCTCTCACATAAAACTAACACACTGTCTTGTTTTTGTTTGTTTGTGTTTAATGTCATACTCAGCAATATTCCAGCTATACGATGGCTGTCTGTAAATAGTCGAGTCGGGACCAGACAATCCAGGATTGATATGGTGAATATAGATTTACGCAATTGGGATACGATGACATGCATCAACCAAGTCAGCGAGCCTGATCATGTAAGTCCTGATCATGTAAGTCGCCTCTTACAAGAAAAGTCGGCAAGTCTGGATTGCTGAAGACCTATTCTAACCCGGATCTACTTGGGGCCACACTCAGAAATATCCAATCTATATATCGGTGGGCTATAAATAATTGAATCTGGACCAGACAATTCAGTGATCGATATTGTTAGCAATGATCCACAACATCAAGTACAATGCCCTGCAATCAGCCAAGTCACCGAGCCTGACTATAGGATCGATTAAGTTACCTCTTAAGATCAGCATTGGTTGCTGGGGATCAATTCTCACCTGGAAACCCTACAGGGGGGTTCTCAAACAGTGTTGTGTTGGCGTCAACCCTATATGCTTAGTATCAAGTGTGTCTCCCAAGTCACACAAAACCCATGCATCACTGGAGAAAGTTTGGAAAAATAACATAAAAAGATGCAGTGATTGCAACAATTATATTTACAGTTTAATTATACATTCATACAGATAATTAATTCTGTCACATATATTTACACCATGATTTCTTACATATCACAATCTATAACATGCCACTTTAGAAGCTATAGTATCAATGAAGACAGGGCAATGATCCATGTCAATTCTGCCTGCAACATCATGTTTGTTTCAAGATTAAGTGAAGATTGAGTGAACATTTCTGCCATGGGTTTGGGGCTCATTCTATAAAGCTATCTCAGGGCTAAAACAATGGCAATGCTATGATACATAATGGGAGTTAGTGTTTGTGAGTGAGTTGGGTTTAACGCAGCTTGTAACAGTATTCCAGTTATAACGCAGCTTGTAACAGTATTCCAATTATAACGTGGCGTGTCAACTTAATGTGGGAGGAAAGCCCGAAGTGATGCAGGCTTCAGACTTTTACCACTTTGGTGAAACCCACAAGTATGGGTATGGTGCTGACAAACCTAGAAACATAATCAGGGCGAACCAGGATTCGAACCCACAATCATAGGTTTCTGGCGTGCCCAAGTTAGTGTTAGTGCTCAGATAGCGCTGTCGACTGGAGCCATGCTGTATCCATCAAATCATTCCCTTGCAGGGTCACCACACTGTTTTCATAACTTTTTTAAACACTCAAGAGTCATAGATATTGGATCTGTACAATAAAGCCAGCTTCGAGAAGATCCCACATCAACTGCAACCTGTACATATCTTCATGACCCCCCTGACACAACATTGCACAAATCATCGGACATTACACAAATATTATCATTATTCACAGCAATACAATCATTCTCAACATGAACTGATAACCCTCTCAGCTCCTTAGCCAGTTCAGGTGAGCTAACACTTGTGAACAATTAACAGAACACCTTACAGCCTAGTGAGGATTGTTCCAAGACAACTTTGATAAATTATTAATCAAACTGAAGCAAGGTACCAGAGCCCACATGCACAAAATGATCTTAGCACTAAGAATATTGAAGTCTATTTTAGGGTATCTCTGTTAGATTGTAGCACCAAGTTCGCTTTGTGTGAGTGGGCCCAGGTAGTCATTGTTTATTCTGATCCTTAAAGAAAGTAAAGTATGAATTTCATGGATGTTTTGGGCAAGCAATCAGCTGCATCAACTAACATTTTGCATCAGGTAAGTAAGAGTGTAAACAGTTATAATACAATCATTAATTTTCTACACTGTGTTGTGCTTAGAAAGAGGCACAAATTGATAAAAGCATACCGCTACTTCACAAACACAAATGTCAGACCAGCTGATGATGTTGGAAGGATGTCTGGAAAGATCTAACACAAAACTACCATATTGTTGTAAAACTGTAAACAAGATATCTAAGCATACCTCATTTGTGTGAATATTAAAGGCAGAACTTTTTCCTGACAAGATGATATCTAATGTCACCTAACGCTTCAGATAACTGTTTACCCATGGAGTATTGACTCAAATGTTATCATTCACATTTGGTATTTTATAGTTTTCTTTGGGTATTCAATACATTTTACACCTTTGTATCCAGTCTATAATACTGGCTATTTATAAACCAGTTAGTAGACAGTTTATTAATTAATTCTGCTTAAAAGGCTGTTTAAGGAACTTCTTACTTCCTTCTCTATATTTAGTAAGATAAGAATCTATAGATGAACAACTTCTTTATTACGATTAAGAGCGATGTTTCGGTGTAGGTTCTAACACTGTTATCAAGCATGTGATGCTTCCAACTTGATAGATGCTTGATAACGGTGTTAGAACCTACACCGAAACATCGCTCTTAATTGTAATAAGGAAGTTGTTCATCCATAGATTCTTATCCTTACTTAGTACTCCAACTTCTAAATGCCTATCAAAGAAATTCTCAATATTTGCTGCTACCAAATGTGTTAGATGTGGCAAAACTTCACAACAGCACACGTGTCAGTTCCAAAAAGCGAGACGTAGCACTATTGTTAATTATTCACTGCAGTAGTTATATGTAGGCGATGCATGCATTTGATAAGAATCAGCCTACATTGGCTAGTGTTGTTATACTATTGGTTTAAAAAACCATTTCATGGGTATTTGTACGTAAGCAACTTAAATTTAATTTGGTAATGGTGATTTATTTTGCATATTTTAAGCGAACTCACAGCCTTTGGAGCTCGGATCACCTCCAGTAACACTAGGGTTGCATGTTTTAGTTGTACCGATAATCATGCAAATCTACATCAACATAGCCATCACTGTTGAGCTGTCTTATGTTTGTGATTTTAAATTTAATCAAATTATCGTGAAAAAAATCAGATCCCCAAAGAATTAATCAAAGAAATGAAGGCTAATGTATGGTTGTGGGTTGACATATCTGACATATGAACACAGATTGTAATGAAGACATGGCACTAAAAGTAGAAAAGACCAAGGAATCGGAAGTGTAAAGTGTGACTTGAGTTTGTTGCCAAAGTGCTGTACTCCCGACCAAAATACAATATATAATGATATATATCTAAATTACACTGGAAACTTCAGGTTCATGGGACATAGTAAACCTACCCATACATGGATTTTGGTAACGGGAAACAACTGTAGATTCTTTTGTGTTACCGGTAATTTTCATTTCAAAGAATGGTACATGTTGCCTGGAACGGTATGAAAGTATAAAAGCTATGTTAGAATATATACCTGATTTCTGGAAGGATGTGTCCTGTTAAGAGTCTATTAAGTACACACAATAACAAGTTCTGCCTTCAGATTCCAAATGTCTGAACAATTATTAAACAACTGCTTGCTCTGTTGGGGCATGTGGTATTGTGTGAGAATATGTCAGCATGAGTGTGACTGTGATTGTGGGTAGTTGTTTGGGTCATGTGGTTGTGGGTGTTGTGTGAGTGGTTGTGTGTGGTGTTGTGCGGGTGTGAAGGTAATGTACTTGTGGGTGGTATGTGTGTGGTTGTGTGGGTCATGTGTGGTTGTGTGGGTCATGTGGTTGTGGGTGGTGTGTAAGTGGTTGTGTGGGTCATGTAAGTGGTTGTCTGGGTCATGTGGTTGTGTGGGTCATGTAAGTGGTTGCGTGGGTCATGTGGTTGTGTGGGTAATGTAAGTGGTTGTGTTGGTCATGTGGTTGTGGGTGGTGTGTAAGTGGTTGTGTGGGTAATGTTTGTGTGGGTCATGTAAGTGGTTGTGTGGGTCATGTGGTTTTGTGGGTCATGTAAGTGGTTGTCTGGGTCATGTTTGTGTGGGTCATGTAAGTGGTTGTGTGGGTCATGTGGTTTTGTGGGTCATGTAAGTGGTTGTGGGGGTCATGTGGTTGTGGGTGGTGTGTAAGTGGTTGTGTGGGTCATGTAAGTGGTTGTGTGGGTCATGTAAGTGGTTGTGTGGGTCATGTGGTTGTGGGTGGTGTGTAAGTGGTTGTGTGGGTCATGTGGTTGTGGGTGGTGTGTAAGTGGTTGTGTGGGTCATGTGGTTGTGTGGGTCAAGTAAGTGGTTGTGTGGGTCAGGTGGTTGTGTGGGTCACGTTGTTGTGTGGGTCAGGTGGCTGTGTGGGTCAGGTGGCTGTGTGGGTCAGGTGTTTGTGTGGGTCAGGTGGTTGTGTGGGTCATGTGGTTGTGTGGGTCATGTGGTTGTGTGGGTTGTGCAATTATTAAATTTTTCTACTTTGTAAAAATGATAAGGTTAAAATTTTAAAAAGACAGGTTCAAAACATGCTGTTCAAAAACATCATTTTGTTTGCAGGTTGTTGAAAGGTTTTTATTTCGAGGCAATTTTTTTAGGTATTTACCTCTAAAACATCCTTAAATATTGTTTTAAATGTTTTGCCACAAATTTGTAACTACTCTCCAGACAAACTGAAAGAGCTGTTTGCATTGTATAGCTTATTAGTCAGTAGTGTCCCCTTACAGTAGGGAAGCATGCTATTGCAGCTGACAATGTAAAACAACCAAATGTAAAGCCACAGGTACATGTCTGTTATAGAACAAACAGCTTGATGACTTCATAATGCCCTTAGTTTGCTCTTGGGAACGACATGAGTTGCTCCTCGTCACGACAGTTTTAACTAGCACCACTTGTGAACTTTGAGCATCTTCTCAGTTAATGCAACCAGGAAGTGTTGACTGTTGACAGCAAACGTTGTGAGATCCACCACGAAGGCACCTGCTGCAATCCTCTGAAACTGCTGACCACTACTGCAGTCCCATACATGTATCTGGAACAGATACCACAGATATTACATCTTGTTAAATCCTATGCCTCACTAACAAATATATTCAGTCAGATGTTAGTTCTCTCTGCCTCTCAACACAGATCTGAGGACATCCCATTATGGGTCATTTCAGAGACCTTATAATGTGCCCATGCTAATTATCCGTATCATTGGACTATGGTCAAAGGGGAGATAACTCTTGCAAATCCCATTACCATGCCAAGACTATTTGTTCAAAACCACAACAGCAACTCTTAAATTAAAGTCACTGTACAAAATCAGGAGCACAGTTCTGATATCAGTACTGACATTATTGAAAGCATTCAAAACTGGAAATGTACTCACAGCATTAGACGTCTCATCACCAGCACATACAAGCAATTTGTTGGGGTCACTCGGGTTGGGGACGAGAGCAGACTTGGACAACACTGACTGTGTCCTGCCTCCCTGGAAGGAGTGCACCAGGTCACACGAGCACAGGTTGTCTGTGACGTCAGGGTCTGTGCTGAGGTTGCTGCACGACATCTCACACAGCTGGAGCAGAGACGGAGAAATAGAACGATCCGTTTTTTGCAGGTACAACAGCCAAAATTTAGGGAAGAGTAGCATACTGTCAGCCAGTCAACGCACTTCAGTTTCTATATACTGAAGTTGCTTGTGGCTTTCCCGGGTTTGTTTGTCGTTTAAAGCCGCTCTCAGCAATATTTCAGCTATGTGACGGTGGTCTGTAGATAATCAAGTCTGAACAACACACTACAGTGACTGACATCATGAGCATTGATCTATGTAATTAGGATAGTCAGCAAGCCTGACCACCAGGGCCGACTTGCACAAAGCGATCTTAGCGCTATGACTATTGTAAGCCTATGTTACAGTATGGGAGTTACGATCATCTTAGCAGTCCCTTTGAGTATGAAAGAATCAGGGCCCACTTGCACAAAGCGATCTTAGCGCTGTGACTATTGTAAGCCTATGTTACAGTATGGGAGTTACGATCATCTTAGCAGTCCCTTTGAGTATGAAAGAATCAGGGCCCACTTGAACAAAGTGATCTTAGCGCTATGACTATTGTAAGCCTATGTTACAGTATGGGAGTTACGATCATCTTAGCAGTCCCTTTGAGTATGAAAGAATCAAGGCCCACTTGAACAAAGCGATCTTAGCGCTATGACTATTGTAAGCCTATGTTACAGTATGGGAGTTACGATCATCTAAGCGGTCCCTTTGAGTATGAAAGAATCAAGGCCCACTTGCACAAAGCGATCTTAGCGCTATGACTCTTGTAAGCCTATGTTACAGTATGGGAGTTACGATCATCTTAGCAGTCCCTTTGAGTATGAAAGAATCAGGGCCCACTTGAACAAAGTGATCTTAGCGCTATGACTATTGTAAGCCAATGTTTAAGTATGGGAGTTACGATCATCTTAGCAGTCCCTTTGAGTATGAAAGATCAGGGCCCACTTGAACAAAGTGATCTTAGCGCTATGACTATTGTAAGCCTATGTTAAAGTATGGGAGTTGCTTTGTGCAACTGGGCCCTGATATAACAAGCAGGGGTTGCTGAAGACCAGTTCTCACTGTATCTTCACGGGTCAGTGAAGACTTTTGCAGGTTCTATTGCTGACCAATATCCCAACTGGCCCATTATTTGGGAAACATCAATTACACTAACATCAGATCTTTTACGCTGATACGATTCTCTGTGCGAAGATTTGACAACAATTCTACAGGAGGTTGTGTCAGATGAACCATAAGTAGATAATCAGCCAATCAGCATCAAGGCTTCTAAATTCTTGGTAGGGTGAGCAAAGTATTGAGACACTGTATTTTATACACCCTGTCATTTCTGACGGCCATGACATCCAAACATGACATCTGATTGGCACATGAACCTACCTGAGTTGTCAGATCTTCACATGAGGGGTAATCGTATCGGAGTAAAAGATCCCATGTCAATGAGACTGAAGGGACATGGTTCATCATTTTATACATCAATATGAAGCATTTACCACATCTTAGATTAATCATCAGCATTAGTGAACTCATAAAAATCTCAACAAGCAGCATTTGTGATAAAATAGATCAACAAGTATTGATACATGCTTAAAACCCTGAGGCTTGCCAAGGCGTCTTAAGTTGGTTGGTTTGTTGTTTAACCCCGCACTCAGCAATATTCCAGCTAAATGACAGTGGTCTGTAAATAATTGAGTCTGGACCAGACAATCCAGTGATTAATATCATGATCATCGATCCACACAATTGGGATCGATGACATGCATCAAACAAGTCTGCGAGTCTGACCACCCGATCCCGCGTTCTAATGACGAGTGTCGATAAATTTGATATCAAAAGACATGAGGGTGAGATTATATTTATCTTCATAAAACATTCTTTCAACTTTTTTAGTTTGTAAACAGTAATAAGCAGTGTCTTGAGTGTGTAGTACTGCTAACAGCATCAGTTGCAGAGATTAGTGATGTCAATTTATTGTGACTCCATGGCAACCAATGACATCGCAATGGTCTGCAAAACAAAGCATTATGATGCAATTTCACAGCATCAATATCTCGCAGGAGATAATGCTTGATTTCAACCAAGCGGAAGCCAGTTTTTGAGGAAAAAAACATATCTTCCCTCTCAAACTTTAAGTATCAGTTTCATACATTGTGTGACAATGCCGCCCTTGCGGTGTGCGACATACCTGGTGCCTGACCATGGAGTGTTTAGCTGTAGGTCGGAAGCTGGCTAACAGATGGCGGGTGTGGTTATCAAAACTTAAGCTTGTTAAACTTCCTGAAAAAAAATAAAAAATAATGTCAGAGCATACCAGGCATGTGAGTGAGTTGTTGGTGCCAACGGTTGGCTTCACATGGTATAAAGTATAATCAATCCATTCCTAAAGGTTGGAATTAACGGTATGCTAGTCTTTCTGCTGAGTTCACTTAGTGTAGCTGTGCCCATGAAGATAGTGCATGTAGAATCACACATACAGAAAGGAGGCACTATCTGTTATACATCAAGGATTTGACTTGACCAGTTTAGAGGCCAATATTCAGCAGCAAATTCCCAAATTGGAATCAAACATTTCCCAATTGATGCTGTTACAGTTGTAAGTGATGTTATGGTGGAGGTGACTTGCTGACATCACCAGTACAGAGGAAGAAGCTTAATGCTTAGTTTTAGATTTTGCATTGTCAGTACTGTTAAACTTCATTGCTCAACTACAAATGTAACTCTGAAGTAAGGAAAATAAGATTTTATTTAAATATCAAAATTTTGAACAAAAGATAATGGTTTCCCAATTTGCCTTCCAAGGGCACATAGTTTGGAATCCTTGATAAATCTCTGCACATTTGGGGAATAACCAATGAGCTGGGAGGAATGACACATTACTTGTACCAAGTGAAGGAATGATTTTTATCATGAGCCTTTGGCAAGGGACCTGAACATTCAATCACAAGGGACATAGTCCGTAATTCAAAGTTGCTTATTCCATTTATTACTCCTTGACATATTGAGAGAGAAAATGGAGAAAAACATATAAAAAATGTCAAAGCTACAGATAAACTCTTCAATTGAATTAACCATTGGAATACATTATGCAAACACTCAAAGATTATTGGAAATATAAATAATCACACCTTCAACAATTAGGGGTTCTTATCATTCTTTATGTTCACACAAAATCAGAATATTTCTTAATTCATCAACTACTGTGGCCCATCTGCCATGGTATCTACCGGTATCCATTTTGTTGTACCATGGTCAAAGGGGAGACAACTCTTGCAATTCCAACTACCACAGAAGCATCTCTTAAATTAAAGTCACTGTACAAAATCCTTAGCACAAATCAATGTAAGATGTCATATCACCAATGAAACACTGTGACGTAGTTTGTCTACAATTGACCAATCAGCTTTGAGAATACCTTAAATGCACCAGTGCATAAAATGGAAAGTTTTAGGCTAAAAAAATAATAGTCTAGGTTCTCAGGCACCGCCCACATCATCAAAAAGTCTGTCACACGTTCCGTTTTTATTTCCATTATCCAAAATTATATAAAAATCTTTAAATATTCCACGTCTTGAACACACGACCCTGGCAGTTAAATGCTTCAATACTTAAGAATAACATGATTTCCCCAGAAACTGTAGTTAACAAATTTGGTTACATACTAGCTTGAACAACCACCCCCACCTCCCAAAACCCCAAACCCACGCAACAATTTCAAAAGCCATTGCCTGATAACCAATTCTATTCTTTTTCTTAAGCCCTACAAACTTGTATGTATATTGACACTAAACAAACTAAAGATTTCCACACATGATGACATTAGTGAGTGAGTGAATACTACATAATGCCATATCAGCAATCTTGCAGTTATTCGACAAAAGATGTTGACACCCGGAAACTGCACCCACCTTCTAGAGGCAGGAAGTTCAACCGGGGCTGTTCTGCTCCCTTGTTCTCAAAGAAACTTGTTCTGTCCAGCTGTCCCACGACCAGACCTCCTGGTCTGCAAACAATCAAGTTCTGCAGTTAGGTCACAGACACAGTAAGATCTACTTGTTTAGTCCAGAACCCACTTGCACAAAGCGATCTTAGCGCTAAGATGATCGTAACTCCCATTCTTTAACATAGGCTTACAATAGCCGTAGCGCTGAGATGGCTTTGTGCAAGTGGGTCCAGGAGGCTCCGTAATAAAGTTCAGGGTCCAAGGTATAAATATGGGATTAAGGGACATGTGACAAGCTTCACTTGGGTTCCAAGAATTTCCTATTTTTGCATATGCTCCTAAGCTTAAGCCTGGTATAGATGGCGATTCTAATGTTTGATTGAAGAAAATTTACCCACTGACATCCTGAACTTTGAGTATTTTCTACCAGAATAGAAATGTCACTTATAATTATGTGAGATATGATCTACATTTTGATAATTTCATTATTCAAACAGCCTTACGGTTTTGCATCCATAGGAACTCACAATGTAAATTATTAGGGTGTATTTGTATGACTAGAGGATGCCATATTTTGCAAGCCACAAAACCCTGAACAAACATCGACTGCATTAAATGCCTTCCTCACAGACCACAAGACACTGCTGCAGGAGTGTATCTCAGAAATATCATGCAAGACTATGCAGAATTTGGTCCAAGGGAAGGAGAAAGAATTGTACCCAGAGTGACATAAGTAGAGATTTCTGTATCTTGCAAGTTCTTTGGAGACTCATATCCTTGGAGGCGTCACTGATTATTTCATAAGCGGAAAATTAACATTTGAAACACCATTGGTTCCAAATCATATTTTGATGCATCATATACTCATTAACACCTGTAATCCTAATTAAAAAAAAACAATCACTGGTAACGATGATCATAATGAACATCCATTATCATTATTTGAGTGAGTGAGTGAGTGAGTATGGTTTTACGCCGCTTTTAGCAATATTCCAGCAATATCACGGCGGGGGACACCAGAAATGGGCTTCACACATTGTACCCATGTCGGGAATCGAACCCGGGTCTTCGGCGTGATGAGCGAACGCTTTAACCACTAGGCTACCCGACGGCCCCTATCATTATTTGAGCGTCATCATCCCAATCACATCAAGCCATAACCAAACTTTGTCCAAACAAACCAGTGGTCAATAGCATGAGCAGAAATCACTTGACAGCAATTGTCAGACTCAGGGATGAGAATGGATATTTTCTTTTTCAGCTGAAACTTCTTTGCAATGGAGCGTGGTCCATAATTTGGGGGTGTTTATGGGGGTAAGCATCAAATTTTAACAAATTTGTGGTTACTAAAATTCACGGATCGGCGGAAGATTCTCATCCCTGCAGACTACAATCACAACCAATGTCATGACATAAACAAGCCCAATAATTGACTCAATTTACTTGGCTCTTATGACAAGGGACCCGCTTCGTTATGGAGTACCCAAATGGCCTGTTAGCCAGTTATTCAAATATTCGAAGACTGGTTACCTGAACAGTGCAGTGTGGTCCCGGGGTACGTACTGCATGGCCACGACAGGTGACTTGCTGCCCCCTGTGTTGAGCTGTTGGACATGGGTCTGTGTGTTGCGGATGTCGAACTCCAGCACAGAGCCGTTCATCAGACCTGTATAGAAGTAGTTGGGGTCGTCAATGTTCCACATACAGCTCCACACTGGCACTTGGGTGTGGTACCTGCAGACACACGTGAAGCAGTCAGTTGGATGTGAGAGTGTGACTGTGTGATGTGTGTGTGTGAGTTAAAGGTGTGATATGTAACCGTGGGCATGGGCAGTGTTTGGGATGGGTGAGGTGAGGTGAAATAGGGTTTACCATTGTGTTCAAAATAATTGCACTTATATATTATTGCACACATGCATTTGTGTGTGTGTGTGCGTGCATGCGAGCTTGTACTAGTCAAAACTAATGCCGATTTTATAGTGCACGCTCACTGAGATGCCATGCCATTCCATACCCCACACAGACACAGTATACTGACTCCGAGCCGACCATTCCTTCTTTGACCCCCTTAATGCCGAGCGCCAGACAGGGTAACAACAAGCACCATCTTGTAACGTCTTTTGGTGTGACGCAGGTTGTGTTAGAACCTGAGAACTTCCGTTCTCCAAGCAGACACTCTACCACTAGACCACGGACGGATGCGTTGTTTGGGATGGGGGTGGGGATGGGGATGGGGTTCTCGGTGCGGGTGGGGGATGAGTGTGTGAGTGAGTGAGTTGGGTTTAACGCCGATTTTAACAGTATTCCAGTTATATCGCGGCATCGGGGGTGGGGGATGAAGATGAGAGTGGTGTTCGACAGGTGAGTGTGAGCATTCCGTGGGTATGTGAGGGTGAGACGTGATAGGTGGGAGATGGGACTGAGGAGAGAGTTCCACAGCTGTACCGGCACCTCTCCCATCTCAGTCCTATGGCATGCTTTCCTATCATTAGTGTTACGAAGGTGATATTCATTCAAAAGTCTAACAGTGTCATTATTCAATGTGTCCCAGCAGCATTAATAACAATAACACATGTAGACATGTCCTCAAAAAGCTCAACTGTGTCAACCTGACTGTCCAAACCTTTCGTAAGTTTATGACAGTTGAGGAGAAAAATCTACACCCAAATACTGTCAAAAATGCCCCTCATTCGAAGAGACAACTGAGTAGCAGAGAATCTTTATAAGCCATTATCACAGCCAGACTCCAAACACTCCACACCTGAACCTACGGATGGTGGCTGAATTGGGGTTTCACAACAAGCTACATAAAGCCAGAAAATCAGCTTGTCAAAAGGTTTTCATTTGCTGTTTGACACCACAGTCAGAAAAAGACTATATGATGGCAGTCTGTAAACATTCATCTACGCAGCTGAGATACAATGACATGCATCAACCAAGTCAGCAAACCTGACAACCAGATCCCATTAGTTGCCTCTTACAACAAGCATTGGTTACTGAAGACTAATTCTATCCCAGAACTTCACAGGGGACAAGCATTGGTTACTGAAGACTAATTCTATCCTAGATCTTCACAGGGGACAAGCATTGGTTACTGAAGACTAATTCTATCCCAGAACTTCACAGGGGACAAGCATTGGTTACTGAAGACTAATTCTATCCTAGAACTTCACAGGGGACAAGCATTGGTTACTGAAGACTAATTCTATCCCAGATCTTCACAGGGAACAAGCATTGTTTACTGAAGACTAATTCTATCCCAGATCTTTACAGGGGACAAACATTGGTTACTGAAGACTAATTCTATCCCAGAACTTCACAGGGGACAAGAATTGGTTACTGAAGACTAATTATATCCAAGATCTTCAGAGGGAACAAACATTGTTTACTGAAGACTAATTCTATCCTAGATCTTCACAGGGGACAAGAATTGGTTACTGAAGACTAATTCTATCCCAGATCTTCACAGGGAACAAACATTGTTTACTGAAGACTAATTCTATCCTAGATCTTCACAGGGAACAAGCATTGGTTACTGAAGACTAATTCTATCCCAGATCTTCAGAGGGAACAAGCATTGGTTACTGAAGACTAATTCTATCCCAGATCTTCACAGGGGACAAGAATTGGTTACTGAAGACTAATTCTATCCCAGATCTTCACAGGGGTTGTTGGAAGGTACCATCACACTATTGGAACTAATACCCCCATCCTTTGTTGTATTACATACGTTTGTACAACAGTGTTGCTCACGATGCTGGTCATCTTGGCAGTCTTATCCAGACCACAGCTCAGCAGAATTCCATTGTCATATGTGGGATGGAAGCAGATATCCCGGATAGCCTTGCTGTGGATAGTCATGTACTGGGATGTCTTGAAGTCCATAGCACTCAACTAAAGGCATAGAGAAGTAAATACATATTGAAAACATGTCTTAAATAAAACCTTCTTTCTTCAGTTACAGCTAAAGATATACAGCCCAGGTGACAAAACATATCCTTCTTTCTTCACATGATAGTGTTATTCCGGCATCTTGTCAAAATATTTTTCACACCATCATCACCCGTTTCTTCGTTGTTTAACGCCGCACTCAGCAATATTCCAGCTATAACACAGCAGTCTGTAAATAATTGAATCTGGACCAGACAAATCCAGTGATTGACATAATGAGCATCAATCTATGCATTTTTGATACAATGACATGCATCAAACATGTCACCGAGCCTGACCACCCGATCCCGTTAGTCACCTCTTAGGTGTGGTGAGGTGAGGTGAAATTGGGTTTAACATCGCGTCCAAGATTATTGCACTTATATAGCGACGTGCATGTACGTGTGTGTGTTTGTGTGGCTGCTTGTACTAGTCTGGACTGATGCCGATTTATAGTGCTAGCCGACTGAGATACCATGCCGCAATTTAACATGAATACCCCACTCAGACACAGTATACTGACTCCGAGTTGACAAGTCCTTGTTCTAGCCCCTAAATGCCGAGCGCCAGACAGGGTAACAAGTACCATCTTTTAACGTCTTTTAACGCTCTCCGGGTGGACGCTCTACCACTAGACCACGGAGGCGGTTCACCTCTTAGGACAAGAATGGGTTGCTGAAGGCCAATTCTAACCCGGAATCATCACGGGACGCATCACCAATGACCAAAGTTGAGTGCAGAGGATGGTGCCTAAGGGAACTAATAATCATTCCTTTCAATATGAAGTCTCAAACGGGTTACTGAATCTAAAGCAAGAAAACATATGTAAGCAAATTTAAGGCACTTTAGGCAATAATCATACTCTTCAGTACTAAAAGTAAAATCCAAGCGTGCTTTCAAATAGATATATTGCAACATTCTGACCATACCAGGCAGGCTCCACTTGTACAGGCAATTTCACTATTAAAACACACCCACATGCTGGTGTTTCTATTATTTATTGATCAAGTTACTGACAAATCTTTTGCTTCATGAACATAGTGACCTCATCATGAATTTAGAATAAAAGTTATTTACCAAATGTATTTTTGGAACGGCAGAGTTTTCAGATTTAATGACGAACGAACGCTCTAACCACTAGACTACACCACCGCCCCAAATTAGCTATTAGTTATTAACATTAATTGGGAAACTTTCAAATCCATTTTGGGAATATTTAATGACATTTGCTGCAGATTTGGGCCCAAATACTGTAAATTTGGAAATTAATGCATCTCCAAATTAATACGACTGCTAACCCCTAGCCAAAAATGTGACTCAATATCAATGCGACTTCCCGAACCCCATCCGGAGAGGAATGATACATATCCTTACCTTAATCCAACCTTAAGAATCAAACAGCAAATAGCATCACTGCTTATTAGCACTAAATAGAGGACTTCCGTAAAAACAATCAACGTTGTTTTCCTGAAAACAACACACAGTTTATATGTTTATTCTGTTGACTGGCAAAAGGGAGGTTCAAAGGCAAAAAAATAACTGAACTCACAACTGTTCACTGATTGGTATGCGGAGAAGGTGTCAACAAGCTTGACACAAGTGGGCAGAACCCTTGGCGCCAGCAGTGATAACTCACAGGATGCCCATTGTGTAATTCCTATTCTTTGAATGACATTGTTATACACTTGTTACAACTGCTGCTCAATAAACCGTATTTGTGCACATATTCAAGTTGGTATTTCATAAATGCGAAGTTAATTAATGCGAGCCAAAACCACTCGCATTTTTTGCATATAATTCACGCTCAAGTTAATTTCAAGATTTACAGTATCAGCCTCTGAGTATGCCTAGATAATACCTGTACAGACCAGGGGTCCGGAAAATTTAAAATCCCAATGGTTCCATACATAAAAAAATATCCTGCATACCATCTGTACCAAAGTGCTACGCTTATGGTTCTTATAATTTTAAGTATATATGGTTGAAGCTGCAACTAAAATAATATGATACTGGAATATATTATTCCTGATAAAATAATAATTTCCTCAAAATTCTTTGAAGTTGTATCATTGGGTACGTTTTAACTGAATCACCGGTAGATTGGGAGGAAATGTGTGCACAGCTGATTGCTATTTCCGGCTTAGTTTTACGCGAAAATACACAGGGTAATCTTAATCTCTGCATATAAAACAATGCCTTGGAGAGCAGGAAATACATTTTAAATGGTAAATCATCATGTCTAGTGATGTTTTATATCAAATTTCATACTTTTATTGACCAAGTTTGTTATACCTGGGTATTCACCTGAATTCGCTGAAGGGATACGATAACGCTAATCAATTATTTGGACCCCGTTTGTTTTTTAAAATGTCTGGACAGAAAAATTTAATTGTCCGGTATACAATATTTTAAACCGGACATTTGAGATTCCCAATCGGACATGTCCGGGTCATATGACAGTTTCCAGACCCCTGGTACAGACTACAAAGATTGATCTACCAGTACCATCCTCTTTCGTTTACTATCTAGAAACAATTCTATGCCCATGCCAGTGTTACAGATTATTTTCTCCATGTATACAAACAAATTTTTAAGGTTACCTACCCTTGGTTTTAACGAATTACCATTCAGCTAAAATCATCTTGAGAGAGCATCTCACTGGTCCAATCAAATTGGCAGCCTGTACCAGATACACCAGTGGATGACAGCATGAGCACTGGCCCACACCATAACGTCACAGTGATTTTTCAAGGCTAAAGTCAATAAGTGACAGTAGTTTGGAAATTCCAAAAATAGATCTGACGTCATTGTAGTGCTATATTTCCTACCACACATCAGGTCTCTGTCTTTTATCTTCTAAGAACGTAGTGTATACAAAATCCTGAAGAGTTAAAGATGAATCAGGACAAATCTGGGATTCACACACACAATATTATGTCCTCCTGACACAGCGATAGCCTGTTCGTGAAGCCCTCTATAATACCGCTGCCAGCAGTCACAGCTCCCAACAGTGTTAAGTGGCCATGACCATGCTTGGAGTTGAACTGGCAACCGGCTGATCGTTATGGGTACAACTCAGTGACGACTGTTGTTATGCCTGGTATTCTTCCCCTGTTGTCATTTTGAAATTTTATTTGATTTCAACTATCATTCAATTTGTATAGAAAGAATACACAGGGTAAATTGGCTATTTTTCCATTAGTCTGCAATCTCGACCCAATCTGATAAAACAAACCCAATGAAAATTCACCTGGGAAATAGTAAGTGAATCGTAAACATTTTCAAAATTCACTATGATGGCATTCCTGAAGACATGCACTAAAATATAAACGTCACAACATTGGGGGTTAGAGGTCAAATTTCACGGTTAGTGTAATGACAGCTTTCACAATTGTGGCACTGATGTTACCTGCAGTGTAACAAACACCTGGGAAGGAGCTTGGTCTTGACATGACCAAGGGGAAGCAACTCTGCACAGTCTAGCTTAATTAAAGACAACAGTCTTGACAGTTAAGGAGGATATAAACATGGGTTTAATGGCAAACAAGCTTTTCACTTCTTTGCTTAAATAACTCACTTTTTTAATACCAAACCCAGGGAAGAGCGTACTTGAGGAGGGCTGAGACACAATGAGGGCACCCAACGAGGAGCTATACGCCAACACCCGACACTGGCCAGCCTGGAACAGGACACATACAGACATTTAGGTATTGGGTGATTTTGACTGATTTTGGATGTTTATACTCAGCTTACATCAAAACATGTCATAACACTCCTACAGCTGCAGGGATGTTTGTTTGTTTGTTTGTTTGTTTGTTGTTTAACCCCGCACTCAGCAATATTCCAGTTATATGACGGGGGTCTGTAAATAATCGAGTCTGGACCTGACAATCCAGTGATTGATATCATGAGCATCGATCCACGCAATTGGGATCGATGACATGCATCAACCAAGTCAGTGAGCCTGACCACCCGATCCCGTTAGTCGCCTCTTACAACAAGCATAGTCACATTTATGGCAAGCATGGGTTGCTGAAGACCTATTCTACTCCGGATCTTCATGGGTACCACAACAATGTACTTGCATTAATACAATACTCTGTATGACATAACATTTGACATTTAGAAAACTTGTACAAAGGATAAACTTTCTGGCAACTATCCACAGCGAGAAAGGGACTCAGTAATTTGCAGAGCGGCATATTTTGCAATTATCAGTTCAAGTGGGTGAATGAGGGAATTTTATTTAAAGCTGATGCAACATTTAAGCAATATCAGGGCACATGTACAAAGTGCAGCCCAGGCAAACCCTTGGTTCACATCAAGTGCAACTCTCCATGCTGTCTTACAACAGGTACCCGTGAAGATCCGGGGTAGAATGGTCTTCAGCAACCCATGCTTGCCTTAAAAGGTGACTATGCTTGTCGCAAAAGGCGACTAACAGGATCGGATGGTCAGGATCGCTGACTTGGTTGATGCATGTCATCGATCCCAATTGCGTGGATCGATGCTCATGATATTAATCACTGGGATGTCTGGTCCAGACTCGATTATTTACAGGCCGCCGTCATATAGCTGGAATATTGCTGAGTGCGGCGTTAAACAACAAACCAAACCAACCAACCAACAACAGATGCTGGGTACTGTGGCCCAACCCTGCCCTGGAATCCCTGATGACACAATGATGGGCACTGCCAATGTGCATCTGATTTCCGATTCTTCCATTCCTGGTATTTGTAAAGTTGTAACTTTGTTTGTTGTTTAACTCCGCACACAGCAGTATTCCCGCTATACGACGCTGGCCTGTCAATAATCAAGTCTGGACCAGACAATCCAGTGAGCGACATCAATCGTTTGACACTGTGAGAACTGATCCACGCCATTGGAGAAGGATGAAATGTAATCAAGCAAGTTATGGAGCCTGACCAATAGATCCAATAGTTGTCCTCTTACGACCAGTATCGGTTGCTGGGAACCTGTTCTAACCCGGGATGCCCACTGAGTACCAAGTTGTATACATTACCTCCCATATCTTCACTGTTCTGTCCATGACGAACCTCTTCCCTGATGTGTTGACTGTCGTCTGTGTAGCGCCATCTGGTGTCAAAGTCTGGGAGAGACGCTGACCACTGCTCAATTGAGACCTAGATTAAAGAAACAGAATTCTAACAATTTTTTAACTATATTTACCATGATTACATAAGATATTTTCCAAAATATATGTACGCTACCAGAGTTCAATACTAGTAAAATCCTAGATATTTTTATATATTTGTATACTTATAATGCATTACTCCTTAATGCATATTACTGCTTGTTCTTGACAGAGAAAAGAGCTGTGTGAAGATCTTTGCTTGAAGGAAGTTGTTCCAACTAGCTGAGAGGCCAACCCTATAACACAGCTCCCACGTGACCAAGGGAAGTGACGTCACGGATCCTCACATTACTTTGGGGTCCGGAACATCGGAAGGCATCATGGAGAGGCAGCTCTGCGACAGGCGGGTCTTTTTAGATGCAGTAATGCAGGATAAGTATACAAATATATAAAATATCTAGGATTTTACTAGATTGTTTACTTATCCTGCATTACTCCTCAATGTATCTTTATCCGACGGAATCGGTGGAAGGCATACCTTCAGATGTGGACTTTCATCTCAGAACTCTGTTTCCCTCAGCCAGTCCTCAGCCGTGTGGTCGGCAGCAAATAACCAATCCACAGAGGGGAACCAAGAGTCAGGTATGCAGTGTGTCCAGTTACGATGGAGCCATAGACGATAACCTTTCTCAAGTTAAAGTTGTAGACTGACGTACCGAGCTGTATGTGTGGGGCATGAACCTTTTACTCCAGGGCACTTAAGCCAGGGGAGGTCGAGAGGCCGGCTCTGGACTGAAGGCGAGGTCATTGGTGTCTAGAAGTGGTGACCTGTTGGGCCAGTGCTAACGGACCAAAACTGTGCATGCCTTGCACATCCTCCAAAGTGATGTCTCGCAGGTAGTGATGGGCGGAGACTGTGTTGGATGACCCCTCCATGATGGCACGTAAAGAGCAGTTGCTGTGTAGCGCCATGATGGAGGCGACCGCCCGGATCTCATGCGGAGAATGATGGCGCGCAGCCAGAGGGCGATCGTGTTGCGGCTGACTTCCACTTGCGAGATCGCAGATACCGGTACAAACAAGCGTCGTTGTTATCTATGGCATTCCTTGGACCAGCAGATGTAACAACGGAGTGTTCTTACCGGGCACAGAAGCTCTTGTTTTGTCTTCCGCGACCACAAGAAAGTGAGTGAGTGAGTGTGTTGGGTTTAGCACCACTTTTGACAGTATTCCAGAAATATCACGGATGTCAGCTTCATGTGGGAGGAAAGCCCAAACGGATGCAGACGTTTACCATTTTGGTGAAACCCACGAGCATGGGTATGGTGCTGACAAACCTAGAAACATAATCGGGGCGAACCGGGATTTGAACCCACAATCATAGGTTTCTGGCATGCCCAAGGGACTCAAAACCTTGTCTGGCTGAGAGATAGTATCCGCCAGGACGTTGCGACAGCCCGGAATGTGTTGACCTGCAAATGGATCCCCAGATGATCCACCAGGTGGAAGTGAGTGTGAGTGAGTCGTTCCTTGGTTCCGCAGACACCTGTCGACGGTTATGTTCTCCGTCGAGATGGGGAGCCAGGCGTGTCTGAGGGCCTTGTTCCAAGGAGCGAGAGGCAGGATAAGCGCCTCCAGTTTTGGGTTGTTGATGTGCCATAGGCACTGATCGGAGGACCACAGTCCCGAGGTGACCTGTCTCTCTAGTGGTGTGCCCCATCTCTGCAAGGAGGCATCTACGAATCAGTGTAGTGAGGTTGTAAGCCCTGTCAAGGAGACGCTGCCTAAGACATTCGATTCCATCATCCACCACCAGAGAAGAGGTTTGAGGTGATCTGGGCGGACAATGGACACCAAGGGGTCCTGACGCCTTATGTAGGGAGCCAGGAACATCTGGACTGGACGCAGTTTAAACTTTCCCCTGTACGTCAAGTCCCGTGCTGAGGTTAGGAGGCCCAGGAGGACTTGCCACTGATGCAGAGTGCGTAGCTGGTGGAGGGCTGGAACCAGGTGATTGTATGCGCTCCCAACGGTCCCTGGGTACAGAGAGGAGGTTCGAGGTTCGTCTGAAAAAGACCCCCGATGAACTGAAGGCGGAATGAGGGCGTCAACTCTGACTTCTTCCAACCTAACTGGAGACAGAGAGTGAAGTCTCTGTGGCGAAGTAGAGTGACAGTGTCCCAGTGACAGACGTTGTGTATCATCCTGTGTCTGTCTGAGTCCTTCTTGGGGACAAGGAAGATGGGTGACTAGAAGCCCGCTGTTATGGCTGGGGCATGTACAACCTCTATGGCCTCCTTGGCCAGTAGCTGCTGTTGAGTAAGGGGGTAGACATTCGCTATGGGGGACGACTTGAGAGGCGGGTCGTCTGGGACGACTCAGAGCGACTGGTATATGGCAGCATATATGCTCAACCTGTTGTTGGAGGTAGGATAAGACGGTGGTAAGGTGGTCTATCCGGTGCGGATTATCCTCCAACAGGTCCTGGAGGCTCTGGAGGTCGATGCCATAAGCGAGAGTGAGTTGAGGGAGCAACAAATCTCACTTTCCACACAAACGAGTTTGTTGTCTGAAACTTGTACCGAGGTGGGACGGTTGGACCCGGTCATGCGGTGAAGATCCTCGTCTAACTCATAGCTGTGGTCCGCAACCTGGAGGGAGTGGATCAGATAATCGCCTTTCTGCATCGTGGGTTTCTGAAGGACAGAGTCAGTGACAGCTTGCTAAAGTCCTCATAAAGGGCCGAGATCATGTCCTTCATTAAAGGATCCGTTGGGACCGAGGTAGGGCCCAATCTAATGGCGGTCTTACTATCGATCTCTAGGCCAGGGGAAGGAGTGACTGCCTCAAGTCTGCCCGCCAACCAGTCTGCTACCTGGTCTAGTCCAAGGTAATCAGTGGGAGTATCATCATAGCATGGAACGAAGTCACCCTCTGAGGAGTCTGAACAGTAACCGCTAGAGCGTCTGTGGAGTGAGTGAGTGAGTGAGTATGGTTTTACGCCGCTTTTAGCAATATTCCAGCAATAACACGGCGGGGGACACCAGAAATGGGCTTCACACATTGTACCCATGTCGGGAATCGAACCCGGGTCTTCGGCGTGACGAGCGAACGCTTTAACCACTAGGCTACCCGACCGCCCCAGAGCGTCTGTGGACAGGAGAGGAGCTCCTAGATCGGGGAGTCCTGTGAGACGAGCGACTGTCACTCAGATGAGAGGATGTACTGGGTGAAGCCAAGTCCAGGGAGTCACAGGAGATAGACGATAGACTGACGACCGGTAGAAGAGAAGGCGTCTATAGAGGTGTCCAACAAGGCGCTACAGTCGGAGGCGCTGGAGGAGGCACGGGTGTCTGTATAGGCGCTGTCTGTCGGATACGGACTGGGACGTAGGCGGGGGCGCCTGTTGGATGCCATAGCCCAAGGATGTCTGTCCGGTGGACTGGATAGATGCCATCTGATAGGAGATGCATCCCCGCCCGATTATGTATGCTATAATTTGTTTTGAAACAAATATTACGTAAAGCATAGGACAACATACGATGACAAAACAATATACTTATGCTACAGTTTCAAAACAAGTCTTCACTCAGCAAGTGACAAGGGTAATGTGAGGATCCGTGATGTCATTTCCCTTGGTCACGTGGGAGCTGTGTGATAGGGTTGGCTAGTTGGAAAAACTTCTTCAAGCAAAGATCTTCACACAGCCCTTTTCGCTGTCAAGAACAAGCAGTATTATGCATTAAGGAGTAATACAGGATAAGTAACAAATTCAACTTATAGCTTGTAATGATGTAACTACAAATTACTGATTTCAAATATGGACAAGATTAATGAAGTCTGTTGAACTAGCAGACTAGCTACAGTGTATACACTTGGGGGGGGGGGGGAAGGGGGCATAGAGTCCTTGCTGTCTTAAACTACTGTATCTAGGGACCCCCTAAATACTTAAAGCTAGGGTTATAACAGCAAGGATTTATCCAGGATTTTAACCTATGTGCCCTTGGCAGGCAATATGGAAAATATAGCTTTGTTCAAAACTTGGCTTTTTTCGAATTCTTATATTTTTCAATTCAGAGGTGCCGCATTTTAACATTGTATTAAGAGATTGCATTCCATGCAATAATATTAAACTGAGCATTACAACCTCTTCCTATTTTTTCGTCCTGTTATCAGTGAAATACAGGTTATTTCTACATAAAATTAGTTATTAACCACTAGACTACCCCACCGCCATTAACTATTAGTGATTAACATAAATTAGGAAACTTTCAAATCCATTTTGAGAAATTTTAATAACATTCACTGCAGACATGGGTCCGAATATCGGCCTCAAAATGTCTAGATAAATCCCCGGACAGTTTTTTCTGCTTAACTACGAACATAGATCTACCTGTACCATCCCTTTTTGTTTGCTAGCGAACAATGCTATGCTCATGCCAGTGCTACAGATTATTTTCACCATATAAACAAACAAATTTATCATCAGAAAACTTTGGTAAAATTATCCAAAGTATACCTACCCTCCGGTTAAATGATATTTCCATTCAATTGAAATCATCTTAAGAGAGCATCTCACTGGTCCAATCAAATGGCAGCCTGTACCAGGTACACCAGTGGATGACAGCATGAGCACTGACCCACACCATAAGGTCACAGTGACACATTGCGTGGATCGATGCTCATGATATCAATCACTGAATTTTCTGGTCCCGACTGGATTATTTACAGACCGCCGTCATATAGCTGGAATATTGCTGAGTGCGGCGTTAAACAACAAACCAACCAACCAACCAACCAGGTAACCATGGTAACATATTCTGTATCTTTTCACTAATCACCGTACAAAACGGGGGTCAATCAGTCTTCCCTGATGGGCTAGACAATCCATAAAGATTAACCATTATGGAAAAGGTATTCCTGTATTTGATGACAAATGACGCCAGCCACAGATAGGCCAGTCAGAAAACAGACCTTTCAGCTGGTTACTTCAACTGCTGGAGTTGTGTGCGAGCTGTATTCAGCTCTTGTCTGAAGCGATTACACTCCTCCATACAGAGCTGATACTGAAGGCCGGGATGTACTTACCTCAACTGCTGGAGTTGTGTGCGAGCTGTATTCAGCTCTTGTCTGAAGCGATTACACTCCTCTATACAGAGCTGATACTGAAGGCCGGGATGTACTTACCTCAACTGCTGGAGTTGTGTGCGAGCTGTATTCAGCTCCTGTCTGAAGCGATTACACTCCTCTATACAGAGCTGATACTGAAGGCCGGGATGTACTTTCCTCAACTGCTGGAGTTGTGTGCAAGCTGTATTCAGCTCTTGTCTAAGCGATTACACTCCTCTATACAGAGCTGATACTGAAGGCCGGGATGTACTTACCTCAACTGCTGGAGTTGTGTGCGAGCTGTATTCAGCTCCTGTCTGAAGCGATTACACTCCTCTATACAGAGCTGATACTGAAGGCCGGGATGTACTTACCTCAACTGCTGGAGTTGTGTGCGAGCTGTATTCAGCTCTTGTCTGAAGCGATTACACTCCTCTATACAGAGCTGATACTGAAGGCCGGGATGTACTTACCTCAACTGCTGGAGTTGTGTGCGAGCTGTATTCAGCTCCTGTCTGAAGCGATTACACTCCTCTATACAGAGCTGATACTGAAGGCCGGGATGTACTTTCCTCAACTGCTGGAGTTGTGTGCAAGCTGTATTCAGCTCTTGTCTAAGCGATTACACTCCTCTATACAGAGCTGATACTGAAGGCCGGGATGTACTTACCTCAACTGCTGGAGTTGTGTGCGAGCTGTATTCAGCTCCTGTCTGAAGCGATTACACTCCTCTATACAGAGCTGATACTGAAGGCGGGAGTGTGCAGCTTCTAGCTCTGCCTTCCGCCGATGTTCTTTTTCCTTTTCCAGGTCAGCAAGCGCCCGATCTCTCTCTGTGGTGTCCACTGCCTGCAGTGACAAGATAATCAGTGAGATTCTTCTTCTCAGACTGCATCAAGTACTGGACCCACAAAGATGATCATAGATGCCATACTTCAACATAGCCTTATGACAGTTGTAGTGGTTAGATCGCTCTGTGGAATTGGGCCCTGGAATATACTGAACATTCACAACATTGGGAGTGATGCCGCATTACGATACTCGTATTGTATTGGTTGATGCAAACAGATAAAAGTATATAAAATGTGACTTATAACATGGATGACCATACAGTTTAAAATACAATTTTTGGCATAATATGCTCAAGCCACGTTTTGAAAATTGAGTCAACTCTACACAATATGTTATAGTTAGGCTACTATTCATTTACCTGACTATAGAAAATGACAGGTGTCGAATTTTCATGTTTGGTATAACGACTTCACTGTCAAGATAGGAACCGTATTGCAAGGGATCTCTACCTCAAGAAACACAACTAGGTGACAATTGACCAATTAAATAAGGTCTATTCAGATGACCCTGAAGCCCGGAGTTTGTACATTTTCTAAGGTGATATACATATTTTGTCCAGGTAACTAAACTGGGTAACCATGGTAACCTTGATAGACTTTGTGTAGAGGACTCGGATGTCCTGTCTCTTGGCCTTGGCGTTGCACTGCGGGCACTTTCCTCCCTGACCCTTGAGCCACTTGTCGATGCAGCTGTGAACAAGACAATAGTGGGTTGTGTGAAGCAGTGTGTGAAACTATTGTTCACCAGCACTAGCCAGTCAGGCTAGCTGGATAATGTTTTGGTTTTTTTTACTAGCCATTTCAGATTTGATTAGCCATTTTTCTACCCTACCAAGTTCAAGGAAATTAAATGGTATTTCAGTCTGATATCAATATTAATAGTTTGCAGAATGATAGCCAATAGAAACAATGTGATCCATTCGGATACCCCTCGAGAAAAGTCATCTTTTTCTTGTAAGATGAATCACAGGCGATATTACTGTTTTTAGAATCGATCTTATGTTTTAATTGAACATTTCCTTTTTGGGATGCGGAAGGAAGGTTTACTTGTTGTAGCTCACCAGATAGAAAATTAAGCTAGCTAGTCAAGCTAGGACCTACCTAGAGTTTACCTAGAGTTTATTTAAACTTGCCAGAATGAAAAGAAATTAGCCATGTGCTACCAGACAGGAACTTATTTTGTTCACTTGTTTGTTACCCGTAATGTTTTAGCTTATATAACCACTCCTGTAAAAGACTGTGAAAGAAACAAAATTTGCCCAAGAAGCATTTGAGCTTATTACCCAATGACTCACCAGGTGTAATTGTTGGGGCAGCCCCCACCCCCCCGCCCCTCAAATCTGGGATGGCCGGCATGTTATCATGATCTGCTTCCTTTTTTAAACTGCTCGAGGCATCTGTGTACATTAACTATGATAGATGTGATGCACATGAAGCATGTTTTGTAGGACTACGTACAAGGTGTATTTCACAGAGGAAGGAGCGAACACATGCCTCACAGCAGTTTTTGTCATGTAGGGACAACATACTTCAAGATTGTTTTCAAAATAATGTTAACAATAAACATGATAAACACAGATTCTTTCATGAATTTGAAAATTTCTCAATTCTGACTGGAGGTTTCAAATCACATTAACCAAGTAATTCTACAAACGAAACAAACCTATCTTGTCAAACCTATCTTGAAAATTAAACACAAAGTTTGTTAACAGTTATCTTGTAAAATAAGAACTCAAATACAACCCTACAGCACCAAACAAGTCCATCTTAATGAACCCGTGAAGATCCGGGTTAGAACAGGTCTTCAGCAACCAACCCATGCTTGTCTTAAGAGGCCACTAATAGGATCTGGTGGTCAGACTTGCTGACTTGGTTGGATGTCATCGTATTCCATCGTAAAAGGTGACTATGCTTGTCGTAAGAGGCGATTAACTGGGCCGGGTGGTCAGGCTCGCTGACTTGGTTGATGCATGTCATCGTATCCCCATTGCGTGGATCGATGCTCATGATGTCAATCACTTGATTGTCTGGTCAAGACTTGATAATTTACAGACCCCCGTCATATGGCTGAAATTTTGCTGAGTGCAGCGTTAAACAACAAACAAACAAACAAATCATCTTAATGAGGCATCACGCACATACCTTTGACCAAACAAATGACCACATCGGAGAGAGGCCAGTCTATGGCTACCAGATGTTGTCCAGGGCTCAAAGCAGATTGGACAGCACTGAAGGAAAGAGCGGAGATTGTAGTTTCTAACGATACATTAAAAACAAGGACAAGGTTTTCAAACATATATATTCCTACTTCACCGCTGACAGTTATCTGGGAATACGAGATGTCAGCTACCAACAGTCCTGCTGGTGAATACCGGCTATGATGTAACAAACGTAAAGTATTAAAAGGAATTATGGGCTTCCCACAAACCAGTGGTTGATAGCATGAACAACAATACATTACGTTAGGGTTAACGCTACCACCCATCATTATCTCTGTCTGTGTTAGAACAAGCAGAAAAAAAGCAAGGCATAAACATGATAAAGGAGGGGGTTCTCTAAAATATTTAATTGATGGAACTACAAATATAAATTGGACAAACATGATCAGGAAATAAAATTACTCACATCACTATCATCATCTGATTCTACATTTGTTGGTGCCGACTTTTCTGGAGAGCTCCTTTTCCGACGCTTTGGTGATCGGAATTCCGCCAATGATGCATTTAGTAATGACTGTGTCCTGGCAGAACTCGCTGGAACAACAGGGGTTGTGGGGACATCTGGTGGCGGTAATGGAGGATCAGCCACAGTTACCTCCCCTCCACCAGTAGGTGGGTCATGTGTCCCTTCTTCCCTGGCAGTTCCAGGTGTCGGTGATGTCTGTAGGGGCAGCAGAGGTAGAGGTGGTTCACTTGCTGTTGGTTGCTGTGGTGATGGTTGGAGTTGAGGTAATGGTGGATCCATTGCTGTTGGTTGTCGTGGCGATGGCGGGGCTGAATTCTCCACGTCCACTTCATTACTCTTTTGGAGAAAATGGAAACAGTTATAATGAGATCACACGCAAGAAGGGGTTAGAAAGGGAAGAAAGGAGTAGGTTAATACATTTGTACACATATCTATGAATCATTCACACTGAAATGTCTGTTGTACAAAAATTTAACTGGCTTATAAGCAGTCATTTTGAGGTGAAATGGGGTTTAACGTCGCGTCCAAGATTATTGCACTTATATAGCGACGTGCATGTACCTGTGTGTGTGTTTGTGTGGCTGCTTGTATTAGTCCAGACTGATGCCAATTTATAGTGCGAGCTCACTGAGATATCATGCCGCAGTTTAACATGAATATCCCACTCAGACACAGTATACTGACTCCGAGCCAACCAGTCCTTGTTTTAGCCCCTTAATGCCGAGCGCCAGACAGGGTAACAACAAGTACCATCTTTATACGTCTTTTGGTATGACGTGGCTGAGAATCGAACCCCGGACCTTCCGCTCTCCGGGCAGACGCTCTACCACTAGACCATGGAGGCGGTCCAGTCATTTTGAGTACATTTTAGTGTTTCATATGGACTTTTATAAGATTGCGATATGATACATATTACAAAAAAACATGATGCTTGTGACTGTCATGATGGGAGTCATATTTTAGCATCAAAGTGAGTGGACAAAAAGCCAACCCAAACAAATTGAGTAGATTTAAGTGGATTACTCATTGATAAAATGTACTCGTATCGTGATGCACAGAACATTAAGTGTACTGATACACCCCTGATGAACTGTTACTCTTGTTATTATTAGAAACATAATCAGAATGATGACAAACAGTCTGGTCATCACTGTCATACTTTGTGACCACCCGATCTTCGTTACTTGACCCATACATGCACTGGAAACTGGGGACATATTCTACCACAGAATTCACGGGGGTAAAAATATTTTGTTTGTTTCTTTCTTTGTTGTTTAATGCCACTCAGCAATATTCCAGCTATATGGCAGCGGTCTGGAAATAATGAATCTGGACCAGACAATCCAGTGATTGACATGATGAGCTTCGATCCACGCAATTGGGATACGATGACATGCATCAACCAAGTCAGCGAGCCTGACCACCTGATCCTGTTAGTCACCTCTTACAACAAGCATAGTCGCCTTTTACGGCAAGCATGGGTTGCTGAAGACCTATTATCAGTCACAACCATGCACTAGATCGAAATGAATGACAGAATTAACACAACAGATGTTTTCAAAGTGTTGTTTTTACCACACCTGTTACATGCTGGTAATAAATAAACTGTAAGGGATCCAAGACATTTGATTGGCTAACCAAGCAATTTCTTTGCATGTATGTTTTCATAGCCATCCCCCAAAATAGGCCACATCCTCTAACACACTACTGTTTCCGGATTGATAAAGGAATGGACGAGGTTTGTTTTGCACTTTGTGCCAAATGATGATTTTATGTTGTTGTTTATTTTTGTTGTCTGGTAATGATTAAATTTACCATGAACTTGGAAATTACTCGATTCTGATTGGTCAATCAGAGGCTATTAAATCACAATAAACCTCCTCTGACTGAAACAGCTGGTTTCTTTAGGGGTGCCAACCTTTTGCTAGCTTTCCAAATTGCCATGCTCATATGCTTTCAATGGCTGTCATATGTTTGTGTGAAGTATTACAGTGTAAACAAACTGCCGGTGCATATACAGCACCATAATTTCTTTAAAGGCTATCGCTGGTGAAACTGTAATTCACATAGACAACCCACTCAAAACCCGGAACTCGGCATCAAAGCAACAAAGGGTGCTAGAACCAAAGAGTTTGTGTTTTATTTAGTCATGGCAGAATGGAGTTAAACAGACTGTGTTTTCAATGTAGAGCTAGGTTACCTGTAGATTTAACTGCGCTAAATTAAATTTGGAACAGAAAGCAAAGCATGGTTTCAAATGTTAAATTTTTGTTTTATAAATCTCCAAAATCAACGGTCTGTGAAATTATGATTGTTGGCATACATAGTTATAAGAATGCTTGTATTGAAGTCAATTCTCAAATAATCATCATTGCTGAATTTGATGATCATTTAAAGGCATAATAGTAAGTGTCGAATAGATACTGAAGTAAGTTAATAGATCACTGTGCACAGCATGCTGTTGAGTTTCATTGTAGGCATGGAGTTTTATTCACTGCACTGCAAAGGTTCATGGATATACAGAAAAGTGGAAAACTTTTGAAAAATTTGAAAACATTGATTTCAAGATGGATATATCTAAGTGACCATAACAAAATGTGTTAACTTTTTATGCCAGGGAGTGCTCAGCAAATGTGATTACATCATTCTTAGAATACTGACTTTAAAAACTCAGGGCAGGACACTGACACTAGTCGGTTACTATGAGACAAGAGAATCTTGCAGGACTAGTTGTTTTCTCCCATAATCTAGTTGTTTTACATAACCACCAGTCCAAACTGAGCTGCAGGCTACTTTTATATGACCAAAGGTGTCTACCCCTGGTAGGGTTCTATATATTTTCTTCATATACTTATCCTTCGTATGAACATCCATTTAACAATCACTTATTTGCCTTTTTATCCATTGTGTGAGCCACATATCATATGAAATTCATAAAAAAAAACAAATTAAGAAAATGATTGGATAAAAGCATGATCGTGTACCTCTGAATCAGAGTCTTGCACAATGTCCCCTTCATCTGAATCTGTCACAAATATGTCATCGCCAGATTCTCCGCTCAATGAGTCACTGAGTTCAATAATGTTGGGTGACAGCGCCACCTGCAGGAGAGAACAAATTATCTTTACGTGTGATGAAACAAAAAAATTGTCAAAGTTAACAAATGCTTAAGGCAGTAATTTGATCATTTTGACCCTTAATATATTTCACAAATCATACACAACAAATTAATTTCAACTGTCTTAACTTGGTGTAACAATCAACTATGTATTACTAGAGTTCAAAAAACCAAATGGTGGCGCCTGACAATGGTCAGTAACATTTACTTGAGAACATAATATCTTCATGTAAACTCAGTGTCACCATCAAACACTTTAGCTCCCAGCATATTGCAATACGTATATCAATACACATACCTGTGTCACAATATATTGCAATACACTCTTTTGGCCTATACACAGCCCTAATATGAAATCTTTTAACATGGACAAGTGCAGTGCATTGAGTGTTTGATCATCATTTTTTCTGCATAGCTTTAGCTTGTTTAGGCTTTCACATCCAGTTGACATAACTGAAATATCATTCAAAGCAGCATTAAAGCCAACTCAAGCACTTAAGCTTTTGCTACATGAAAACAGTTTCCTAAGTTACGAAACACAACTGCTCCAGTTTTATGCCCTTTATCGGGATTCCAGCAATATAACAGCAAGGGACACCAGAAATGGGCTTCACACATTGCACCCATGTGGGGAATCAAACCCATGCCTTCGCCATGAAGAGTGAAAGCTTTAACCACTAAGCTACCCCACTGCCCGCCACTTGCGCAAAATGAAGGTCATGGTAGATGTCGTACCCGCAGTCCTGGCAACACAACTATAGAACCATCATCCAGGTCATCGTCAGCCACAACTACCTCTTCCTGGATCGCCTCCACGCCGACATCACTGACATCCATACTGTGCTAGAGACTGCACTGGAAACAGATCAAGATTCCATCTCACTTCTGAAACTATCTCCAGAGCTACAGATAAGCTGAGTATTTGCGTAAAATATCCCCCAAAACTATTCAAAACCCAATTAAATTGCATACAGAAACACATGCATTAAATTAAAAACTCAAATGTTTGAAAACAGCATGCGTAAATACACAAGGAAGCTTTTTTAGCATGCGCACAATGGAGCTCATTTCCGATGGATTGTCTGGTCCTGACTCGATTATTTACAAACTGCCATCATATAGCTGGAATACTGCTGAGTGTGGTGTTAAACAACAAACAAACAAACACAAGGCATCCAGTCTCAAAAACAACAATATCAGAAAGTTATAAGAAGCCATCCACATCAAAAGATTCATGTCGACCAAAAATCTCTTTCAGAAATGAGGACTACTTAACCCGATCAACCTACCACCATCCCCTCATCATCAAGACCCACATGGTATCCGTACTGTAACTACAAGCAGGAGATCCCCAATAATTAATTTACAGGAAATGAGGATTTTGTTGTGCATCCCTCGGGACGCAATATTTTCATTTATCAGCGTTAGAAACTAACAGTTTTCGTCAACTAGTCCTTATAATGATAACATATAGGAAAACCCTTAAAAATGGCAATTTTCTACTAGTCCTTATGATACCTTTACCATTGGGCAGTTTGGTAAGGACTATAGGACTAGTGCCAATTTCTAACCCTGTTTATGCATCCATTCTAGACATTTGTATGACTGGATGCACATTTCTGCATCATGTAAAACCCTGTCAGCAACATCACCTGTTTATACGCATCACTTGCTTCAGAAAGGTACTAGCATCTGTACGTCAGAATGTATATTGAAAGAATAATTAAGTTTAAATTCATGTCAACTTTGTCTTTATTCACAAGGAGACATTCAAAATATAATAGTACAAAGGCTACAGATTCATGTTTCAGTCATAGTGAAGCAGTGTAGACATGTCCACTTGTAGGGACTAGTTGTTGTCTTTCCAAATCTAGTTATTTTACATAACAGCTAGTCTGACATGTGGCCAATGGTGTCTACCACTGTGAAGTGACAGTATTAAAGACATTCAAGCATAATATCATGACATAAGCCTGCTTGATTTTAAGTCAGGTGAGATGACCAAAGTATATAAATAAATTAACATGATTATTGTGTGCATATGTTAAAATACATACCTGATATATGTCGTAAAACCATTGTGGGGACTTTGCTTACATGAGTCTGAAAAGAAACAGCAAATCAATAAAAATATATCTTTCAACTGGACTAGCGACTATGTCAAACCTTATTGTATCAGGTCTGTCAATGTTCAGGATGTCAGTTACTGGATTCTCTGACCCCAACTCAGTTATTTACAAACCACTGTCATATAGCTATATCTAAGAGTGCTGTGTAAAACATTAAACTAACAAACAAAAACTTCAGACATCACATATATAATAAAAATTCAGGTCAAAGGAGTTTGAGATACTGAGGTATCACTGTAATTAGGCCTGATTCTATCAATTATAAACAAACAAACAAAAAATAATGATGATCAAACATGTTCTTGATATAAGTATGTTCAGAACTTCATAAGCATTCATATACCCGGGTACCCACAAGACTACCTGGACAAGGTGGTTAGTCACATGATGCATTATATAATCACAAAAACTCACTATAATTCCAGGTTTGTTATTAGACACATAATCAGAAATACCATATTAGACGTAATAAGTGCAGGGGCGCTCTCAAAATTAGAAATAGGGGGCTCTTATGAGAATGTTATTTTGGTGAAAAAAACAGAGTTGAAAGATAAATTTTGTGGTTTATGCTTACAGCCTGAAATGTTTATGTACGACAGATATATTTTTCCAGAATTAAATGGCCATTTTTAAGGGTGCATTTAAAACACAAGTGCGTATTAAGCACGATTGATTGATTGAGTATGGTTTTACGCCGCTTTTTGCAATATTCCAGCAATATCAGGGCGGGGGACACCAGAAATGGGCTTCACACATTGTACCCATGTCGGGAATCGAACCCGGGTCTTCGGCGTGACGAGCGAACGCTTTAACCACTAGGCTACCCAACCGCCTATTAAGCACGAAATAAATAAGTCTTGTGTACATTGATCAATCGGAAGGGGTGCTAATTTGGATTGTTCACTAGCCAACATCTTGGCAAATTATTAGACGGGGGCGCTTATTACGTCGGATACAGTACTTCATCGTGCCTGAAACAGTTTGCGAGGATGTAACTTCAAAAAGTGACTTCAGTATGTTTACTGTTAGAATCAACACTAGTGGCTGTTACAAATTAGTGAATTTGTGGACGTTTGTGGTGTTAAATCATAAAGCAAACATAGTGGACAAACGATGAAGTCTCTCATCATGGTAAACCTTGTGGACATTTTGCCTAAATCTTTGGACAGGTTTCGGCTGTCATTCAGATCTAATGGCGATGACAGTAATCGTTAAATGGTAGTAGTGACAAGGATTTCTACACATCAAACAACATCAATAGATACTCTCTGCAGACAAATGGCGCTTCTATATTTCTATTAGTGCTGATGATATTCAAAATATAGAACACATTGGAAATGCTGACTTGTGTAAAAAAATGTCTCACAAATGTCAGTGGTTGAGTTCAGATTATCTAATGATAGTTTTACCCGTAAGAATAATGACATTTATTTATTTAAATTACAGCACAACCTACACTCTTGTTGTGTAAGACCGTCAATGCGCCTCTTGAATCGTTGTGATACGTTTACTTTGGTTATAAATCGGGTGGTCTTTCAAAACCGCTTTGGCGCCATTCAAGGGACGTAACTCTAACATCCGGTAGATTCAGTCTGCAACCGCTATGAAATTAACACATGCTCTTATGACAGCGCTACACATGTCACTTTTGCACGTACGCATTGCTATTACATGTTTGATTACCGAACTATTTTAGTTTCATACAGACTGCACATTGAACCCAAGATGCTTCAAGATGCATCAGATATTCGTTGTCAGTTCTCTGCAATACTGATATATGTTGTACTTATCATACTTCTCAACATGAATTAACGTACGTGGTAATTTTGCTGTGAGTTGAAGCCTGATCTTTTCTTTAAAATAACATATTCTTTCTGGTCATAACGCTTTGCAAAAGAGTCAAGGTTAATGATAATACGCTAATTACTATACTTGTATTGTATAAACTAATGTCTTACAAAAAAGCTGTTATTATTTATTATCAACTTTTGTTCAGGACATTAAATGTTTGGATAATATGCCATTAAACAAGGCGGGTACATCTTTTTTCAAATAGAACATTCAAAGAACTCAAATTCTCGTCCAGACTCCACATTTTTACTGTATCCAGGCTACAATGAAATAAAAATCAGGTCATGACTAGACTTGCTCAAGTCTCGTGAAACATGCACAATAATAAAATGAAGTGTTCCTTTGACTATTCAGACTTGTCAATTACAAATTTAGTCCTTGCAAACTTGGTTCAGGTCAATGTAAGAGCACTTCACTCGTTTCACAATACACTGTTAAGAGAGTCTGATCAGGGTAACCGGGATTCGAACCCACGAACCAAAGTTACTGGCACTCTGGCCTACGGTTGATTGGTTGTTCGTTGCTTAACGCCGCACTCGGCAATATTCAGGCAATAAGAATAATCGAGTCTGGACCAAACAATCCAGTGACTGACATCATGAGCATCGATCTACGCGATTGTGATACGATAACATGCATCAACCAAGTCAGGGAACCTTGACAAGCATGAGTTGTTGAAGACCAGTTTCAACCAGGATTGCCACTAGTCCTCTGGCACAAGGCTTATTCTGTACTGACAAATAGTTTCTGTACGATGGTCTCACAGAAATTATTTATCTAATTATTATTTTGTATTAACCTACCTCTCAAATACTTCATTCCACTCTCATCACCATTTTCTTGAAATCTTAGAATACTAGCGACGATCCATTAAGTCGACAGTCTAATATAGCAAATTTAACAAATTACCTTCACGTTGCTATGACCAAGGTCTTGATACAAATAACACAGACTCACCACCGTGAGAGCCTCTGGTGTTCTTAATGCAACACCCGCTACGTAATATATCGTCAACTTGAGTAACCGTACGCTTCAGCTGATTTGGAGGGAAATTCTCAAAACATGAGACGAATATATTTTTGTCTATAAACTAGACTTCTGTTCATACGTTTTTCGTAGATGGATAAATTCATAAGAAAAGCTGTATGTGATTCCGAGAAATCACATAGTATAGAACATGGTGGAAAGAATAGTTGAAAGAATTTTGGATAACTCCACTTGGACCTTTTATCGTTTCCATTTTAGATAGAAGTCCTGTATGCGATTTTTAAATTTTATATATTATATATTATATATGTGTTATAAATTACATGCATGTATCTTAATTGTAGTTTAATTTCTTAAATAGCGCCAAAACTCATGACATCACCCCTATAATACATGCGCGTTCATTGTCACCAGAATACATTGTTATTATTCGTTATGTCATCAATATACAGCGTTCGCAGTTAACACATGTGGAACAAAGCCTCTTAACATAGAACCGGACTCCCGTCAAAAGATAGGTCATTAGCGATATAGTAAACATAGACAGTTGTTCACGTATGATGCAATGTAGCCGTTTAAGATTATCACACAAAACTGGCGTATCTTTTTCCTATGGACGGGTTGACGTTGATAACCGCACAAAATTCCCAAATCCCAATACATGTTATAACACGTAAATGGTGGAACCTACTTTTAATCACTGATGAAAAAGAAACTGTTATGAAGTTAAAATGCCTTTTGGAAAGTTACAAGTTTATTGTAAAAGGTTCCGTCACTTTTATTGACTGTTGTGTAGGATAAGGCAAATTAATTGAATAAAAGAAAATGGAGATAGAAAGATCGATGGGATGCTCAGAACTTAGAAAAAGTTAGAAATCAATAATATCGATTTGGTAGTAATAGTAACTCGATTGGCCGAAACGTTGAACAAGAAAAGTACGAAATAACAAAACTAGTAAGCAATGACCGAAACGAAAACAGAAAAGAAAGTTCCCTTAAGATTTTACTTTCGAAAATGTATAAACTTATAATTTCAAAATTGGATATGCACTCCTGCCACAGGTGAATACATTATAAATTGTTCGAGTGAGTGAGTATGGTTTTACGCCGCTTTTAGCAATATTCCAGCAATATCAGGGCGGAAGACACCAGAAATGGGCTTCACACATTGTACTCATGTCAGGAATCAAACCCGGGTCTTTGGGGTGACGAGCGAATGCTTTAACCTATTCGACCGCCCTTTAAAAATTGTTCGAGAGACAAATAATATATATTACTTTTTTTAAATTTATAGTTTTGGCAGGTTGTAGGTACCACAGCACATAGTCAACCTTCTAGTGGTACGCTAAAGACAACATTGACCCCAATTCCTATACTAATTAAGTACCTAAATACACACTGGTATAACACATCTATTAAGGCGTCCTTAATTATGGTTGTGTTTCTTATCTCCCGCCTGCAAATTTTCCTCTAGCCTAGATTTTTGTAACTGACACGTTCTAGTGAGTGGAAAGTAGGGCTGGGACGGGTAACTCGGGTACTCGGGTCGGATGGGTCCTGAGTAGGACCCGGGTACCCACAGGACTACCCGGACCCGTGGTTAGTCACGTGATATATTGTTAAAGCTCATCGGTTACACTACAAGTCGCTAATGTTCGCATTTCCTTCTGACGATGCACACATTCCTTTTGACTTGTATATGTTTGAGTAAAGATCAAGCTTCAGTAAAGCTCAGTGAACGCACGATGTGACTGTTTGATACATGTATCTAAATAGTATCTGTATCTTTTAGCCAGGGCTGCGGTAAAACAATCAGACATTTTGTTCCCAACTCTTGAAACTTGCAGTGGGTACCCGGGTAGAATCGGGTAATAGGGTGTCGCGTACCGGGTAGTAAATTTGGTGGACTCGTCCCAGCCCTAGGTGAAAGGTAATTTCAGCTAAGCATTTGTTTCTTTCAAAATTCCCCGCCTTTTATGTAAACTATTGTGAAGGTGGATCCTATATCGCAACACAGAAAGAAGAGTACTAAAGTTTTGTTTCCCTTCCAAGTTTTAAAAGTTAAATTTAAGAACGCATACTGTCATTTATATATACGACCATGGTTTTCAAAACACGTTTTCATTGTGAAACTTCTTTTCAAGAGGCAGCATACAAATACAGATGGACGGCGGATAATTCAGGATAAATAAAATATTTATTTATTTATTTTGGCGAGAGTGAAATTTGCAGAAGGCTGAAGATGAGAGAGACAAATATGTCGTATAAGTATAAAGGACGAACTTAGATCCTTTTCCACAATGTGTTTAAATTTCGGGTTTCGGGTTCAGTTCGCTGTCAATGTTCGAGCAATGATCTGTTTAAGTTGACAGATATTTAGTACAGATCGACAAAACCTTCAATAGGAACCCTTTTTTTCTTCTCAGACACACACACACACACACACACACACACACCACACCCTCTGTAAAAAACCTTGGAAACAAAAAATACAAAAGTAAGTAAGGACGCCCTTACTGCTACTAACTGCATGTAAAGTATACGTCGTGTCATATATAGCGCGGTGTGTTGTAAGGGGGCAAGTCGTGCCGCGCCATGAATGCAGTTAATGGTCTAAGGGAGATAATCATGTTATGATATGTTAGTAATAATTAAGAGTAAAGTCCCTTGTCAGAGCTCCATACCAAGCTCCTCACAGCGATAGCCCGTTCGCGGAGCTCTCTATACTATCGCTGCCACCAGTCAAAACTCCCCACATTGAATAGGTGTCCACAACCATGCTTGGAGTTGAACTCGCAACCGAATGACCGTTATGTTTACAAACAAGTGACGCCGAATACACTTATCGCTGCTAAATTACTTTCTTCGTTTGTCAATTTGAATTTCTGTTTCATTAAAACTATCGTGTTATTGATATAGTAAGAATGTAAGGGAGAAGTTGGTTGATTTTCCGTTAGTCTGCAATCTCGAACCAATCTGATTATCAAAACAACAAAGTAAATTCATCTGGAAAACATGGTCAGTCGTAAACCTTTTCAAATTGAAATATGATGGCATTCCCAAAGACATAAACAAAAGTATAAACGTTACTACATATGGGGTTGGAGGGCAAATTTCAAGATTCTTGAAATGGCCGCGCCCACACTGGTGGCAGCGATGTTACTGAGAGTGTAACGAAGGTGTCACGCGCTGGGAAGCAGCTTGAGCTCCATACAAGCTCCTCACAGCGATAGTACGTTCTCTATACTATCGCTGCCACCAGTCAAAACTCCCCACTGTAAATAGGTGGCCACAACCATGCTTGGAGTTGAACTCGCAACCGAATGACCGTTATGTTTACAAACAAGTGACGACTGTCGTGACGCCGAATACACTTATCGCTGCTATATTACTTTCTTCGTTTGTCAATTTGAATTTTTGTTTCATTAAAACTATCGTATTATTGATATAGTAAGAATGTAAGGGGGAAGTTGATTGTATAATTACCAACCTGAATTACTTCCCCTGGACCACAAAATTTACTGCTGGAAAATATAATCAACTGAATTGTCTCCCTTTGACCACGAAAAACATTGTAACGTCGCTGATTTGTAGACCTCGATCAGGTCCACCTGTTTAATTTGATAAATAACAACACATATACAAGAATATCAAGATCTAAACCAGTGTAGTGAGTATTTACCTTGTTTGTAAAATAATAATCCAGCATCCGTTTCTATTTTGCCCGAGACTGCATGTCAGAAGATACATTGAAGTGATTTTAAAACTGATTCGAACCTGTATTTAATTTGTTTTACTTGAAATAGGTCAATGTTTTTCTTTTACAATATGACTTTATGGTGATGGTTTCTTTTTGTTTATCTACATGTACTTCCTACTTAGATCCTTTTCCACAATGTGTTCAAATTTCGGTTTTCGGGTAATTTGCTCTAAAAAATCGACCACACATATGTTTAAATTGTTAAATATTTGGTATAGATCGTCAAAGCATTGAATCGGTATTCTGCGGTTAGGAACCATTTATTCTTTCTTTATTTTTCTTAAAAATGTCTCGTTTAGATTCAATGATCCTGTAAAACGATGAATGGCGCACTGAAACTTAAGTGAATTAAAAATATCGAAAAAATTCCGCAAATCGAAAGCGAACTATAGATATCGATTGGACCATTTGCTCTTTGACGCTCATATTGATACGGGATATACTTACTGATTCTCAGCGTGTTATACTTACCTCCATGAAGTATTAAAACACACCCCTCCAAATGTGTGTCACGATTTATTATAAACTGACGTCCAAAAGAAACTTTACCAGAGTTTGAAATCACTCTTGCTCAAAAACAACAAAACATACATGCATGAAGTAAAGTGTATTGAGAAGATCAATAAATCAACATAATCACCACTGAAAATGACAATCATACCGCGACCGAGAACGACGTCAGAGCCCCCCAAAGTTGGGTGTGGTACAAAACTCGAGCTTTCAGAATCATGGACAATAGGCAGAGTACATAAACAATCGCTCACGTTCAATAACAAGTCATTAGTAGCGTGTGTGACCACCAAACGCCTCAATACACGCAAAAACTCTTCGACGCACAGAAAAAGTCAGTCGTCTGATGAGGTCACGTGGGATTTGACGCCATTCTTCTTGGAGGGTCAAGATCAGTTCTTGCCGGTTGGCTGGAGAGTGTGGTCGTTGTCGAATACGACGATCCATCAAGTTACAAACAGGGTGACAGCCAGAGGTGTTCTATGGGGGACATGTCGGGTGAGCGTGCAGTCCACGGCAGGACGTTGGCGTTTGTTGGCTGCGATGAAGTTAGTGACAATTCTGGCTGTACGGGCTCTAGCGTTGTCATGCTGATAAATGACACCATGTGGCTGCTGTTTGAGAAATGGTAGGACAACTGGACGAAGAATGTTATCCATGTAACGCTGAGCTGTCAAGTTTCCGTCAACGATGATCAGCGGTGTCCTCTCCTGCCCACAGATCCCTCCCCACACCATAACACTCCCTCCACGATATGGTACGACCTCCTGCACGCAACACGCCGCCGTTCGTTCACCCCTTCGCCGGTAAACATGTTGTCTTCCATCAGCCCTAAACATACAGAATCGACTTTCGTCAGTGAAGACAACCCTCGCCAGGCACGTCGTTGCCAACGTCGTACAGTCCGGGCCCATCTCAATCGCAGACGACGATGTTGCGCTGTCAATAGCTGTCCTCTGTATGGTCTAAAAGCCCTGATTCCATGAGCCCTGAGTCTCCTGGCCACTGTCTGTCGACTAACCCTGTGACCTAAGGCATTTGTCGCCGATGACGTCACTGTCAGGAAGCGATTTCGGAGGTGCAATTAGGTACGCAAGTACCGGTCATCATGGGGCGTGGTCACCCTGGGTCTGCCTGTTCTTGGCCTGTCAGCGGTCCGCCCTGTCTGTCTGTAACGTTGCATCAAGTTGGTAACGGCAACACGGGAGCAACCGAAGGTTCCTGCAATATGGGCGTGCGTGGCTCCCATCTGTAGCATACCCAAGGCTCGTTCAAGTTGTTCGACTGTGAGTCGTGGCATTTCTTTTGTGTTTTTTTTTATCACTGTGGATGTCTGACTTGCCGTTGCAATCGTTTTATACCCTTATACCGCACGTGCATTTGCAGTTGTCCGCGGTGCACGTGTTTTTCACTTTTTCGCGTGTCATCTCGCAAACATGTAACAGACGATTAACATTTTCTGCATACACTATTGTTGTATTTAGGTTATGTGTTTTAGATAGACTTCATCGAATTTGTTTTTATACTTTGTCTGAAATTTATATTTTCAGTTATTAAAGTTTCTTTTGGACGTCAGTTTATATTTGAAACCTAACGCTGTGCGTTCGGTATATATCGATTGGACCATTTGCTCTTTGACGCTTATATTGATACGGGATATACTTACTGATTCTCAGCTTGTTTTGCTTACCTCCATGAAGTATGAAAACACATCCTCTCCAAATGTGTCAATATTTATTATATATTTGAAACCCCACGCTGCGCGTTCGGTTCCAAATTCAATTTAGCGTGGCTTATTCTACAGTTAACTTAGCACTACCTAGAAAACACAGTATGCTTTTCTCCTAATTAATACCTTTTCAAATACCTGCCAACGGCTGACCAAAAAAGATTGAAGCTTATTTTTGATGATCTCCTTAAAAGTGATTGTTGGTTAAAATAAAAAGCAAATGGACATTATTTTGAAATGAAAACTAAAATTATGTTCTTTACTGATCTAGTTTAATTTTGTTCATAATTGAAACATGTTGAAAGACGTGTAGGAAAGAAAAAAACATTTTCTAATTTTGTTAAATTATATTTCAAACATGTGCAATGTTGGAAAGAATACAAGATCGCAGGTGCTCTAAGGGGCATAACTCTGGATTAATTTAGCGGAAGTGCACAACAAGACTGTCAACATGGCTGACTCGTCTCCGTGGCAAGCTGGTCAACAAGCCGTAAGTTGCCGTTTCCTTGCCAACATTAGGGTGACTAAACCCATGATGTCTTAATGCCCACATTGGACAAGATCTACTTTATGGAGAATTGTTATTTTCACGCGATGCACACCTAACAATCTGAAAGTGACTTTCTCTGAAAAATAATCTGACAGTGAGAGTTTGTGGAAAATATGATTTCAGAGATTGTCTCTAATTATAGTAATTTAATGTAGCTAAAACATGCAGACTTGTGTCGCTGAAGAAATGTATAATGCAACAATACAAAAGTGTTTTAAATTGCATGATAACTTGTCGTAAGTTTATTAAATCATTTAGTTGGACATTGGGTTTCCCCCAAAACATATCTGCGAAGGCAATTCAAAATTAGTTTGGTTCTCAAGCCCCTTAGAAGTATTTCTGATTAGTGTCCATTACTGTCCAATAACAATCCCAATACACAAAAATGATGACATTTATTTCTGTTAACACTTGGATTGACAAATGACCATGTCTTGTTAATTCTATAGCAATATTGCCTCGTTGACCGAGACTAGCAATCAGGTGCCGTCAAGTTGAGAGCCACAATGGAGTCCTACAGTCATGTCTTGACAGTAGGACCCAATCATGGCTCTTGGAAAGGTTCCATCTTGTTATCGTTACATGATTTCAAGCTCCTCCATCACAGTCAAGTTAAAAATAGATGCAGGACAAGATCAGTCATATGATATTGTAGTATTTGTGTTACTGCATGCTATTTAGTGCTGTAGTAGCATGTGGTATTGTTTACATTACAGCAGTGCCACGCCTACTGTGTGTGAACTTCATTCATAAATAACTTCAGTGGCAGTGGGCTTTGAAGCATCTACCTTGTTTACATCATTAAGCATGTGGTCACGTATTATTTAGGGGATTGAAAAGAGGTGCGTCTTAAAAACATGTGATGTGGGGATATATGCAGCTTGTCTTGAGTTCTCGAAACCATTTCATTGAGCTGTCATCTGAATAACCCACACATTCTTCATTCACTGATTTAGATCGGGCAATCAATGTGTGCTCATGTGGAGATGTCCTCAGATCTTCACACTGAAAGATCTGATTGTAATGAGATTGAGGTTCGAAGACTATGATTGTGATACACCAATTTGTTACTCCTTGACATTTGATGGGAAAAAATGTTTGTTTCCAAAATAGATGTGACCATGGTGACTGATGTCTAAAATATGTTGCCACCCCTACTTTATTCCCTGTTATAGACATTATATGACATAGAATGCAAAATATGTATCCACTTTTATCTTGTTACCAGTGTCTTTTAGTGGGAAATAGAATGTTTAAAGCAAAAAAAAAATTATATATAAGACAGGGCAAAAGATGCTTAACTATACTATCTATCTAAGTAAGAGAGCATCCACTGCACTGAAGTTGCTGTTGAATCTAATAAATAGGACATGTTAACATTCCATCGGACAACAAGCATGATGGTCAGTGATCCTGATGCCGCTGAATGATCTGCTCACTAGAAACACAAACATGTGGTTATGCTAAGTAAACATTAAGCCTTTCAATTCTATCTGCTGGCCATCTTGTGAGGATAAATTTCAATGTAATTTCAAAGTAGTTATAGTATTACAGAAATATAACCAATATTTTACCAATTGTGTTTTGAGCCCTCCCAAATATTCTTCTGTAACTGACACTTGTCTGAATCTAACATGTTCTAAAAAATCTAACTTTTACACATAACATGTTTTAAAAATGGTCATGATTTTAATTATGGTAATTGAAGGTGACAATATGCTTGATAATATTATGTTGCTATGGTTACAGGACATGAACCAGGGGTCAGCAGTACTGGAGATGGAAGGAGTGGAGATGACAGATGAAGATGGGGATGCTTCAGACTATGAGAACAACATGTCAGGTAAACAAAACCCTCCTTTCAGAATAGTTCATCATTAAAATTCGTATTGAAGACCTGATTATAAAGCTGCTGCCCACTTACCGTATTTTCTTGAGTATAGTGCGCACTTTTTTTCGAAAAAACACAGCATTGTAGAAGGGGGTGCGCATTATACACGAATTATGAGTTTGGATGTTTTTTTCCCCCATGGAAAGACATTACCGTGAGCACAAAACACCGGGAATACCATGTCAACAAATCCATACTGAAGTACGCAAAATAATTATGTAATTACACTGTCTGGCTATAAAAAGTGTTCTTTGTATATCTGAACTTATGTTTGTAACTTATGTCATTGACTTTATTCAAAATTCCTTATAATATTGTTTTTATTAATTTCGGCGAAATCGTGTGTGAAGCGATCGGAAGATCGCACAACTCACCGTTATTAACAGCAACCACGGTCAGAATACCGCTATTGACGCCTTGAAACAAACTTTAGTTGACAGAGAATGGATACATATATCATAAATGACATACTTTGACTCGTTAAAAGTCATATTTGTTTTTGTTTGACGATTCTATGTCAACATGAAATTCTCGCGATCACGTGATCATGTGCGCGTGAGCCTTGACGGTGACTGGTCAGACATGTTCCATGTAAAAAATAATACCCGGGAATAGCGATCAGCTGCTTCGCTTAGGGTTATTATTATTTTAAATATGTTTATTAAAGGTTGCATATAATTAAGAAAATAATGGAATATATTATTCCTGATAAATAAAATAGTTTCAGATACAATTCTTGCCGATCCTTGCATTAAAAATCTTATAAAGTTATATCATTGGGTGTGTCTTGACCGAATCACCGGTCGATTCCAAGAAAACGTGTGTACAGCTGATTGCTGTTTCCAGCTTAGTTTACGAGAAAATACGCAAGGTAATCTTAATCCCTAAATATAAAACAATGCCTAGCAGAACAATAAATACTATTTAAACGGTAAATAAACATGTCTGGTGATTTTTTATCTCGAATTTCGAATTTGTACTGACGAAGTTTCTCAGCACCCGTTCGTTTGCCGGACTTCACTGAAAGGGTACGGTGTAAAAAATTTCTGCGCATAATATTCAAATTTCTTTTTTTCCAAAATATTGAACCCGCTAGAGGGGGGTGCGCATTATACATGGGTGCGCACTATACTCAAGAAAATACGGTACATTGCTTATGGCTGGAATATTGCTATCTGTGGTGTTAAACACTCATTCAGTTGAACACTCACTTATTCTGTCACTCGGGTTCTTTGTTCATTTGATTCAGGGTCACAGAGTGGTGGAGACAAAGAGGGCAAGTTCATGGATGATGTCCGTCAGCGTGTTGGTCAAAATGTCACACAAATGGTATGTACCGTTATTATTGATAAGGACTGACTGCATATTTTTTTCGGTTCATTGAGGTATGAATAAAAAAACTGACATGCAAACTTTTGTAAGAATCCGCTACACAGATTCATACAGTTTGCACATCGGTTTTTCGATTCATACCTCAATGAACAGAAAAAAATACACAGTCAGTGCTTATTATTAAATTCCACAACGAAAACATATAATAGTGTAACCCAAAACAGTTGTTTATATCAAAGCAGACAAAAATGACGAGATTGATAAACATTCCAGGTTTAGGAATACGTGAATCATGTGATTGTTTAATTTATGCACATAACTTGGCACGCCCACAAAGTCAGTAGCCAATCAACGGAGGGTAGGGTTAAAACAAAGTTAATAGGACCTGTCAATCAAGGCAAGAGGTGAGAAGAACTGCCGGAACAAATATGTCCGGGAAAAGGCGGCTGTTTCAACTGACATGGTCAGTTACTGCCAGATTCAAAAATTAGTTACCTGAGAACGGGAAGACCCAGTTGGAAAAATGCTAGTTAGAAATGAAACCCGAAGACATGAAAGTTCTGGAACCGAGGCGAGCGGGACAAAAAAAGACGAGAAGGTCTTCGGTCTCAAAGGGTTGTTTGAACAAGGAATATGCAAGAATTTGGCTAAATGCCCTGTGCATGGCGATACATGTGAGCAGAAAGGAATTCCCTCGCATGTAAAATTGGGATTCCCTGACATTCCATAGTAATAAAAATACTCGCTTTGGTGGGCGTGGCTTAGTTTTTTACGTTCATTGGGAAATGAATGCAATAACACATGACCAATTCAGCTAATCAGAATGCAGGAATTTCAATGAACACAAGACAAATTTAATTATGTTACAATGATTTGTTATATGAAGTGTTGAAAGCAATGAGCACTCTATGTGTGGAAGATTATTCAGCATTAGTTTTTATGTGAATATCACATTCAGCAACATTTAGAAACTAGAGCTTACTTACCATCATGATCTTCACGTTAATGTTATTACAACAGATGTGGAATGCAGGGAGACAGAGTGCTCAGAAAGCTTGGAGTATCTATGGCAACATTGACATTCTACGCCCTTATTTTGATGTTGAACCTAAAGAGGTTCAGAGGCGGTAAGTGGCAGACATTCTTTTTAGCGAGATTGTATGTTATAAAATAGTCAGATCTCTTTTCCTTTTCTCAAGGTGATAATACCTTTTGGATGAATAAACTTTCACCCAGTGAGTGGGGACAGCCCATCAGCAATATTGCAGCTATTAGCAGATTAAAATATTGATTTTGAAATGTTTGTTTTGCTTCATAGCTCTTCCATATGTTCATGTTTCTTTGAGTGCAATGAGATTGGTTGGTTGGTTGGTTTGTTGTTTAACGCCGCACTCAGCAATATTCCAGCTATATGACGGCGGTCTGTAAATAATTGAGTCTGGACCAGACAATCCAGTGATTGATATCATGAGCATCGATCCACCCAATTGGGATCGATGACAACTAAGTCAGCGAGCCTGACCACCCGATCCCATTAGTCGCCTTTTACGACAAACATAGTCACCTTTTACGGCAAGCATGGGTTGCTGAAGATCTATTCTACCCCGGAATCTTCACGGGTCGAGTGCAAGAAGAATTAATGTGAAAACAGCAGCACTGTCCAATGGCTTTTATTCTTCATAAACAACCATGAGTCCAGTGCTTCAACAACTTTTTTGAATCTGATTCTTTTAGGAAACTGAACTTGTATCACAGCAATGTTGTCATTTCAGACACAGTCCAGAATTACGTTTCCCATTTTTAACATGGCCGTCCTGAATACCCATTGCCATTTATTCAGGCATCATCATCAGTTTGTCAATGAGCCTATGACCTTTATACAGAATATATATGTCGATATTTGATAAATCTAATAATAGTGGACATATAATGTGTGGAATCCTTTTGATTTCTTTGCATACATCGATGTTGGGTGAAGGTTATTTGAATGTCAGTTAAAAATCTCCAGTAACCGTCGTAAGTGCATCTTAATGTAACAGGTGGCCTAACTGTGAGTTGGTTGGCTGTGTGTCATTGCATCATAATGTCAATCACTGAATTGTGTGGTCCTGATTTGATTATTAACAGACCGGAGTCATATCGGTGGAATATTGCTGAGTGCAGCATTAAACAATAACTGAGCAAACCAAACAATTTGATTCCAATTATTTAGAATTGCCATCATTTATTGCCATCATGATCATGATTGTGTCTGAAACCATGAACCATGTGAGCTGCAGAACCTGTTGCTTTTATTCATGCCTAATCAATTTACCATTTTCCTCGAATTAGTGATTTATCGTAATGCACCGAACTCCAATGTTGATAATCACATGATAGTATCAGTGTTTAATTATCAACTTTGTGATGGAACTCCAGCCAGTCCTTTTGATGATCCGAGATCTGTCAGCTCCTGAGGTGTTTCAATATAGTGGTAGATGTCTATGACATGTCACTTTACGATTTTTCAAAGTGAAGTTAAGATTCTGTCTCTCTCAATCCCTCTGCATATTGGTGTAGACGATCTAGTGTAAGAAATATTTGACCTGGCCATTGTTATGTAATGTTGTATCCAATATTTTGTAATATGTCCATTGTGTTGTAAGAGGCGATTGGGATCAGGTGGTTAGACTTGCTGGTTTAGTTGATGCATGTCATAGTATCCCAGTTGCGTAGACTGATGCTGATGATGTCAATCACTAAATGGTCTGGTCCACACTTGATTATTTACTGAAAGGAATCATATGGTTGTAATATTACTGAGTGCAGTGATAAATAACAAACAAACGAACAATATGTCCATGACATTCACCATGACACTTACTCCCGGACTCTATCTGTTCCTCCAGGCTGCTGTTTTCCATGATACCACAGAAACCTACCAGTCAGAGACAGGTGAGGCAGCACCCCCACACCTGGTTGTGCACACATTTTATGTTTCCCTCTGATCATGCTGATAATTATACCCCCGTTTACGAAGTAAATCGGGGGAATATAGCGTTCCGTCCTTCCGTTCGTCTGTCCGTCCGTACATCCGAGCTTTTGTAAGGCCCATAACTTTTTAACCATGCACCCTAGCTCCACCAAACTCGCTACACACATTTACCACAATGAGTACCTGTGCCTTTTGCTAGTTTGAAGATTCTGAACTTTTTAATATTGGCTGTTTCCATGGAAACATTAAGAAACTTAAACTTTTAGGGTGGGTGTTTTGTACGGCCTATATCTTTTTAACTATGGACCCTAGCTTCACCAAACTTTCTACACACATTAACCACAATGACTATTTGTGCCTTTTGCTTGTTTGAACTTAAAGCAACAGGTATATTTCATTAATTAACAAACTATTTACTATTTGTTGTTGACCAGCGGGGATAACAGGGATATGTGAGCTTTGCTCACTTCTTTCTTGTTTCTCCCTCTTCTTGTTTATAAATGTACTGAGGTAAATAAACAAGAATCCACACAGGTAGAATTTTCAACCAGGTACCCCTTCTTAGTAAAGGACAAATTCTAGTACTTTTGGGGGCTGCATTGGCTAGCATCTTAGTTAATCACACTGAATTGTGCTTTATTTTGGCACATTTCCCTATAAATTTTACCATTTGTTTTCTTTTCATATTTACTTTCATCATGTTCAAATCTTTCTATAACTGATAAATTATTAATGACTGTACGTAATTGTGTTATTTTTATTTTGATAAATAAGCTTGTCGAGATGTTTTTGTGCAACATGTTGAGATCCATGGTCCACTGACAGGTAGTCACACGCACATGTGTCTTTCTCTCAGGCAGTCACTTGCATGTGTCAATGGACAACAAAGAGTGATAGTGCCTGTGTTATATGACAACAAAGAGTGATAGTGCCTGTGTTGTGTGACATCAAAGAGTGATAGTGCCTATGTTGTGTGACATCAAAGAGTGATAGTGCCTGTGTTGTATGACAACAAAGAGTGATAGTGCCTGTGTTGTGTGACATCAAAGAGTGATAGTGCCTGTGTTGTATGACAACAAAGAGTGATAGTGCCTGTGTTGTGTGACATCAGAGTGATAGTGCCTGTGTTGTATGACATCAAAGAGTGATAGTGCCTATGTTGTGTGACATCAAAGAGTGATAGTGCCTGTGTTGTATGACAACAGAGAGTGATAGTCCCTGTGTTGTTTGACATCAGAGTGATAGTCCCTGTGTTGTATGACATCAAAGAGTGATAGTGCCTGTTTTGTATGACAACAAAGAGTGATAGTGCCTGTGTTGTATGACAACAAAGAGTGATAGTCCCTGTGTTGTATGACAACAAAGAGTGATAGTGCCTGTGTTGTATGACAACAAAGAGTGATAGTCCCTGTGTTGTATGACATCAAAGAGTGATAGTGCCTGTGTTGTATGACAACAAAGAGTGATAGTGCCTGTGTTGTATGACAACAAAGAGTGATGGTCCCTGTGTTGTATGACAACAAAATGCACTGTCTGTTACAGCGAATTCAGAAGGAGTTATATGGACCGCTGATGGTGATCTTCACAATGATTGCTTTGCTGCTGTACCAGATGAAAGTTTCTTCCCATTCTGTGGTTCGTATATTGGGTTTTACAACCTTTTAAAATCAAGCTAGTCTGCTGACCCGGGAAAACTATGTTGTGCTGAGGACAAGAATAAATACAATGATGAAAGTTCTCATTGACTTGTAGCATTTAAGGGATGTAATTTTAAACCAGTTGTCAATGTTTCAATTTTGCTACAAATTGGAACTGAATACAATTGACCAAATGTAAACAAAGTAAACAGTTTTGTCTCTTCAAGCAAGACTAGCTACTCGGAGTACCAGGGAAACAGGGTTTACACTAGTCCTCTGGACGAGCCTTCAAAACACCGGAATAAAGGGCTTCATGTTTATGTCCTAATAAAATATAAGTTGTAGTAGCTTCCACAGACAAGTTATAGTTGAGTGTTGGGGTGACTCAGTCATCTAAGCTTGAGGTTCGCTCCTGTGGTATTGGAATCTAGGGACCCCTCCCCCCTCCCTAGTTACTCTTAATATTCAACATCAGACTAATGACAAAGTGAGTGAGTTTGGTTTTACGCCACTTTTAGCAATATTCCAGCAATATCACGGCTCGGGACACCAGGAATGGGCTTCACACATTGTACCCATGTCGGGAATCAAACCCGGGTCTTAGGCGTGACGAGCGAACGCTTTAACCACTAGGCTACCTGACTGCCCCTAATGACAAAGACCCCTTGACCGTTATGCTTAATTTTGTACACTGTCAGTGGGTGAAATTATGTTTTCTGGATTATCCCAGTCAAAACCCACATTTGTTTTGCTAAAGATAAATGGCTGTCCAAAAAGTACTGACTTCACATGCTACTGTTGCTAGGAGGAGGGGACGCTGATGGGAACGGCGTTTGTGGTGTGCTTCTCATACTGGTTCGGAACGTCATCTTTCATATGGTTCCTCAGTTACGTCTGCAACGTCAGGATAGCGATGGTGCAGGTGCTGTCTATGGTGGTGAGTACAAGATCAGGGCTCCCGATAAGCTGTGGATTTGCTGCGTATTTGTGTAAAACATACAAATCACCATCACCAATTGCTTGCGTACAAATACACATGAAGAAATTCAACAACCAATTAGAATAACAACACATTGCATAATTATCCAAAGAAGCTTTTGCAGTTTTCGTACACGTCTTTACAGATATTTTCTTACTGACTGAATGCAGGCATCACACAAACTCCTTTGCAAGGAATAATGCAGTATGTTTCAGAGCCACTGTCTTGTTAATCCGACACCGTGATCATTGCACTCTGTTGCCATCTGCCCGCGAGTACACAGCCCTGTGTTTTGATGCAATACGAGTCGGCGAGTAGCTGCATATTTCAACGGCTGCAGAGATAAATTTGCTTAACAATAAACAATTACTGCTTTGGATAAACAAAACAGGATTAATCACATGCCTAGATTACCTCAATCTCATTAAAATCGGATACAAGTTCTAGCTACCGCTGAGGACATCCCATTACAGGTCACATCAGAAAGACCTTTCGCGAACTTTGACTGACCAATGAAATCACTAACAGGAAATTGACATTAGTCACTAAGAAAGCAGCTTTCTTAAGCATTGTGGCACTAGTTTCACTATGCTTTAAAAAGTATTTAAAATCAGTCATACAGTCTGTAACAATAGTTTTGTGTTAAACTTGAGAGGTTGCATGATTAGAAAACATATTCCACTAACAATGTAACAAAACAATATGAATATTTCCTTTTTCCTTATTTAATTACAACTTGTTTGAATCGTTACGTATCGTATAGCTGTCCAATTTTCGATCACGACTGTTGATACTGCCTGATTTCGTTTATCCGACATACTCGTTAATCCAACATAATCACATGCAACCAACAATGCTGGATTAACAGGACTTGACTGTACGTTGTAACACTTCTCCCATGTTTCAGGGCCACTGTGTACATGGTGTAGTATGTTGTAGTATGTTGTAACACTTCTCCCATGTTTCAGGGCCGCCGTGTAGTATGTTGTAACACTTCTCCCATGTTTCAGGGCCCCTGTGTAGTATGTTGTAACACTTCTCCCATGTTTCAGGGCCACTGTGTAGTATGTTGTAACACTTCTCCCATGTTTCAGGGCCCCTGTGTAGTATGTTGTAACACTTCTCCCATGGTTCAGGGCCCCTGTGTAGTATGTTGTAACACTTCTCCCATGGTTCAGGGCGCCTGTGTAGTATGTTGTAACACTTCTCTCATGTTTCAGGGCCACTGTGTACATGTTGTAGTACGTTGTAACACTTCTCCCATGTTTCAGGGCCACTGTGTACATGGTGTAGTATGTTGTAGTATGTTGTAACACTTCTCCCATGTTTCAGGGCCGCCGTGTAGTATGTTGTAACACTTCTCCCATGTTTCAGGGCCCCTGTGTAGTATGTTGTAACACTTCTCCCATGTTTCAGGGCCACTGTGTACATGTTGTAACACTTCTCCCATGTTTCAGGGCGCCTGTGTAGTATGTTGTAACACTTCTCCCATGGTTCAGGGCGCCTGTGTAGTATGTTGTAACACTTCTCTCATGTTTCAGGGCCACTGTGTACATGTTGTAGTACGTTGTAACACTTCTCCCATGTTTCAGGGCCCCTGTGTAGTATGTTGTAACACTTCTCCCATGTTTCAGGGCCACTGTGTAGTATGTTGTAACACTTCTCCCATGTTTCAGGGCCACTGTGTAGTATGTTGTAACACTTCTCCCATGTTTCAGGGCCACTGTGTAGTATGTTGTAACACTTCTCCCATGTTTCAGAGCTATGAACTGTTTGGCCACTGTGTAGTACGTTGTAACACTTCTCTCATGTTTCAGGGCCACTGTGTAGTATGTTGTAACACTTCTCCCATGTTTCAGGGCCCCTGTGTAGTATGTTGTAACACTTCTCCCATGTTTCAGGGCCACTGTGTAGTATGTTGTCACACTTCTCCCATGTTTCAGGGCCACTGTGTAGTATGTTGTAACACTTCTCCCATGTTTCAGAGCTATGAACTGTTTAGCCACTGTGTAGTACGTTGTAACACTTCTCTCATGTTTCAGGGCTATGGACTGTTTGGCCACTGTGTAGTACGTTGTAACACTTCTCCCATGTTTCAGGGCCCCTGTGTAGTATGTTGTAACACTTCTCCCATGTTTCAGGGCCCCTGTGTAGTATGTTGTAACACTTCTCCCATGTTTCAGGGCCACTGTGTAGTATGTTGTAACACTTCTCCCATGTTTCAGGGCCACCGTGTAGTATGTTGTAACACTTCTCCCATGTTTCAGGGCCACTGTGTAGTATGTTGTAACACTTCTCCCATGTTTCAGAGCTATGAACTGTTTGGCCACTGTGTAGTACGTTGTAACACTTCTCTCATGTTTCAGGGCGACTGTGTAGTATGTTGTAACACTTCTCCCATGTTTCAGGGCCCCTGTGTAGTATGTTGTAACACTTCTCCCATGTTTCAGGGCCACTGTGTAGTATGTTGTAACACTTCTCCCATGTTTCAGGGCCACTGTGTAGTATGTTGTAACACTTCTCCCATGTTTCAGGGCCACTGTGTAGTATGTTGTAACACTTCTCCCATGTTTCAGAGCTATGAACTGTTTAGCCACTGTGTAGTACGTTGTAACACTTCTCCCATGTTTCAGGGCTATGGACTGTTTGGCCACTGTGTAGTACGTTGTAACACTTCTCCCATGTTTCAGGGCTATGGACTGTTTGGCCACTGTGTAGTACGTTGTAACACTTCTCCCATGTTTCAGGGCTATGGACTGTTTGGCCACTGTGTAGTACGTTGTAACACTTCTCCCATGTTTCAGGGCTATGGACTGTTTGGCCACTGTGTAGTACGTTGTAACACTTCTCCCATGTTTCAGGGCTATGGACTGTTTGGCCACTGTGTAGTACGTTGTAACACTTCTCCCATGTTTCAGGGCTATGGACTGTTTGGCCACTGTGTAGTACGTTGTAACACTTCTCCCATGTTTCAGGGCTATGGACTGTTTGGCCACTGTGTAGTACTGTTCCTGGGAACTGTGATACACACCACTCATGATCATATGTTCTTCTATCTACTCTGGGCTATTGTTGGAGGCCTTTCTGCACTGAAAATGGTACGGCAATCAGTATGAAATTCATAGCAAAACTTCATTCCCAATCCATCACCTGAGGGGATTTAAGTTTAGAAAATATCTCCAGCAACCTATCCTTGCTGGAAGAGGCGACTAATGTAATGGACGAATGGTTGTGTATCGTTGTTCACAATATCAATCATTGGATTGCGTGGTCCGGACACAATTATTTACAGGCCACTGTCATTTAGCTGGAATATTGCTGAATGCATTTTTAAACAACAAACAAAATCATCCCTAATACAATGTTCAGTTTACAGTTTAAAGTGAATGTTGTGTAACCATGGTAACACTGCAGTCAGCAATCAGCAATGTTCCAGCTATAGCTCAATGGCTGGACCGATAATGTGGGCGGTGTAAAGCACTGTCGCAATGAAATCGAAATCCGGTTAGTAAATTTGCAGGATTTGCAAAGCATGTGCACCGCCAACTCATTGTCAACAGATATTTTCCAAATCTTTTCATGTTTTTTATCAAGGTGCTTACGTGATTTGGTGCACTTCGCGATGTAAGACCCGTTTTATCACAATATAGATCTTGATTATCGATCAGATCGTCTTCACTGGGCGACACCATTTTGTTTGAAACAAATGCAAGTGATATGAGATGTGGAATCTGATTGGTCCATAGGAGAGGCTTAGAAGGGACATAACTTTTAATAACCACTGGTTGCGCTACGATCGAGCCTAGGAATTCCAGCTTAGTTTGTCAAGGGTGGAAACTGGACTTTTAAAGTCAGTTAATTCTCTTACCTTCGGGAAGATGAGACATTGATCATTGAGGTGTTATTTTATGTCTATGTTAAAACTTAAGTTTGTTTCAAGAAATTGGGGTTGTATTTGTGATGAGTTTTCCTGTTTCCTATTTCAGGCATGCATAATCATGTCGCGAGCCAGTGGGAAGACGGAGCGGCTGATCGTGATCGTGGTTCTAGCTTCATTACATCTCCTGTTCCTCCTGTATCTACACTTTGCGTACCACTCTGTGGTAGAAGGTAGGTGCCTGCCTAGCACACATTGTGTGGAATCCTAGCATCATCCCTGCATGTATTTGAGCTGCGATACTCCCCATGTGGACACACCACTCTGCTGTTGAATACTGATGTACAGTTTGCAATTTTAAACAAACTGTTATCAATACAGTAATATATTGGTTTGAAATAGAGGTATTCATGAGCTGTGTGAGTAGTCAGGGGAGATGTTCTGCACTGGTGTAAATTTATACTTTAATAACTGCAGAAGTTCACACTTTGGACTGTTGAAGAAATGAACTGCTTTGGTGACTTACTGTTGACATAAGTGTTCTTAATTCAAGGGAGGTAACTGAGGTTTCTCTCCCCCACCCCCCCATCCCCTCACCCCCCCAAGCATTTATTCAGACAAAGCTAAATTTGAATTTATGCCTTTGTTGCTTGAGTCACCTGCAGACAGTGGTCCAGGGGAGATAACTCAACACATTCTGACACAACTGTAAAATCCTAGGTTTGACAGTGTTATTGAAGCATCTTCATAGGGAGATATATAAAATGTGGCCTGCTAGAGTCTAAAAGATTTCATAATCACAGTCACGAGCTACCTACTAAAGATTCCAACTGGGCAACTAACTTTATTGTCTGGTCCAGCCTCGATTATTTACAGACCGCCGTCATATAGCTGGAATATTGCTGAGTGCGGCGTTAAACAACAAACAAACAAACAAACAAACTAACTTTAAGTGACAGCAGCACCTATGTTATTCTCATGTTAGTTGATCTCTGCTCTGCATATTTGGAGTTTGGGAGTTTAGGAATGTTCTGTTAACAGTAACCATGGTAACACACAGTTCAAATGATACTCAGCTTATCATTGCTATGTTTAGAATTATCATCGTGCTTTTGTTTTGATTGCAGAGATGTCCGCAATGTTTGAGGATCATCGACACGAGCCAATCCAGCCCGTGGTGGCGCAGAGGATCGCGGAGCAGGGCCTGGACAGGAAGGTTGAGAATGCAGCAGCAAATGTGATGGAGAAAGTCACGCAGAGTGAGTGTTACCTTGTACTTGTCTGTCTGTCTGTGCATGTTGGGGAGAGGATGCTTTCTCACTGAGACCGATCTAGTCCCACAAGGTTAGGCCCCCATTCCCACTTGCATGTTGTGTCTTAAGGGGATTCCAGGTTAGAATTGGTCACCAGCAACCTATGCTGGTTGTAAGAGGCGACATGGTTTGGTTGATTGTGTCATTGTACATTCCCCTCTTCCTATCTTCTTACCAAATCTCACAGTTAATTCTGCTTAGGCATCAAGACATGCAAACAGTATAAAAAGTATGATCACATTGCATAAAATTGGCAACTGCACTCGTAAAGGGTCAACTGGATATCAGTTGACATGTCAAGACCATGGACTGTTTAGAACTGACTAGACAGACCAGAGCCGTTCTGATTAGAGCCATGCAGACTAGACCATGACCATGGCCAGAGCCAGATCCATCTTGATTAGAGCCATGCAGACTAGACCATGGCCAGAGTTAGAGCCAGATCCATCTTGATTAGAGCCATGCAGACTAGACCATGGCCATGGCCAGATCCATCTTGATTAGAGCCATGCAGACTAGACCATGGCCATGACCAGCCATCTTGATTAGAGCCATGCAGACTAGACCATGGCCAGATCCATCTTGATTAGAGCCATGCAGACTAGACCATGGCCAAGGCCAGATCCATGTTGATTAGAGCCATGCAGACTAAACCATGGCCATGGCCAGATCCATCTTGATTAGAACCATGCAGACTAGACCATGACCATGGCCAGAGCCAGACCCATCTTGATTAGAGCCATGCAGACTAGACCATGGCCATGGCCAGAGCCATCTTGATTAGAGCCATGCAGACTAGACCATGGCAAAGGCCAGATCAATGTTGATTAGAGCCATGCAGACTAGACCATGGCCAAGGCCAAATCCATCTTGATTAGAGCCATGAAGACTAGACCATGGCCAGATCCATCTTGATTAGAGCCATGCAGACTAGACCATGGCCAAGGCCAGATCCATGTTGATTAGAGCCATGCAGACTAGACCATGGCCAAGGCCAGATCCATGTTGATTAGAGCCATGTAGACTAAACCATGGCCATGGCCAGATCCATCTTGATTAGAGCCATGCAGACTAGACCATGACCATGGCCAGAGCCAGACCCATCTTGATTAGAGCCATGCAGACTAGACCATGACCATGGCCAGAGCCAGACCCATCTTGATTAGAGCCATGCAGACTAGACCATGGCCATGGCCAGAGCCATCTTGATTAGAGCCATCTTGATTAGAGCCATGCAGACTAGACCATGGCCAAGGCCAGATCCATGTTGATTAGAGCCATGCAGACTAAACCATGGCCATGGCCAGATCCATCTTGATTAGAGTCATGCAGACTAGACCATGGCCATGGCCAGAGCCACCTTGATAAGAGTCATGCAGACATGGCCAGAGCTATAGCCATGACCTATAGGCCTGATTAAACCAGATCAAACCCATCCAACCCAGTGCCATGGAGACCTGATCAGATATAAAGGGATGCTGTATTGATTGATGAACATCCTGCAGAAACGGGGGAAGAATAGGTCCCCTGTGTGGCATAAAACAACCAACAAATAAATAAATAATGTCGAACAACACCTTATCCTCGCCTCTTACCTCAACAACTACTGTGGGTAATATTTCTGTATCTAAAATTCTTTGTTATTGTATTTTCGTTCTGTATTAGGACTGACGTTATAGTTAGATCACTAACACTAACTATGTACAGTCGATCCCCATTGTCTCGAACTCCTGGAGACCAAAGAAATAGTTCGACAACAGCCTTGTTACTGAAGGATCTCGCCATACATGTTATGTAAATGTCTTTAGAAATAAAACCAGAATATTTTTCCTATCTACATTTTTGCATCCATAGACATTTTATTCATATTATTATGTTTGAAGTTGTGTTTAAAAAATAATATGAGTTTGACATATCAGGGTAAGTTTTAATTCTTGGGAGCATAAATTGAGCTTCAGGAATTCGACTCATTTTGTTAAATCGGTGGTAAACAGTATGAGTTTGCTTGGACTGTACTGTGATTTCGGCACATTCGTAATCGAGGCAATGGGTTCGACTATATTTATGTATGTTGGTTTTGTCTATGTGATGAGTTGTGAATTAAGCTTCTGTCTGTAGTGCATGTGTTTGATTTATCCCATACCTCATGTAACAGTATATATACATGTATATATGATTGCACTAAGTGTCTGGCAGTGTGTTTTTGTATGCTTCTTTTCCTGATACTAACATGCCCACTAAACTGCCTAACATGGGATAACCTACTCTGTGTATTGTGTTGTTGAAGCATAGAAGTGTTCAGAAATAAATACCTTGTGTTCAATTTTGATTTTTATGAAGTCTCTGTAGTGAATATTAATTGTTGGATCTTAGTTAGTTAAGGTCAGGTGGCAGTAGTACATTAGCTTGAAACTTCTGAGAGATTATTGAACACCTTGGTCTTTATTGGAATCAATCAGATTATGTTCCCAACAGTGAAATGGATGCCTACAATTGAGAGTAAGAACCATGTTACTTAATGCAGGGAAATCAAAATGAGTTGTAAATACCTGAAAATTAGGTAGAATAATTTGATACTTTTGGCTCAGTCAATTTAATTACGGCTTAATGTGAGTTGACTGTAGAATTATCCCCACATAGGTTGTCCATTTGGAAATGATAAATTCAGTGGAGTTTATTTATCCAAATAAAAGTTATTAACATGATCACATATGTTGAAATATGCCAGGAACAATATTTAAGGAAACCCCCAAATTTATTCAGAAATGATATTAAGGAAATGACATCATAGAATTCAATCAAGTCAATATCTGGTCCCTGCCCTGTGAGAATTGATGCAGGATTTTGTCTTCCCATGGTATCCTTTGCCATTCTTCTTGTAAGGCCTGCCCAAGGTGCTGGGAACGCTGAGGTTGGTTGCGAACACTTTGGCCCAGAACATCCCAAAGATGTTTAATTAGTGACATGTTTGGAGATTTGGCTGGCCAGTGGAAGTTGGGACACCTTGCTGGCTCAGACAGCCGACTGCAACACTCCAGCAATATCACAGCGGGGGTCACCAGAAATGGGCTTCACACATTGTACCCATGTCTGGATTCGAACCCAGGTCTTCGGCGTGACGAGTGAATGCTTTAACCACTAGGCTACCCGACTGCCCCTCATCACTTCTGATCTGATTTGGTCCACATAATGTAGACCTGTCAGGTTCTCATGCTCGAACATCAGATCTGTCCTATTGTCATATGTGATGCCTACCGAGGCCATGATGCTGCCACCACCATTCCTATCATGCAAGCGTAAACAGTACGGCGATTCTTCAAAAAAACATGGTATATCTCCAATATATCTGTTGACGACCTACAAACTGCTGTGTCCACTGTTCTCCGAGGTGCTGTGTGCAACAGTCAGACACATTCCTCTTAAAGGACATCTTGATTTCAGACCCGCAGTTTTCAACCTGTTTTTTATCCTTGATGTTGAGAGTCAGATTCCTGTGGCAGGCCTGAAGATGTCCCTCGGTTCTGATGCAGAAGTGAATCTGTTCCTCAACGCTATAGTGCGTACATATGGATCCTGTCTGGGAGTAGTGTTTCTTGGCCTCCCTCCTCCTGTCCTCATCTTCCCGAGGCAAGAGAGTGAACTGACTTTCAAAGTCCAGTTTCCACCCTTGCTGAACTAGGCTGGAATTCCTGGGCTCAATCGTAGCGCAACCAGTGGTTATTACAAGTTATGTCCCTTCTAAGCCTCTACTATGGACCAATCAGATTCCACCTCTCGTATCACTTGTATTTGTTTCAAACAAAATGGCGTCGCCCAGTCAAGACAATCTGATCGATAATCAAGATCTATATTGTGATAAAACGGATCTTACATCGTAAAGTGCATCAAATAATGTGAGCACCCTGATTAAAAACATGAAAAGATTTGGTAAATATCTGTTGATATCAAGTTTGCGGTGCACATGCTTTGCAAATCCTGCCATCAACCGAAATCAACATGACAGTTTATGAACTGGATTTCGATTTCATTGCCTATCCTAATCTTAACCCCACCCCTTTGCTGATATCATTCCATCAGTCGCGATATCGTACTTTCAGATTAACTAAAGTGCCTGGCACCTACATCTGGAATTGGCCAGTTTCAATCTTGCCTATTTCACACATTTTTTCATTTTCTTTCATGTTCACTTTTGGTGGCATTTTTCTTCATTGTACCCCATCCATGAATGATGTGGCTGTGACATTTATTGGCATATGCAAGTAACCAGGATGTGTCACCGTGGACAGCCTGCTATACCCGTGCAATGTGTAAAGTTCAAGCAAGTTTGCTATCCACGTTCAATCTCGTGCCACAAAGCTGGTCATTTATTGCTTGAAGTTGAGACCGCCTCCGTGGTCTAGTGGTAGAGCGTCCGCCCGGAGAGCGGAAGGTCCGGAGTTCGATACCCGGCCGTGTCATACCAAAAGACGTTAAAAGATGGTACTTGTTGTTACCCTGTCTGGCGCTCGGCATTAAGGGGCTAAAACAAGGACTGGTCGGTTCGGAGTCAGTATACTGTGTCTGATTGGGGTATTCATGTTACACTGCGGCATGGTATCTCAGTGAGCTAGCACTATAAATCGGCATCAGTCCGGTCTAGTACAAGCAGCCACACACACACACATGTGCATGCAAGTCGCTATATAAGTGCAATAATCTTGGGCGCGACGTTAAACCCCATTTCACCTCACCTCACCTTGAAGTTGAAATGACAGAGGTTCCCTTAAATATTGTTCCTAGTATATGGTACGTACATGTAAATTGTTTGGATGATGTTTCTTACAATGCATGTTTTGTGGCTTTCTGTAAAACTAGAGCAGGTGGGTTACGTAGTGGGTAAGACTGTGGGCACATCCATAACGAGATGGTCATCTGTGCAAGGCCTAAAGGACTTGAATGTCTTGGAAGCATTATGAAATTTATGTCAAATGAACTTCTGATATTTCTTATTTAACCATGTAGAGATTGCCGCAGCCTTTCAGCAGCGAGGTCAGTTAGTGGCGGAATCTATGGGCAAATCTGTCAACTCCTCAGCAGTGAAGAGAGTGTTGAGGGAGACTCTGAGAGGTGTTCAGACGGACAGGATTGTCCCCCTTGTCACCAAGACTTTAAATGGAAGTCATGTGATGGCTGGGAATGCTTCAAGGATCATGTGATCGCTGATGATAGATCATTGGTCAGTAGAAAGTAATCAATGTAATGAAAATAACATGAAAAAAGACTGATTAGCAAATTTTAGGATGGAGGAAATTAAATGATATCCATCATATTTAATAACCCTGTAGGGATTCTGGGTAAGAATTGGCCCCTATCAACCTATGCTTGTTCTAAGAGGCGACTTAATGGATGGGATTGTCAGACTTGGGGACTTGGTTGATTCCTCGTCATTGCACCCCGACAGTGAACGATGTGCATAATATCAATCACTGGATTGTCTGGTTCAGACTTGATTATTGAAATGCTGTTGTCATAGAGCTGGAATATTGCTGAGTGCAGCATTAAAACAACAAATAAAGAAACAAGTTATGACTTTGTTCTAAAAATATTCTAAATGGTTCATTAAATATTCAACTGGTGCATGTTCATTTCATCATGTCCATACAAGGCATCAATCTGTTTGTTTCTCACTTACTAATGGTGGTGGTAAATAACTCCTGATAACTCTCATTAGTCTAGATATATGGAGTGAGTGAGTGAGTGAGTATGGTTTTACGCTGCTTTTAGCAATATTCCCGCAATATCACGGCGAGGGACACCAGAAATGGACTTCACACATTGTACCCATGTCGGGAATCGACCCGGGTCTTCTGCGTGATGAGCGAACGCTTTAACCACTAGGCTACCCGACCGCCCCCTAGATATATGGAAACATTGTTTATGGAAGTGTTGAAACAGCAGGGATAATTCTAGGGTTGGGCCTTGTGCTTTTAGCCCATAAGTTTGAAAAAAAGGCCCACATTTTCAAATACACTAGGGAATTTTAACATTGTGCTGTATGGGCAAGTGTGGGTGTACCTCAGGAATATTTGAAATTTTCACATAAAGGGCCCATGTCAGAAATTTCCTAGAGTGAACCCTGAAACAATGCTTAGTCGGAAGGACCAATGATGAGATTACGAGTAAAACAGTCTTCATAATGATGGAGCCTTTGGGATGATCCTTGCATGTGGCTAGTACCTGTTTCTGTCTTAGTACACATATATAGTTTGTATGTAAGATACGAGTATTTACAACACAAGTCATTATGCATGCTCACTGGTAGTCTGTTGTTGAACTGTTGTGTGTCATGATTGTGTACAGAAGATGAATCTCTCTGTTACTTAGTCAACATAGAGGCCCCATATTTGTTTGTTTGTTTGTTTGTTTTTTGGTGCCACACTCAGCAATATTCCAGCTATATGATGGCTCAATGATTTAAAGGTAATGGGTTATCCTGGTTTGTTTGTCTGAGAAATTTTTTTATAAGTTATGGTTATTGTAGTACATGATATTTGTGAACCAAGTGGGTCTAGTATAAAGGATGTAGTACCATACACTGGCTAACCTCCTCCTTGCTTCGCTGTGACTGCTGTCCTCCGATCTGTCATCCTCTGCTGGTGCTTCAACATCATCTGTGGGTCCCTCATCACAGCACTTTCCTAGCTAATCTGTTGTTTGATAGAAACGTTTCTGTGTTCTTTGATCTGATGTAAATACCTTCCATGATGTGAGATGTGATGTGGATTAGTCACTCTGTACATACGTATCTATGACAAGGATGTGGCTACATTTTATCTCCAAGCTTACTAACATACTACTGTAACACATATAGAAGATTCAAAATTGGCAAAACATATTTATAAGATTTTTTTAACTTGACAATATTTGAAAAAGATCATGCTTTTTGTGGTATTTTCAAGAGGAATATTTGAACCATTTTCATTATTTTCTTACTTTTTAATTTAATGTCACTCAAAATGTGAACTCTTTCAGGGTATGTGACTGTCAATCACTGCCTGAAGCATTACTTTCTGTTTGATGAAGACCTCAAATTTCATGGATGCTTGTGCTTGTAATCTCGAGTTGCAGTTTGTGTTAGTTTTTCCCTTTATTCATGGTCAGATATCAATCTACAATCAATCTACCCGGTACAATCAATTAACCCTTTCATCCATGTCATCCTGTCTCATCTGTTTATATTCATGTTATAAGTCTTTCTCAGTGATTTAACTACTGTTGGCTCTGTTTTGTTCAGGTGCACTCTAGTGAAGACGAACCTCCATAGCAGGCTGCTCTCACAGGAAGTCGTCTGCCAGGGATAAAGGGAGGTAATCCATGCTCATGGCTTCAGCCATTGTGAAGTTGCTTTTCAAAACTATAGAAATGAACTGTGAGGAGTGACTGAGATTCTCTTTATGCCTGACTTTACCTGGGAACAGAAACTGGAGGATGTGGCAATATGGATCTGAACCAGATTGAAATACTTGTCAAGTGGATCCCCAACACTGAAGGTTCAAACTCAAAACTTGCACACGCATGCATACACCCCATCCCCACTGAACATACAGAATTAAACTTTAAGAATGTGATTCAACCACCCAACCATCCCTGCCACCTTGATCCGTTTCGGTCCAGTGTTTCTGTTTCCAGCAACTCATCCTGTGTGAACTGAAATTAAGAGAGCATTTACACTGGGTATATGTTCTCTCAATTTTCTCTGTAGACTATTCTTGCCTGAGTGTACTTAATATTGATAAGCAAACTTACTGGAAGTGGCAAACAAGCTCACTATAGATCAGGAGTGTAGGGAGTGCGCACCTCCCCTTTTCCAGATAAGTGTCAACCTATGTCAGTCCCTCCAGGAATGTCTAGACCTCAACTTTTTCAAAATCCTGAACTTGCCTCTGCTGGGGGTTAAAGTCAGCCTTTCCTAGGTTTAGTAACAGTGTAATTCCTTTAAATGCCTTACCTGTATTACATGGTTGCCATAATTCTCATATTCTGGCTGTCATCACACTATGAAATCTTTAAATTTTCAAGAGATGCTCTTCTTCACTGTCAGGTTATTGAATAAGTTGTGTGGAAGATATTATCATCAACTAAGCATTATTCAGTTTTAGTTCTTTATTGCAGTATAGATAATCATGTGTGATAAAGTACATCTCCCCGAGGCAAGAGAGTTAACTGACTGTAAAAGTCCAGTTTCCACCCATGCCGAACTAGGCTGGAATTTCTGGGCTCGACAGTAGCGCAATTAGTGGCTTTTAGGTGTGATGTCCTTTCTATGTCCCTCCTGTTGACCAATCAGGTTCCACCTCTCATATCACTTGCATTTGCTTCAAACAAAATGGTGGCGCCCAGTCAAGACGATCTGATCTATAATCAAAAATATAATTCCATAATTCTAGCCTAGTTCAGCAGGGGTGGAAACTGGACTTAAATAGTCAGTTTACTTCCTTGCCTCAGGAAGATGGATAAAGTTAGACTTACTGAGTAGGATTGGGAAGCAGTTTAGCTAGTGCAAGGGTTTGCTGGTGAACATATCCTTACTGTCTTCTTGTAGAGGAGAAGACAGGCACCTGTATGATGTAGACGAGTCCATAGAAGTGACTTGAATAGTGTTTTTATGGGGATCCTCAATGCTGTGATGATGTACAAAGCACCACATTTGTACATAATGTGTCATTTCAAATAGCTGGGGAGAACTTGTTATTGGGATATTTTGTAAAAAGTGTCTATTTTTGTATTGGGTTAGTTTATTAGAAACTTCTAGAAAGTGCTGGGTTTGTAGGTAATGTCATATGCAGATTTCAGATAATGTTTGCATGTATATCTGTTTTCAGTGAAAGATATCATGATTGATGTTAATAGAAACAAACATGTATGTAAGGATGTGCTATGTTTTATGTTTGTCACAATACCGTGTGTCGTTCAAGACATATTTCAAATATTTCTGGGATGAGTTAAAATCTTAAATATTTTTGAATTTGTCCTATTTATAAATAGTGATATTACATGTGTGGACAGAAAAAAATTGGAACCAGTGGTTAATAACTTTATTATCACATACAAAGGGGGGAGGTATACAGGCATGGTTCTCTCCATTCATGGGTTATAGCATGTAACAGATTAAAGGATAACTATTAACAGAGTTCTGTAGATGTTATCAGTCTGTAACATTTTCAACATCTTCTGTGAAATAAATTTGCCTGTGAAGCTGAAACTTTGCATAGATTATCCTATCCAGTGTGTCTCTAAAGTTTCTCATAGAATTTTGGCCCGATTTCAAATATCATTTTGTCAATTATTCAGGTATTTCTGTATGAAATTTCACATGTAGTATATAAAGTGTTTGTAAGAACAATAACATAAGAAATGTTTTTTGTATTTTTTGGTTAACCTGGAATGGCCTTTGACATTTTTATCATAGGTGAAAATAATGTTTATTGTTGACTGCAAATAAAGATTAATCGTTAATATCACATATAGATGACCTGCCTACCTTGTGTCTATGCAATGTACCAATGTATTAGGTTTACTCATCTGTGTAATGGCTGTCTTCAAAATCCACAGCGTGAAAACGCCCTAACATGTATGGTAAATGTGACATGCACCAGCCAGTGGGAAGCTGTTTTGAACACGTGTGGATTCCAGAGCAAAGAAGGTCCCTGTGCTCAATGTCACAAAGTCTGATCTAAAGGTGGTGACCATGTTTGGCTGGGCCCTGTTCCACAAAGCTATCTGATCAGTGTTATGGCCTAAGACTGGTAGCTCCCATTCTTTGACATCGACTTATCATAGTCATTGTGCTTTGATAGCTTTGTTGGACTGGGCTCTGTCTAATCCTCTCCAATGGTGGAGTTTGGGCCTCAGTCAATAACTAGCCTTCTAGGTACAGACTTTGTTTAATGTCACACTTTGCAATATTCCAGCTATTTGACAGTGACCTGTATATAATCAAATCTGGACCAGATAATCCAGTGATTGATGTTTGTGAACAATGATCCACACTCTCATGGTATGATGACACATTAAACAAGTCACTGAGCCTGACCACCTGATCCTCTTGGTCTTAGGACCATCATATGTTGTTAGGGACCCATTCTAGCCTGGAATCCTCACGGGGTTCAAGTCTGAATACTTACGGGATGCAACATAAACTAACATTCACTCCCTCATGCTGGTTGGAATTCTTTGGTTGTGTTTGATTGTATAGTTAAAGAATGAATCAAGTGTGTTGCTGGTATACAGCGGTTACACTCTGCATATTACAATGATATCTAATTATTAACACCTAATTAAAAAGTGACTTGGACAATATGGTTCAAGCCAGTGGCTGTCAAAGTAAGTCTGATTTAATATCAAACCTCATTTTGTCTTCAAACTGAAAATTTAGGACAAAATTTAATCTAGCTGTTAGTGATTTCCTAATTACATGGTAGCAATGTCTCTGTTTCTCATACATAACTAATCATGTTTAGGCAAGATAAAAACTGGGTACAGACTGTAGAGCATATATATTAGTGTCTATGATGCTATTTTTGTTTGGTCACTGGTCCAAGAGTTTCATAATCCCACCAAGAAGATTGTAACTAAATCATGCTGACCTTCACCCTTCACCTGACCTTCACCCTTCACCTATGCATGGACATTATGTAGCTGTACTTTCCTCATTATTTATTATGAAGTATGATGTTTCAAGTGTATTTATGACCACTGTACATCAGAAGGACCTTCATCCATTGTTTGGGTTATCACATGGGGTTGGTTCTACTCCACGGTCCCAGTATATGCATCTGCAGGTGTAGTAACTAAAGCTGAAAACAGCCGTTTAGTTGAAACAAAACAACTTGTCAGGAAACAAGATGAATAAGTTTTATCCTTGGGATTTAATGTTTAAGTGGTTATTAATTTTATTATACCATACAAGTGGGAGGGTATATAGGTATGATTCTCTTCATTCAAGTGTTGCCGGGGCACGGGTGGCCCAGTTGTCTAAGGCGGCGCAATTTGCGAATCCCAGTTCGCCATGATTATGTTTCCAGTTTTGTCCGCACCATATCGTACCGGGTTTCATCAAAGTGGTAAAGGTCTGAGACCTGCATCACTTTAGGTTTTCCTCCCACATTAAGCTGACACGCTGTGAGATAACTGGGATACTGTTCAAAGCAGCGTTAAAACCCAACTTACTCACTCTCGTGTCCCCAAGAGCATAAGAGGATAATACAAAACTGTTAATAGAGATATTGCAGTATAGCTTTTTAGACATTACTTTCCGTGTGAAATCATACAATAACAAGGTCAAGGTCCTGAATAAGTCTATCATATCTAAACGGAAGTCCAAGTGAGCTCATCTTATGGCACTGATTATGTTGACATTCTACCCATCGTAAACGTTTACATTTTCAACATCTAATATTTTTGCCTAAGTATGAAGCTGAAGCTTTGCATGGATTATCCTAGACCTTTGAAAGATGCTTCTGTAATTCTGACCTGACCTTTGAACATTATCATCATTCTGTTTCACAAAAGTAAGGGGTAAGACCTGCATGACATCTTCTTTTGCTCATATTAAGCTGACATGCCCTGATATGACCGAAATACTGTTCAACTTATCATCAATACTTCTCGGGTGTGTTTTCTGGAACATACAAACTTGATCTGTTCAAATTGGCGTCAACCCAAACAGACTCATGAGATTTCTTACTATAGTTGGGGATATGGATGTTCTTATTGCCACTTCTGGTCACTATATCCGTAAGCATGTGTTGGCCTGTTAGGCTTGCTGGTGACTGGAGAGTGAGCTGGCCCTACATGTAGATACTGTACATACTTGCTGTACATAATGCTGGGACACACAGGTCGTCCATCTGTACCTGGTTGAACAATAAAAGAAAAACTATGTTTTTTGTGTTTTGTTTTATTTTGAAATACAAAGAAATGCTTCCGAATCTTTTGTCTGTTACAGTTTATTTCGTGATGGTGAGGTTACTGCTGTTTAATCACCTTGCTGTGATGTGGGTGGAATAATGCTAAAAGTAGCGTATTTGAGACACAAAAACTGAGTATTCACTTTCACTTATCTATGAGCCTCCTGGGAGGTCAGGCGACGACCATGTCGGCTGCAGGTGAAAGTAAATACAAAGAAAACGACAAACAGTTTCCCTTCGTTCTGTCCATTTTGTTACTAAGGTATATTTGAATGAATTAGTTGGCATATCGACCCATAATTTCAGAAATGTGGATTAAATATATATTTTTTGTATCATTCTTTTGTTGCTGCCACTAAAACATCGAAATCTTTCAAAATACAGGGATAGTAACCCTTTGACTTTTATGTGTAAGAAAGAACAGACCTCAGTAATTGAAAACCTCCAGGGTGATACGGGGTTTAATGTCGCATTCAAGATTAATGCACTTATATAGCAACATGCTATATTTCACTTTTATTACTTGCCCGTGAAGAGATCACCCGTTTAATAAACATACAGCTTTATTACACATTGTGTAATACCAAAACGCGTGCTTATGTACTCTCGGAACACGTTTCACGAACAAATATTGAAAGCTCTCAACATCCCTTGGCGTATTCAACGACATTGTGTGTGGAGATGATAGATCACTGGGAGGAGCTTATGCACACTCGATGACCCCAGCAACCTTGTTGCTAGGCTGACGTCACATGGCATTGTTTCGCCGATGGATCTTGCAACAAAATTCAACAAATTACGTCATCGGGTATTGTGACGTCATTGTAAACTTTGAGCTGCAAGGCCCCGTTCCACAAGGCGATCGTACTCTAGCGCAACGAGAGTCTTTAGTCTAAGTTAAATTATGTGAGTTGTGATAGCCTTAGCACTACGATAATTTTGTGGGACGAACGCCTGAATTCTAAAGGTGGACCATTGTATGATATTAAATTCATACGTTTCAACTTTTGACGTGTTTGAAGTATTATTCTGTTAAACTCAATTGGATTATGCCATGGATCGTGTAGGTGTCAGCCTATTTACACTCAACAGTATAATTCTAAAAACATTATAAATGACAAGTAATAAATAAAATACTAAACTCGCTCTCGTGTAAAACCAATTTTATTAAACTCGTGAATAGTTGTGGTATCTGACTCGCTTTCGCTCGTCAGATACCAGAACTATTCACTCGTTTCATAAAATTGGTATTACACGGGAGCTCGTTTAGTATTCTATATATCTATGCACCTCCCTGGATTTTTCAAAAAGCAATCCAAAATAGATTGTGCCTGATATTCATATATTGTATCTGATATTCATGTGTGTTCAGTATATGTCAAGACTGCCATCAGTGGTACATCTCGACAACAAGGTCAACCTAGTTGTCTGAAATGATGATGCCAGGAAACTATACTGAAACCCCCAAAGCTAGGGATCATGGACATTTTTTGGATATTTTTTGTAGTGAAGACTGAGTACACAATTTAATCAAAATATCTTCCACAATACAGGGGATTTTGTTGGCTCAGTATAGATTCTTGTCATGAAAAAGTTGTATTCATCAATCATCATTAGTGAGAATGAGGAGAGACAAACCAAAGAAGGAGCCAAAACAAACAACTAATTAAACTAACAACAGTTTCAAAGCTCTTGTCTCCACCACCGTTCAATATGTCCAAGAAGTGTGTCAACTGCCACAACTTAAAGTGATACACTGTTAATTGTCAGTCCAAGCCAAGCAGTTATGTGTTATCTTATTCATGTGTTGCAGGGACCGCCTCCGTGGTCTAGTGGTAGAGCGTCCGCCCGGAGAGCGGAAGGTCCGATCACCGGCCACGTCATACCAAAAGACTTTAAAAGATGGTACTTGTTGTTACCCTGTCTGGCGCTCGGCATTAAGGGGCTTAAACAAGGACTGGTTGGCTCGGAGTCAGTATACTGTGTCTGAGTGGGGTATTCATGTTAAACTGCGGGATGGTATCTCAGTGAGCTAGCACTATAAATCGGCATCAGTCCGGACTAGTACAAGCAGCCACACAAACACACACAGGTACATGCACGTCGCTATATAAGTGCAATAATCTTGGACGCGACGTTAAACCCCATTTCACCTCACCTCATTTAGAGCAGCAATATGTTCCTCTACCACCCATGATGGTACCAGCATTTAAAACACAGACTAATATCCTGTTAAAGGGCCTGTCACACACTACCGATGTACCTCGCCAGGACTAAACCGGAGCAAAAAATTAACAACGGCGAGAAAACCGGCGGAGCTCTTGCGAGCAAGCACTTGAATAATAAAAATTGACTGTAGCAATACCGGTGTTGTACCGGCGTTCCCGTTGTGATACCATGGTTCTACCGTTGTCCTACCAATTAAGAGCCGATGTGCTACCGAAGACCACTTCTCTGTCACCTTAGTGTTACCGATGCGACGCCGATGTTATACCGATGTACCACCGTTGACAGGAGCTATAGCGGAGTGATACCGTTGCGCTGCGATTTGACGGTGGAGCTCCGGTATCACATCGGCGCATCGGTACTACTTCGTTGGTATTCGGTAGTACTACGGTATCACATCGGTACCAGTACGGTACATATTGAGACCACCGGAGAGCCGCCGATCCATTACGGGCCGCTACCGGTGCTCTACCGACATTAACGGCGCCATACCGGAGTATTGCCGTTGTACTGCTGTTGTACTGCCGTTGTACTGCCGTTGTACTGCTGTTGTACTGCCGTTGTACTGCCGTTGTAGTCCGGCAGCGCAACGGCGGAACTTTTTGGGCATGTTAAAAAATTTCTACAATCTCCTGCAGTTGCTAAGTTTATCGTCGATGTTCTGACGATGTCCTGACGATGTACTACCGTTCTTAGCGATGTGGGGGCGGTCGGGTAGCCTAGTGGTTTAAGCGTTCGCTCGTCACGCCTAAGACCCGGGTTCGATTCCCGACATGGGTACAATGTGTGAAGCCCATTTCTGGTGTCCCCCGCCGTGATATTGCTGGACTATTGCTAAAAGCGGCGTAAAACCATACTCACTCACTCACTCTTAGCGATGTGATACCGTTGCGCTACCGTACTAGTACCGATCCCCGAAAATCGCCAAATGTCTACTCCGGTATAGCTCCGGCGACCCAAATCGGCTTTGTGTGTCAGGCCCTTAAGTTCAAAACGTCCAGGGTGCCGTTGTACAAAGCGATCTTGGCGGTAAGGTGATCATCCACTTCATCTCCAGGGCTCGCATTTTGGTAAAACCTACACTTACACTTGGATCCATTCCCGTGGTACCCGCGAGGCTGGTTTGCAACTCGCATTCTGATTGGTCCGTTTTACTGTGTAGCTCAGCTAATCAAATTGGCTGATGAAAGTTCAGGGCGGGTAATTGACATCTCGAGAAACACGGAAATGGATCCAGGGGTTAGTGTTGGTTTACAGAAATGCGAGCACTGGAGATACAGAGGACGTAAGGTGATCTTAACTCCCTACCTTACGCCGTAGCGCTAAGGTGGTTGTTTACAACGGCACCCTGACTGGGAACAGTCAACCCTTATCGTAGAGGACTGTGGTAGCATCTACTTGAATGATGGGAACGCGCATCTCGGACATCTTGTGGTCTTGTGTCCCCTCAAGTTGACCGTCGTTATCATCGTCTCCTTCCTGGCCATAGTCCTTTTCATCCCGGGGGGTCGGACGACGGCCATGTCTGTTGCAGCTGAAAGTCAAATCAAGCAAAACGATAAATAGTTCCCGTACTTTATGTTCCTGCTATCAAACAAGCGCGGGTTTCCCTCGCTGAGGTTCGATTATTTACAAGTCGTTGGGCTAAAACATTTAGTCACTCCATTGTGGCTCAGCTGCTTTGCTGCTGATCGCGGCATAAAACAACATTAATTCCCTCATATTTTCTAAAACATACCAGCAGGAATGAGAGAGGATCCATCTAGGCTCCGCACACGGTTCGGACTCCACATTACACCACAACACGGTGAATAGCAACGTGCCGAGGAATACAGTTGTACAACCGATGCCTATAGCGATATACCGCACACGACTCCACCTTGAAAAGAAAAAAGAACAACCATGGCGAGTGAGTTAGTGAGTGAGTGAGTGAGTGACTTGTAAGTTGGGATTAACACCGCTTCCAACAGTATTCCAGTTATATCACGGTACGTCAGCTTCATGTAGGAGGAGAGCACCGAGTGATGCAGGTCTTTTACTCGTAACACGAACGAGCACAGGTATTGTGCTGACAAACCCAGACACATAATTGGGGCGAACCGAGGTCGAAACCCACAATCACAGGTTTCTGGCACACGTTTGGAACGCACAGTGAATTGCGGCGTGTCCAACAGTAGTAGAAAATATATACGACTCCAGCCCAAACTGTGCCGAGTAGGACAGGGTCAATGTGTTTGAATGGTGCATGCAAGATGTGTACAGGACCTGTCTAGGACGGGGTCAATGTGTTTGAATGGTGCATGCAAGATGTGTACAGGACCTACGTAGGACGGGGTCAATGTGTTTCAATGGTGCATGCAAGATGTGTACAGGACCTACGTAGGACGGGGTCAATGTGTTTTAATGGTGCATGCAAGATGTGTACAGGGCCTGTCTAGGACGGGGTCAATGTGCTTGGATGACGCATGCAAGATGTGTGCAGGACCTAAGTAGGAGGGGGTCAATGTGTTTCAATGGTGAGTGCAGGATGTATGTGTAACGTTTGAGCAAATATTGTGCAAGGTGGATAATGGGTGGTGCAAGGCACAATTAGGCACAATACATTTCTAAACAGAATGCATACATAATTTGCACACATACTTCTCTTCCATTTTGCAGCAAACCTTCACCCCACTGACTTCACAGCAAGTGGACTCGCCTTCCATGATGTAGATATCTGTGGAACAGTCTATGTAGTTGCCGGGATACGTGGCAGGTTTGGATGGGTCCAAAATACAGTTGCTGTCATCCTCTGCGGGAGAAAAAAGGATGTGTCCATTATATAACATACTATTGTGCCTCTAATGCCCAGTCGTCTAAGGCACCGGAATTCATTTTGCACATTTGCGTCCCTTGGGCACGTCAGGAACCTATGATCGTGAGTTCGAATCTAGGTTTGGATGCACTATACTCTTGCTTGCGGATTTCGCTAAAGTGGTAATTGTATGAGACCTGCATCAGTGTCCTCCCACATGATGCCGTGATATAACTGGAATGTCTTTCAAAACATCGTTAAACCAAACTCGTTAAACCTGAGGCGAACATTTTCTCAGTGTCGTAGAGACCGCCTCCGTGGTCTAGTGGTAGAGCATCCGCCCGGAGAGCGGAAGGTCCGGGGTTCGATCCCCGGCCGCGTCATACCAAAAGACGTTAAAAGATGGTACTTGTTGTTACCCTGTCTAGCGCTCGGCATAAAGGGCCTAAAACAAGGACTTGTCGGCTCGGAGTCAGTATACTGTGTCTGAGTGGGGTATTCATGTTAAACTGCGGCATGGTATCTCAGTGAGCTAGCACTATAAATCGGCATCAGTCCGGACTAGTACAAGCAGCCACACAAACACACACACATACATGCACGTCGCTATATAAGTGCACTAATCTTTGACGCGTCGTTAAACCCAATTTCACCTCACCTCACCTCAGTGTCGTAGAATGATGCCGATGAATTTACTGAAGAGATTCTTTCTCAATACCTATTTCCTCAGTTAAATGTATAAACGGAGCACACGTCACGCTGACCACACGGTCACTCTCGGCAAGACCCTCTCGGTGCCAGGGGATCAGATTTGGACCCTCACCGTGTTCCCCTTAGGGGACCATATGCGATTTCTGTCAATATTTAACTTCTGTGTCCTGGGGGGCGGTCAGGTAGCCTAGTGGTTAAAGCGTTCGCTCGTCACGTCGAAGACTCGGGTTCAAATCCAGACATGGGTACCATGTGTGAAGCCTATTTCTGGTGTCCCCCGCCGTGATATTGATGGAATATTGCTAAAAGCGTTGAAAACCATACTCACACACTCTGTGCCCTGGGAAATATGTGATACCTGTCTATTCCGTCCCTTTTGTACCATCGGACCACATACATTCCCTATCTATGGAGAACCTTCAGTTCATGCAAGCCGTGATACGGCTGAAATATTGCTGTATTGTTGATACAGTGTCAATGACAAGGCATCTTCTGAGGTAAACGGGGCGGACGGGTAGCCTAGCTAGTGGTTAAAGCGTTCGCTCGTCACACCGAAGACTCGGGTTCGAATCCCGACATGGGTACCATGTGTGAAGCCTATTTCTGGTGTCCCCCGCCGTGATAGTGCTGGAATATTGCGAAAAGCGGCGTAAAAAAACTACTCACTCACTCACTCACACTGTAGTAATCACTACACGAATATTTTGTGATTTTTAACACCCAGTTCAGGACCACAGTCCCGCAAAGAGTATTTCCTGGTTTATAATGTTTGGGCAACTTCCGTCCTTATATTTGAGAATATAATAGTTTTTTAATTTTTTTTACATGCGTGTAACTAATTAACAGGTTATAGGTTTTAAAGTTTGAACGCTGTGGATGTTTGGACACGAGGGAAATCAGGCTAATTGACGTGATACTTGGGGTGATGTGATATGTATACCGCTAGTACTTTTCAACTAATCAATTATTTTGAAAATCATGTAAATTATGTATTTGCTTGGATAGTTTATCCATTCCCTTATCAGCTGGTTTTCTAAATTCTGTTTTGGGAATATGTTATATTTTACAGCTGTGGTTCCAGATAATGATATATCTTTACGCGCAGTCGCCTTATATGAATAATGAACTAAGATGAGATATTATATACTCTCCCCCCAAAAGGGGCTCATGAAATATAAATTTTGTAATTGATTGTCAGAGAGAAGATAGGTTTTGAAAAATGACTGCCCGACGCCCCAACACACCCGAATCATTGCCCGTGGACCATGCAAGATCCTCCATGCACATGGGTGGGGTCACTTCAGGGAAAGGTCGTCGGATTGCTCAGCGGAATTAGTATTGTTCTTTACGCTTGTTTTTATACAGTATTTGTGACCACATTGGAAATGCTTCGTCTACAACGGGACCAACGTCTACAAAAGGCATAGACATAGGCGAATATGTGTGTGTATGAGAGAGAGAGAGAGAGAGAGAGAGAGAGAGAGAGAGAGAGAGAGAGAGAGAGAGAGAGAGAGACATGCATACATATTAAAGTGAGACATATCTTTTTTATGTTCAGAGGCCAGATATTTTTTCTCTTATCATATTTTCATGGAATGAATATGAATCCCGATCTTTGATTCTATTTCCAAACGGGATATTACCCGACTTGTACTAATTGAGGTTTAATGACGATTTCAAGGACATAGTACACGTAGTAAGTCCGCGTGTAACGTGTGGATCTCACGGGTCTGTACACAGAGTAATGAAATCAGATGGTTCTAGTTTAAAACTGTGCACATTATTCTAATATAGAAATACGCAAGTGCTAACTAACACTAAGACTAGAAATATTAGTAATGTCATGAAGATATAAGCAATGCTAAAGCGTAAGTTTTGCTAACAGATAGGTATGTACACGCTTTATTATGTAAACTTTACTAATTTTGTACTATTGTCATTATAGGGAAATAAAACACTGAAAGAAAAGAAAGAAAAATCAACAAACATTTATGAAGTTATTTCTTTTTGTCTTTTATATTACCGATATTCATTCATGTAATTATGTTTTATAACAATAAGATAAGAAAATGTGAACTCACTTGCATTTATGTGCAGGAAAAAATTCCAACAGACGACAGACAGCAGCAGACGAGCCGGAAATCGTCTGTTTGACGTATATGACGCCATTTTGAAAACGCAGCTATCACAGTTGCATGATGTCAACCTTGGCTTTGTTTCGTTGCTCTCTTCACCGAAAGGTCATTTTGTGATTTTGAGATCATCAAGGGATTAAGGGGAACATTTACAAATATTTGCGAGCAAATAGTTGGCCCGCTTCTGGTATTGATGAAGCGTGTCCTAGCCATTACGAAATCGATCCGCCATTGAGAGGACTGATTTCCTCTCACTGTTTCAAATATTCGCCTTGAAAAGAAAGCTCTCTGATTTTACAATGTCCCTATTGTTTTTTTTATGTTGGTGTGCAAATTTGCTGCATGCCTATGGACAGTTTTGTGAAGAGAAATCAACACAATATTTAACGAGTCGTGGGATTTTGTTAGTCCCCCAAGGACGTGTATGAAATGTACTCTCCTTACTGTTTGTTTATGTGTTCTATGTAATACATGGACACACAATCACCATGCTGCTTTTCTTCTGCGTGTGTGCCGTGAATGATTTCTGGGCGATCAACAATCTTTCTACTTATTGTTTGTCATGACTGGCTACACATTCTCTCAACAAGTTGCCAGATTGGAATAATTTGCTTTGAAGTGTCTCTGTTTGGTTTATGAGCTCTTTCTGTGATTAAGTGCATTTATTTGATGCTCAACGCACAGCTGTATGACGGCGGCAGGTAAGTAATCGAGTATTGACCAGCAAATCCAGTGGTTGATATCGTGAGCACGATTAACGCCGTCGGGGTACCATGACACGCAATCCACCAATTCTGACCACCCGATTCATGAAGTCGCCTTTTACGACCACTTAGGGGCGGCTGGGAACTTCTAACCCAGAATTCCCACAGGGGCGATATTCGATTAAAACAGGGAACCTTTGAACAGGGAATGTTTGAATGTGGCCAAAACGGAAGTATGGTTATTCGATGGTGATGGGTACCAAAGCTATGCTGTAGTTTGCAGTGTTTCGGTGACTGTTTTAAGCCTGGTAATGTTTCGATAACGTTTGTAATGTTTTGGTCAAATCCAATTTTCGAGCATACAGCTTCGTCTGCCTGCGGGTTTTATGAAGATATTCAGTAAACATACCAGGTTTATAAGATATTTACGTACATTATCTTAATATGGCAATGTGAGAAAGGTGTAATTGTATACATATTTAAGTAAACATGAGAAGTGAAACGACCCGTGAAGATCCTTCTGAGAAAAGATCTTCAGCAACCCATGTTTGTCGTAAGACGCGACTAACGGGATCGCGAGGTCAGGCTCGCTGATTTGGTGGATGCATTTCATTCGCTGTGCAGAGTTGCGTCCCTTGGGCACGCCAGAAACCTATGATTGTGGGGTCGAATCCCGGTTCGCCCCGATTATGTTTTAAGGTTTGTCCGCACCATACCCCTGCTCGTGGGTTTCACCGAAGTGATAAACGTTTGAGACCTGCATCACTTCGGGCTTTCCTCCCACATTAAGCTGAAACGCCGCGATATAACTGGAATAATGTTAAAAGCGGCGTTAAACCCAACTCACTCACTCACTCATACAGGAGAAGCCCTGAGGGGTCAGTGAACAAATATAGAGTTTACTAATTCAAGATAATATATTGAATTCCCAGGATTCTCACTTAAATTTGATATATATCCTAAAAAAAGTATGGGATATTTGAAAATAACAGATTATTACAGCAGTTCAAAGAGGTATCGAGTGATGGCAATGAATGGATGATGGTGAAGGACTAGGTGCAACATGTTAATCAACAGAACCTTTTGGCGGGGTAGTGTAAAGGTGTAAACAACCAAGAAAGACGACAGGGGCGTGTCGTACAAAAATGAACTTTTGAGATGACTTGATGAATAATGGGTCATGTCCCCAGGATTGGTTAAAGATTCATTTATAGGGCGTGGCATGGTCCGAATCAATCTCCTAGTGACTGCAGTTCCTGTCCAGGTTCAGCTCGGCTCGGTTCGGTTCGGTTCGGAGAGGACTACTCGTAAAGGCTATGTACATATCCTGTTGAGTATTTACACGAAATCAGTTACAATGGCGACCAGAATATTTACCTGAATGTATCCATTACTATTTTGCAGGCACGCCAGAAACCTATGCTTGTGGGGTCGAATCCCGGTTCGCCCCGATTATGTTTCTAGGTCTTTCAGCACCATACCCGTGCTCGTGGGTTTCACCGAAGTGGTAAACGTCTGAGACCTGCATCACTTCGGGCTTTCCTCCCACATTTAGCTGACACGCCGGGATATAACTGGAATACTGTTAAAAGCGGCGTTGAACCCAACTCACTCACACTCACTATTTTGCAATATGTGGCTAGTTTCTTAATTAAGAAACGGTATGCACAGCTGTTTGATGGCATTAGAATATTTACATTTAAATATAAAATGAAAGTAGTCAGCAGTGTCCTGACTATATAAGTGCATCTCCTACCCAGTAAGAGTGTGCTGTTTAGCCTTCCACATTTGAAGGATAACTAATGACGTGATGTTCTAAACACTAAGGAAGATATATGTAGGACTGTATAGCGGGACTCCAATCCGTGGCCTCTCTCTAACCTAGAGTTCCATGCGACCAGCATAGTACCTTTATCACAGGCCAGCGCCATGTGACAATTCGTCAAAACTTACACAGTCCATTCAAGGTATTGGATATTTTTTAATCTGTTTCACTGTTGACGAGGCAACACATTTATATAAACATGTCATAGAATGGAAAACTTTCATTTAGAAAATACCATGAAAACTGAAAAACTATTTACAAACAAGAAAAAGTCCTTACATATGATATGTGAATTGTCCTGTGGCAGTGGTGTTTAAACTGGTTCCACTGTTGGCAAGCTAAGCGCGATTTATTAGTTTAGGCAGACAGGAACCCAGTCTAAGTGATGTTAGGCTAAGAAACCACAGCAGAGAGCGATCCGTGGCAGATTCTCATTGTCATATGACACCATGGGCGCGTTGCAAGCGACGAATCGCTTAGAGAAAGCAAATTCATCGCTCAACCCGGGGTCTGCAACAGTTCGAAGCGCTTGCGCACTCTTCCAAAATGGCGGCACAACTACCGCTTGGTTGCCTTGACGTTTGTTTGTTTGTTGTATTACGCCGCACTCAGCAATCTTCCAGCTATATGACGGCGGTTTGTAAATAATCGAGTATGGACCAGACAATCCAGTGATTGACATCATGAGTATCTATCCACGTAATTGGGATACGATGACATGCATCAACCATGTCAGCGAGCCTGACCATCCGCGTAATGAAGAACGTAATAGAAGAGGCTCGATGACGAGCTGATGAAATTTATGACTACTTTGAAGATGTGGAGCAGACTGAGGATGATGGGGTGTTAGCTACCTTTGCTCATTTTCTCGTTGATCCAGTCAAGAATTCCTTGTTCCGCTGTCAAAGTAAGCCGCCATTTTGGTTTGAGAACGAAGCGACCTCAGTCAGCGATTGTTTCGCTTGCAAGCGGCTGAAAGTTAGCGCACTGCTGTAAGGCGAATCGCTGTACATCGCTTACAAGCGATTGGCGCTTTGCAACGCACCCCATGTTTGTGTCTTATCCGTGAGCGGACAATCAGTTCAATTGTTATATGAAGTCATGCTTGAGGTGACGTCACGACTCCTTGCCTATGATGACGTTATGCAAGTTACATATACTACCGATAGACACGGCGATCAGTCAAAAAACGATGGAGCCGGACACTATAGAAAATGAAGGTTTTCATATGGTGGGTTCATGCCGGCAGAGAAAGAAACCAGTATCGAAAGACCCTAATGCCGAATCATTTAAAGTGATTTTTCAATAATTCAAGTTCTTCGTGTGAAGGCTCTGAATCCGAAGAGCGGAAGCGTTAAAATGTTCAGGATTTTATCAACACCGGCAAATGAGAGGATGGTGCAGAATGTCTTAGAAAATTATTTCTTCGATGAAACTTTGGGGAATTTTTTTAAAGAGAAGTACCGATATCCAATCCCTGCACCGAAGATGTTGTTACAAAGGGGAAATGATAAAAATAAGTCTGCCGCTATATATGAATCTATACGACGTTTAGCGCTATAGAAAATGCAAATCATTAATATATGATAATCTGCAATAGATCTGAGTATTCACAGATATCTGCCCCATATGTAGAATCTGCCATAGATATGAGAATCCGCTAGGGATCAGAGTCTTACCATAGATCTGAGTTATCTAAATATGGTTCCAATGCAATGTTATCCCTTATGACATTATGGAACCTCGCATTGCTCGAATTTGACATCAGAGTTCCATATGTGTAAACTTAATTTGTCTACAAGATGTGATCTGATCAAATGCTTGAAGCCAACTTGTAGATAGAAATGACTGTTCACTCCAGATGTTCAAATCACCGGTTTTAGTTAGAATATGTTTCACAAACGTTAACCACTTTCGGTGCACACTATTCAAATTGAAATTATTTTACAAAATATTAAAAACTAAAAGTATTTGCCAGATGAATGTCTTGCCCTGAAAGGGGATGAGGTGAAATGGGGTTTAACGTCGCGTCCAAGATTATTGCACTTATATAGCGACGTGCATGTACGTGTGTGTGTTTGTGTGGCTGCTTGTACTAGACCGGACTGATGCTGATTTATAGTGCTAGCTCACTGAGATACCATGTCGCAGTTTAACATGAATACCCCACTCAGACACAGTATACTGACTCCGAGCCGACCAGTCCTTGTTTTAGCCCCTTTATGCCGAGCGCCAGACAGGGTAACAACAAGTACCATCTTTTAACGTCTTTTGGTATGACGCGGTCGGGGATCGAACCCCGGACCTTCCGCTCTCCGGGCGGACGCTCTACCACTAGACCACGGAGGCCGTCTGCCCTGAAAGTAATGACGCTTGTCACTACTGTGATGTACACGGGTGTTCGCCCTGTTTCACCACTAAGTATATGCAGTGATGTACTGTTTTTTTACAGGAGGTATGTTTCTAATAAACGATAAATGAAACTATTCAATCATAAATCGCACCTATATATTAAAATAAGTAGTGCAGTTGAGTACAATGACTTTAATTGATATTCAATAGATAAAATTATAATACTTTTTCACACACAGATTTCATGTTTACACTAAAATTACAGTTTTTATTCAATACAACGCCTAGATATTTTTAAGTGTTAACATTTTCTAAGCATATATTTTAGAGACGAAGGTTTCTTGTTGCCTCCCAAAATCATTTGTTAATCTTCAGTTTCCAGAGCTTGCAGGATTATGTAAATAAAGTCAAGTATTTTCTGTAGATCGTTCTTGCATGTTACTACGTGTAGTATGGTAGTAGCTATGACGGCATCTGGGACGACATTGCTGATAGTTATTCCGTGACAGTCTGGAGTTAAAGGGAGGGCTCGAGGAGATAGGTTCTCTCCTTGTCTCACACCATCACTACATGCGAACATGCCACTTGTTAGGCTGTCCATGTCTTTTTCTCAGTTTCCCATCTGTTGCCCGCCCTGAATTTTCATTCCAACGTGAAATATAAAAAAGCTATCTCATCTCAATTTGTCCCGCCGCTGTGGAAAAGTATGCCCCGATGTGATAAAAAATACTACCACCATTGCACACTCATAAAACCCCCCAGCTCAGCTTGATCTTTCTTAAGATATGTTTATTAAAAAACCCGAAGCACATCGACTCGATCTACGTCATAATTAAATTAAAGAGTGTTTTAAACTTAAAAATGTCATAGAATAAATTACACAAAAAGTAAATGTCTTCGCCCACCTACACATGACTCTCTGGCAATTTATATTTAAAATTTCAAAGATTAATGGTCATGAAAGTGAGAAACGTGGGAAGCTGTCCTGCTCCCCTGTATTTGACATGACCTTGTCATGTGGAACTGTAACATGAAAGTACGTGTGGGTATGTTCTCCAATCTGATTGGTTAAGTGTTGTCATCATTTCACTTCCAGAATGGCTTGGTGTCCGAGGTTTTGAAAAGGCTCCTAAGAGAAGTGCACACACCGACGACACTGGATGGTTCATTACGAGGTCTCTTAATGTAAATGCTCTTGTCATCATGATGAAGGAATGAAGGATGAAAACGTGACCAACCCTTTGGTAAAATGAACCATCACATAGCAGTATATTGAGTGGTGTATCAATGTTAAACTGTGGCATGGTATCTCAGTAGGCTAGCACTATAAAAATTGGCATTAGTCCGGACTAGTACAAGCATCCTCACATACGTGCAGTAATCTTGAACGTGACGTTAAACCCCTTTTCGGGGCGGTGGGGTTGCCTAGTGGTTGAAGCGTTCGCTCGTCACGCCGATGGCCCGGTACGATTCCTCACATGGGTACAATGTGTAAAGTCCATACTGCTGGAATAGTGTTAAATGGGGCGTAAAACCATACTCACTAAACCCCATTTCACCTAACCTTATCCAGAAATGTTGTTGAATAGTCAAGTAGAAATTGACGTCATAATTAATTAACCCGGACATTTGTGATAACAAAGTCGATCTTCAGTGTGTCCTGGTTGTGTGTACAAAACCCAAGAAAAAACAAGCTTGGGGAAATCAATTTTTGAGTGTCTCCAAAAAAAGGGCCCTAGGCTTTGTTTTCAGCAAACAATATGAAAGCAGTTGTGGGAAGATAGTACCGTTGCCAAGTAAACAAACAACTGTCAGCTGTCAAGCTTCAGTCAGAATGGACCAAAACTAGGTATGTATGAATAAACTGGAACACAGTCAGTTGCCAAATACAGTTAAATATACCTTAGACACCATGTCCACACATTAAGTGATATAAATATATTAAATAAACAAGCAGAACATGACTTTGCAATCACTAAGCAGAAAAGATGACAGCATCAAACTCCCAGTGTTCTTTTTCTCCAAATAAGATTTTAAATGACAGTTACAGAGTTGCATGCAAAAATAAATGATAGATATATACTGTCAAGTCAACACTGGGTCTGTTTTTGCACTCATTATAGCAATACTAAAGAAATCTAGATCTTTTTTCATGATGTTACTATAAATAGACTCCAGTCATCTATGTTTATTTTTCATAATAATTTGTTTGTATGAGATCTGGTGAGTTTAAACACAAATTTGGCCTGTTATCAGAAATGTCCGGGTCCAATGCAATTTCTACTGGACTAGAAAGCTGTCTGAAGGCTGCCTGTATGGCAATGGTATGCGCTGCAGGGAACACATTCTGGATGTGTACGTGAAACCGTATGCTCGGGCAATCGGATCGGATTCCATCCTCATGGACGATAACGCACGACGTCTTCGTGCCAGGGTCGTTGATTCATACTTGGAGCAGGAGACCATTGTCTGCATGGAGAGGCCAGCGCGGTCGCCAGACCTCAATCCCATCGGACACATGTGGAACGAGCTGCAGATCGCCCTCTCACGACGCCCTGTCCTTCCGGTAATTCTACAGGAACTTGGCAATGCTCTTACTGAAAAGTAGTACAATCTTCCCATGGCGACCATCCAGACACTTCTTGGGAGCATGAGACAACGGTGCCAGACTGTGATCTGATCACGTGGATCACATACACACTACTGAAGTTTTTTGGGGGTAATGAATTTGTTTTCGGATTTGTTTGTGTTTCA